AACCCCAAACCGGCTCAACATGAACACACCCATTTGAGGTGGGGAAGACAATTGCATGGTCAAGGGTTCCTACAAGTGCATCCGCAAGCTCCACAGTGGTGCCATCAACGCCCGGATGCCGAGCACCGAAGAGGTTGGGGAGAGTTAGACAACAGTAGACGTTCGGAGATGAGCATTCGCCAGTAGATAACCCATGTGCCTAGGTCCGTTAGTATTCATGTGCCTGTAGCCCATGGATGGATTCTTCAGCCCGATTCTAATATACATATACTCCCTGTCCCAGGTTTGCTCGTGTCTCCGCTGCCCCCCAACGTGCCCTTTAACGGTACCCGGACTTATATAGGTCTCTTATTGCCATGAAGTGAAAGCAAGTGTAAGACTGCATTTGGCCAAGTAGAGCTTGTGTTTCAATTTTGGAGCACCAGCGAGTAGAAGTACTATGTAATCGGCCGCACATGGACATGATTTGCTGATGAATGGACATCGTCTTGAAGCAACGAGGCAACGACACAAGAAAGACCCCTCCTGACATCCTGTCATACCTCCACCCCCGCGGCATCCCCAGGCTAGCCAACCTGCAGCCAAGTCTACAGCCTTGAGCGAACTCCAAGCCAAGCCCATGCTAACCCCGCTCCAAGCTAAACCAACCCTTAACCAGTCCATAACCAACCCTGAACCGCTCCGGTTGCCACGACCCTGGCATGGGTGGGGTGGGGGGGGACGTGGAGCATGATGTAGATACATACATACGTACGTACGTACATACATACATACATGCATACATACGTTCATACACTGCATGGAGGTTCAGGTAAATCCGCAGGTGCCGGGAACATGGGAGTGCAAACTATTCTTCGACACCTCACATGGCTTGTAGCTCATTCGCCCCTGATTTCAACCCTCTCTGAGGCACGTAGAAACCCGCCTCTATGAGAGGGCACCAGAACTTTACTGGAAAAAAGCAGGTTTAAAAGTCGCAGTAAACCCTGTTGAGGCCGACAACAAAAACATGGCCAAAAATCCCGTCCCAGGATGTTGACGGGAAAGAACCCAGTTGATTCACAAGTGTTCCCTTCAAAGGCTCGCCTGATTCTGCGCCAGATGCCGATTTCAGGCCACGCCGAAGAGTCTTTGTTTGGGTGTCCTAGAATTGCAGGCATGAGTCGAGGAAGTGGCAATGGACAGATCTGTTCGGTTGGTGCAGGGTTTGGGCAAGTGAAAAAGCAAAGGGTTCTGGCGGGTCTTGGGGCTCTGAAGGTGGGTTGTTGGTTTTGGAGCTTGACATTTCTTTGGGGCCAGTGAGACACCATGGCAAGGGACCACCTGCTAAGTGTCGGGATTTGGAGCCAAGAGGGACTCGACGTACCGGAAAATCTCTGCGCGGAAGCATGGGGAAACATGTCTCCACAAGAAAAAAGTTTTCGGCCCCGCCACATAGGGCAGGAACCTTTCGTTGTATTGTGATGTTCCCTTCAATCAACGCTTCATTTTTTCCGGTTGCCCCGGTTGTTTCTTGGCTTTGGGGTGTGATCCTTTTTTCGAATTGGATCCGATTTTGTTGGTAGAGGGAAGCCAAAGGGAAACCATTGCGCGGGCACAGGAGCAAATGTTGATAGTCTACTCTCGGTCTGGGGAGAACCCATCCCGTTTTCCCACAAACCAAAAGACAACTCGCCTTTCCTGCGTCCTCTTTTGTGAAGGTGTGGAAATGTCGTCGGCTCAAATCAGTCATTGCCTGCAAGAAAGTCTCGCCTCTTCGAATCCCTTGTGCGACTCACTTAAAAGCTGTGAATCGAGTCATTCCGCGGTGGCCATCCTGTGAGACATTTCCGAGACAGACTTTTCTAGAGAAAAGGCCGCCTTTTTGGTGGTTTTCGGCATCGGTCGGCATTGGGGGAAGCACCTTTGTGGTTTCCTCCCATTTGGTGTTTCTCAATACCATGGTCGCCTAAGATGCATAGCTTGCTCTTGACTTGCCTTTAGAGTACCAATGAGCAAGGGGTCCACCATTTGAGTAGAGGTAAAGAATATGCCACCAGGGCACCGCAGGTTTTAGTCCATGTTTCCACCCAAAGTCCCTTATGTTTGGCCTGTTTTTCACCCACAACGAGACACTCGGCCCAGGACTTGGCAGTGGGCCCGTTGTACGCGGACGGGGGTTGGTACGGTTTCTTGCCGTGACGTGTTTTTTTTTTGGCTGCTCAAATTAGGATTTGAAGGGACGCCAAGCATGTTGGATCACGGGTTGCCTTTGAGTTGCAAACTCCCCTCTTTGCTTTGTCGCCAGTCATTTGGAGATGCTGCAAGGGGTTGGCCGAAGCCTCTCTCCCACCGCCCTATGGTTGCTCACCTTAAAGGACGTCCCTTGGATTCCCGGGCTCCCTGGGTCAACTCGGGAACATGGCGCTGCCTGGACCTCCAGTGGCCATCTTTTGGTTTCATCTTCTTTTTTTCTCTTCGATTCAGGTAACTCTGGTTCTTTTTGAGGGCAAATGAGCCCGGAACGCCACCAAGCCACCAATCCACTAAGGGGGAAGCTGATAGCTTCCAGGTCGAATCCTGGACTTTCGGTGTGGGAAAACCAAAGGAGACCGAAGCCCATCTTAGGCGCTTGCCACATCCCTTCTGTTTTGCCCCTCGCATCCGGTCTCAAGATTCCTCACGGCTCTTGGCATACTTTGTTTCAGGTATTGTTGTTTCCCCCCCTGTTGGGCAAAGTTGATGTTGGGTTCTCTTCCTTAGCTTCGCAGGCTGCAACGAACACAAGGTTGTTTTTGTCCCAAGAGTTGGAAAGAAAATTGTAGGCAATCCACGAGAAGCGCATCCAGCTGGTTGCTTGCTTGCTTGGTTGGCTGGCTGGTTGGCTGGTTGGTTGGTTGGTTGGTTGGTTGGTTGATTGGTTGGTTGGCCACTTTCCCGGCATCACCCGCCTCACTTGGACCTCGGGTTGTGTTGGCTCTGACTGCGTGGTTTAGTTCGGGGGGGCGGATTTAGGCTGGCTTAGATCTTACTGAGGCTGGGGTTGGGTTCCGGGTGCCAGGCCGGCGAAAAGCTTTCCGCTCTCTGGCTCCCGGGCTCCCCCCGCCTACGCGTTCTGCTCGGAAGGACGGCGAGGAGGGCAACACCTTCCAAATCGCCACCAGCGGTGAGGACAACTGCGTGAAGCTGATCAAGGCCCACGGCCAGCGGTGCTTTGATTGGCTCAACATCTGCCAAGAGCCATTTCCTTTTTTTTGGGGGGGAGACTAGAATTCATTCGTGGGTGTGCCCCACTTGCCCCACTTTTTTCTTGGGTGGGAGTTTGGTAGCGGACTCTTGGATCAATTGCTTTGGATGCCAAAGTCTTGGGATCTGAGCGTCCCTCCAGACTCCAAACCTCACGGTTTGTGTGCACTCGTGGAACTCAGCCACGCCGCCCATGAGCTCGGAGACTCGGAGACTCGGAGACTCGGAGACTCGGAGACTCGGAGACTCGGAGACTCGGAGACTCGGAGACTCGGAGTCACAGGGCGTTGGGTGACCCCTGAGTTTTTTGTTTGGTGTCACCCCCGGAGTTGTCACATTCTCATTCTTCTCATTCAGTTTCATTCTCGTCCTCATTCTTGCTCTGCTTCTTGTTCCTATTCTTATTCTAGTGTTCATTATCGTTCTTGCTATCGTTCTCGTTCTCGTTCTCATTCTTACTCTCATTCTGTTTTCATTATCATCCGCTTCTGATTTTTTCCTCTTTTCATGTTTTGATGTTCCGTTATTCTCTCTTTTTTTCTCTTTCCCTCTCTGTCTCCCTGGGTAGTACGGTCCGGTAGATATGTTCAGGTACCCTTCATGTTGCTTGTTGAGTCAGACTTGAGCCGTTTTCTTAGACGGCAACCTCATCATGTTCGCTGCCCCAGAAGTACACTTTTTCTGATGTCAATTGTAGAATGGCTGAAGTCAAGTACACAGAGTTTTCTTCTGATCAGCCTTAGAGTCCCGTTCATTGGTTTGTCTCAGCAAGGGGTATTGAACCCGCAAAATGGCACGGGTTTCCTTGTAGTTTCCCTTTAAACCAACCCACAAAGGGTACCCTCGGCAAGAAACAAGCAAACGCCTAAACAGCTCCCAAACCTCCACCACCCCAACCCAACCCCCCCCCCCCCAACCCAACCCCCCAACCCCCCCAAACCACCCAACCAAACCCCAAGCCTTGCAGGTGACCTGTGAGGAACTCAGCCCGGCCCCCAGCACCGAATGTTCAGGTCCGAGCAACAACCAAAACCCGGGTAGATGAAGATCAGTAAGGGACAATCCCCTTGCCATAAATAGCTGCGGATATCCGCCTCCTTAATTCTTTACATGGTTCTGGGTAGAGCATTTTAAGGCCGGTTTTGATTATGACCCGGGTGCCCCAACTTTCGCCCTTCTTTTGGTCCCAAGTCCAGGGAGTTTTTATCACTGGAGTTCCATGTTTTGACTAAGGGCCCTGTTTCCGTTGGGAACCCGGATCTGGTCTCCAAACCAATTGGTGTGGTTCCTGGGGGTTCAATGGGGCTCAAACGCGGGGGGCCGAGGGCGCGGGATCTAGCTCGTGGTGCTTCTTTGGTTGGTGTCGAGTGAGCTCCGAGAATTGTCCTTTCCGGAGTTGGCAAGCTTTCGGTTGTTCGCCCCGTTTCTCGAAGCAAAAGTTATCTTTGATTCTTTCTATGCCTCTTCAGTTTTGAAGCTGTAAACTCTTGGTTGCCAGGTTTCTTCAGTATAGTAAAGGCTCAAAGCGTTTGAACTTTTCTGGCCAGTCAACAAGCAGCTCCCGCCTCTGGGCCCAACATTCGATTTCAACACTTCAAAGCAGGGCAGACATTCTATGGGCCAGTCTTCTGTTCGGGTTCCCTTTTTGGGGTTAGTTGGGGAAGCCAAACGGAACACCACCTTTGTTGGAAAGCCCGTAGAAGCAGTAAGAGTAAGACACACCCACGTAGTGGTTTCTGATAGAATCAACGACCTGGTGATTAGGTTGACCAACTCAAAGTGCTAGCTTTAACAAGGAAACCAACTCAAAGTGCTTGGTGGACACGAGTGTGTCCACCAAAACATATCCTCAAGTGAAACTTTGTGTCCAATAAACAACCGGCGACAAACAAAGGTGCTAAAAGCAAAGGGGGATTGGACAGGTCGAAGAAGGTGCTTTTCCTTGCTGGAAGGAGCAAACAAGCAGCGCAGTTTCAGGTTGCCAGGGAAAAGGCGTTTGTTTGTCTAATCCAATGGTTTAGCAGCGTTTGGGCTCTCCAACTTGACTGGTGCACGTGCTTTGAATTTTAATACGGGAACCACCACCAAAGTTACTGGTAGACATGAACTCCCACCTAAATGATGTCCACCAAAGGGTGCCCAATGAAAATTCATACCCAATTGGAGGGCTTCCCACGTGTCCCTTCCAAGTTGGATTCCGCCAGATCCAAGCTATGCCGTTTTTTTCTTTTTTTCTTATTATGTCCCTTTCTCGTTTTTGAGCTTTGGACAAAACCCAATTGAGACCAGAGCTCATTTTCGGGGACTCGCCATAGGTTTCGAATTCACCTCCCCCCAAAGTACAAATATGGGTCGTTCTAAAGGGAAGCCAGAGTGAACCTGAAGCCCATGTTTTCTTTTTTGTCCCCGAACCATATCATTCTTGTTGAGACAAACCCGGATGGCTCTGAGTTTCAATGGGGGGACGCTTCAACATGGCCGGTGGACAATTCCCACAAGATGTCCATCAAGGTGTCTCGACTACAAAAAACAACAACATACCCAGAAATGAAAGTCAGAAGCTCATTTGTGGGGGGGCAAGCCAACTCCCATTTCGGGAGAAACAGTTTTCCGCGTTTGTGCCGTTCGCCCCAGAACCCGACTCCGCATTTTGAGGCAACCCCAACTACGCGGAGCCGCCTGCGGCCCCTCAAGGCGAATGGGTGTGTCGTCTTTTTCAGCGAAACGTTGCTCTTTTTTTAAAAAGGGAAACCCAACAAAAAGCCGTAGCTCATTTTAGAGGACCCCTATTACTTGACACATATCCAGACAAGAGACACAAGCCAGGCAAGGTCATGCAGCTAGCAAGCCAGGCGACACAATTTGTTTCGCGGTTTCTCGTCCATATGGCTGTGGGTCAAAACCAAGAGTACCATTTTGGGGTAGGTGCACCGCCCCTTTTAGTCTATGTTCATGGGGATTGGGATGTTCACTGGGGGTACGGGATTTTGGCCCATGGCCATATGGGTTTACCTTAAAACAGGAATGAGACACCCCAAATGCCGGCTCTCCCCTGCATTTGGGGTTTTCCCCTGAACCAGCCCACATGGTGCAATGGATTCGCCGAGGAAAAAAGGCGGGTGAATCAACTGCTGGGGCTGGCACCGTCAGGACATTAAGAAGTTGGAATTCTGTTTCTTTCGGTTGTAGCAAGGGCCAAGTTTGGACCACAGTACCAATTTCAGGGTTCGCAGAAAAAAAAGCATGGGGCCATCAGCTGTCGGCTTTTTCCCTGCGTAACGTTGCCAGCCGCCAGCCGCAACACCTGCAACACCGAAAATTCCCGAAAATCCGAACCGCGCCGCGAGGCTTGGAGGCGGTGGCGAACTTCTTCTTCAAGGGCGGCGGCATCGTGCGCGACACGGGGAAGAAGCTGGAGAAGCGCTCCAGCCAGGCTGGGACCCGAGGGAGCTGGTGACTGGGGCTCAAGTGGAATTCTCAAGAGGGGTTTGGAGGAAAAGGCAACACAAAGGGAAGACCAAAGAAAACGAGAAAAGAAACTAGCAAAGATTGGACAATTGAGAAGTGGAACATCTTCTCGGAACTTTTGGGTGAGCTGAAGGGAGACCCAAAGGAAAGGGTCATCATTGTGACATTGGTTCCATATCCTATTTTGAGAATCCCCACCCAGATATGTCCACCTGTCCAAGTTCGCTCCCATATTTGTTCCCCTTATTATATTGTTGTTCGGTGAAAAAGACAGCTCCGCGGGAGTTTGGTCCAGCCATCAAGCGGTTGAGCAGATTGTGTAGCACAGGCGGCGCTTCGGCTTTCCCATTCCGAAATGGATATGTGTCTCTTTGAGTTTCCCTAGCCGACCTCGAGGAGGGTAGGAGACCAAAGTGCAGCCTCCGTTTCTGTCAGGGTGTGTTAAAGGTAGAACTGGGTTGCGGCTCAAGATAGGGACCCCGCCCCCGTTTTTGCGATGACTCCGGGAAACCCGCAACAGCATCTCAGCATTTCAGCTCCCAGATCCGGAGTCTGGTCAGAAGTGCTGGCGAAGCAAGGCCAAGATGAGGAAACCTAGACAGGTTTTTCTAGCTTGCTGGTGCTCAGGAAACCACAAGGAATGGTTTCCAGGGGTCATTCCCTCATTCCCTGCTGAGCACCAGCAAGATTAGCTTGCCCTCCCACTGATTAAACAGAGTGAAAAGAGAAACCAGCCGCGCCCCGCTGAAATCCTGAAGTCTCGCACTACCATGGATTTGCCTCAAGATAGGGAGCCCCGATGTGAGGATAGTTGGGTGTGTATTTTTTTGGGGCACCCTTTTTGGATGATGTTAAAGAGAAACCAAAAGGAAAGCATCCATTTTCAAATTTCCCCTATTTTGAGACAATCCCAATTGGCATGATTTCCCTACGTCACGGGGATCTATTTTGAGCCATTGATGGGTTGCAACCATTCATTTCCAGTTCCGGGTTTGTAGCCTCTTTCGGACCATACCGCCATGCCCTGATAGGGGAGAACCGCACTTGAAGTTTTGAACCTCCAACCACTTTGTGGCCTACTCTTGGCATGTTGTTTCGTTTTTATTTTTCCTAGGTTTGGAAGGGACGGAGACCCGGTAATGTTTTTTGGCTTTCGCGGCTTTTGCGTGCTTTTGTGGCTTTTGGCGGCGGTTGTAGCTTTGGCTTTCCGTGTCCTCAGCTGCATCACTGCCAGGATAGTGCTTGCAACCCACTCTAAGCCAGCCCTACACAATCCCTAAACTGCCAAATTTCTCCCAAGCAAGCCTATACCACCCGAAACCAATCCCTAAACCCACCCTAAACCCACCCTAACCGAGCACTAAACTATCCCGAAGCCACCCTGAACCCACTCTACACTCCAACTAAACCCAGCTGAAACCCGCAAAAAATCCCCACCCTATACCCGGCACTAAAGAAACCCTACAGAAACGTTAAACCCACCTTAAACCAACCCGGGACCCTAAGCGTAAACAAGCCATGAACCAATCCATTCCAACCCTAACCAACCCTCAAGCAACCCTAAACAAACCCTGAATCAAGCCTAAACCCACCCTAAACCAACCTAAACCGACTCTCGGGTTCGCTTTTGTGGAGGGTATTTGGGCCTCAGGAGATGGTGGAGACGGTGGAAGACGTGGAGGCGGCGGAAATGGATGACGCGGAGATGGACGAGGATCCGCAAATCCGCGGCCCTGTCGCCACACCTTCGCACACGTTCGCTTGTTTGCATCCAAGAAGCATGCAGCAAACCGAAACAATTTCTGTTAGAGCCTTTTTTCCGGCCCCCCCCAATTGAAATGGCTTCTTCTTTTAAGGGATTCTCCAAATTGCTTCTTGGGCTGGTTTTCGTTTGGACCATTTGGAGGATCACTTGGATGTTAAAATTAGCGGAACGAGACCTCTGGCCCGAAAGAACCCCGACTACTCGGTTCCGAAGGTCTGAAGGCCATCCCTCGCATACGATTGGTCTATTGGTTTGGACGAGGGGGGGGGAGGAGGGGAGATCCCAAAGGTTCCAGCCAAGACACGGGACAAGCCCCAAGATTCTTTTTTTGTCTTTCGGCTCCAGTCACCGAGCTTCGCTTCAAGCTTGCTGTGTGGGAAAACCCGTGTCGCTTCGGCTAGCTCGCTAAACAGTTATTGAGGCAGGTCAACTGGTCAGCGGTGCTGCTACTCCCTCCTTTGTTTTTGATATCTTCCTATTTTTTGGATTAAATTGGTTAGGACGCCTGTCCATTTCAGGTGACAAAGAAACAAAAACAGGAGGAAGAGGTCGAGGAGGTGGAGGACAAGTACGTGCTGGGGCTCAGCGAAATGAGCCGCTGCCTCAGGTAGGGGTCGGTTCGATGCGTTTTCTGTTTTGCTTCAGCCCAGGGGACATATTGGTTTCAAGGGGACCTTTGAGTATATACCCTTGGGTGGTTTATGCAAACACCCCGCGGGGTTGTGGCTTTGGCTGAAAGCAGGGCATGTGGTGGATCAAGCAAGGACAGCACACCCAACTAGGCAAAGACCCCCTTTCAAAGCGATTTCCAACACTAGCAAAAACAGCCAAGACAGCCAGGGGCGGGACATATGTCGGGGGGCGCGGAAAAGGGTGGAGAGAGATTTGCAAGGGCTTCAGAATCCTGTGAAATACCCTCTCGTATGCATGGGCGACGATCTTGAGTGCGATTCCCTTGGTCAGGAGCTTTCCAGATTAGGGCCTCCCACAATATAGGAGCAGCCGCATTGCATCCACAGAGCCCAGTAAATTGATCTGCTTTGTTAATGTTGAAACGCATGTGGAAACATGAACTGTGTTTGAAATGCTTGACCAGAATGGCGCATGCCATTTTGGCTCAAGCTTTGCCCTGGGTTCTTTGAACCCAATTTGTGTGAAAAACCCACCCACCCACACCAAGGTCGGAGGTCATGGCGGCCAAACCACCGGAGGAGGTCCCAGCGGAGTTCAAGGAGGACGTGGCAAAGTTGCAGAAGCCACTGGCGGCCATCCTGGTGGGCAAGGAAATCCCCTGGGCCACCCAGGCGGCTCTGGGCGCATCGGGATACGTCACGGTGGAAGACCTGGCGGATCGCTGGGACACCCCGGCGGCGGCTAGGGAGAATGGTCCCCGGGACCTGGGATTCCGGGATGGGGAGAACGGGTTCAACGCCCAGACCTCGGCCTTCACGGCGATGCGCCTCCTTCAGGCAGTTCGGGTGGCAGCCAACTTGGTCCGGGGGGGCAACCAAGGTGATCACCCGGCGGGCCAGGCGGGCCCGACAAAGGCGCCCTTGGAGGTCCTGTGTGACAGGCGCCAGCTGGAAGATGCTTATGTGGCCACGCATGGGACCCCGAAGCCGAGGTTGGAGTTCCAAGGGAGTGATGGCTACCTCAAGAAGCAATGGCGCATGATTGCCAAGGGTGAGCTGGGCTACATCCCGGCAAAACATATCGTGAGCGCGCTCCCGGAAGAGGGGGAACGCCCCTCATCCACCCACAAGAGGATCACGGTGGACGGCTGGGACAGGGAGGATGAAGAAGAGGTGAGGAGCCACCCTACATCTCGGCGCCAGCTGGAACGATTGCACCTAACCTTCAGGACGACGCTCCTGATGTGCACGGCAGCACTGCCACAGTTTGGCAACCTGAGGGTCACCAAGGAGGAGTTGGATGATTGGTATGCCTGGTTCTATGGGGAAGACATCGCCGGCAGGAAGCCTCCCCCGAGCGACACCACCTTGCTGTTCGCAGAGCGCAATGCATGGCGCAAGATCCACGAGATGGTGCACCAGGGCACCACTCTCTCCGAAGCCCTCAAGAACATCAGGGGCGACTTCCTCTTCTGGCAACGGGAGGTCTATGAGCACCTCAACAGGGCGCCGGAGAAGGGGAAGAGCAAGAGCAAGGCACCCAAGGTGTGGCAGACTCAGTGGGAGAAGCCCAAGAAGGGGGGGAAAGGTTCCTGGCCCTCGGGGCCGACCCGGTCCAAGCCGAAGGGCAAGGGCGGCAAGGGGAAGTCCCCCAACACCCCCTCGATTCCATGGCCGGACCACTGGGCTTTCAAGAATCTTAAAGGGGTGGCGTACTGCTGAGATCATCACCTTCACAACAGGTGTTCGGGATCATGTGGCCGATCCCACAACTGCCCGGTCAGGAAGGATGGGTGGGTGTGCGATGCCCCCCCATCGAAGCATGTGCCACAGGCATGCCCACACCTTCCCAAGTGACAGGAGGCCACTCAGGGTGCCATAGGCCCCGTGGCTTCCTGGTCTCCGTTGGGATCACAGGCCACCAGTGCGAGAGTGCACACAGCGGGGGAGAGCCAACCCCACCAGAGCCACAGCGGAAGGCAGACAGAGCGGGGGAGGCCAGGACGGCCTCAGGTGGGAGGGGACTTCTCCAGGGTCCCGGAAGCCCCTCCACCGAGGAAGAGGAGCGGACCCAGCCAGGGCACTCCAGAAGGGCGGAAGCACCCCTTTCCCCCGCACCCACCGAGGCAGTGGGAAGACCCCCCAGAGAGACCCAGAGGTGAGGATCCGCCCGGCAAGGGGCGTTCCAAGGGCGGGAAGAACCGCCAGGGCAAGCAGCAAGCCCAGGGACAGATGACTGGAGGGTCAGACAAAGGACACACGGAATCCCTAGGGGGGGCAAGCCCCACCTTCCCATGGATGCAGGACACCCCGGAAAGACTGAGGCTCAGACTAAGGTGGACGCCACGTCCGGTGCCGGAGTCGTCAAAGCCGTCCCTCATCCTGCTGTACGCTAGGAAGGATGATGCGGGGGCCCTGGATGCTTGCCTCCATGCCTACAACCCGGCCTTCTCGGAGTACATTTGGGCGGTGGACATCAGGCGAAAGGGTGGAGATCTTGGACAGGACATGCTGGGAGATGAGCCTTACTCTACGATGTGCTCCATGGCCATGGCGGGCAAGGTCGCCTTTGTGGGGGACGGCCCCAACTGCAGGACGTGGAGCATTCTCAGATGGTTCCCCAAACCGGGTGGCCCGCCGGTGAGGGGCAGAGCGGAGCAGACCCTGTGGGGCTTAGAGGACCTGGAGCCCCGGGTTATGGAGGACACGGACAACGACAGCGTGCTCATGCTCCGACAGATGTACCTGACCTCGCTGGCCTACAAGGGGCTAGGTCAGCTAACGGTCCCGCAGATAACCTCCTCCTTCTTGGAGCACCCAATGGACCCAATGGAGTGCAGCAAGAGCCCGAGCGCAGCGAGGTGCTCATCGATCTGGGTCACACGGGCCTACATTCAATGGGCGAACGCACTCCACCACTCCCTCATCAAGTTTGACGAGTGCCGCCTGGGCCAGGTGGTAGTGAAGTCCACGACATTGTCAACGGACCTTCCCCTTCACCATTGGCATGATCTGCGATGCAACCACGGAGCTCACCCCAGGGGGGAAAAGCTCAACTCCAGTGACCTCAGCCGGTACCCAGAGCAGATGATGCAGGGTCTCGCAGCGGCCATCCTTTGCAGAGCGGGACCCGTCCTGGAGGCGCTGAGGCCGGGGGGCACGGTGCCCCAGGCGAACCCAACGACCCCCCCGAGGCGCAGAGGGAACCTTCTCCCAGCACGCCGGGGGACAACAAGCGCCAGTCCCGGAGGCTGAAGGCCGGCCAACAAGCGTTGGCGGGACTAACCTTGGGCTCACTTCCGGTCTCGGCCTCGGACAATCCGGAGGTCCGGACACCGACACAGAGGGCTGGCGAGACGGACGAACTTCGGGGGGGAACTCTTTCCCCTGAGCCATGGGCACGCCATTGCATGGAAATCTCGGATCGGCCCACCATCCTGCCGATCACGCACGACCCAAATCTCTCCGACAAGGTCATGTACCTCCAGATGGCCTTCAAACAGCGCCCCCTAAGGGACGGGGGGGGAAAGCCCTCATTGGGACGGCTGGCCCCGAAGCAGCCACAGGAAGTCATCCACAAAGACGAAGTTCCAATCCACTTGAGGGAAAAGTGCGTAGAGGACCCTGAGTAGAAGGGCTGCCAGGCGTCCCCAGTAGGATTGGGCACTGGCCATGCCGTATGTGCCTACCTTGTTCACCCACCATTCTTCCCCCAGTGAAGCCACCTGGAACCGCCAGTCCTTCCTGAGGACCTTCACTCTCCGGTGGGCCTTGGTGACGTCCGCCTTGAGCAGCACCCACCTGGTGCCCGGCTCCGGCCATAGCCAGCCCCCACGACCTCCCTCTCGGGGCCAGGGGCACCCTGAGAGGGGGGTCCCTCCGCAGCTGCCGCATGTAGCCAATGAAGAGCTTGTACCCCATCCAGCACCGTCGGAGCCGTCGTCCTTTCCACCGTCTGGTTCCTGATGGTGTCATTGGCCCCGCCCACCGAGCCATCGTAGATGGTGCGGATCTTGTCCCCTTCGTCGATGCCCGCTAGGGGGCCGGGACAAAGGTCCTCAATTTCGCAGCCACAGCGCGATGCTGCCTCCACCTTGGTGAAGGGGCCCTCTACCATGCCCATGGGGACCTCCTCCAGGAATGTGCCCCGGATGAGCTCGCTGAAGTGATCCGAAGGGTAGTTACCCCGGCCCGTCAGGTGAGGGAGTTCCTGGAACTCCGGCTCCTCCCCTTTCAGCTCCTTCTTGAGTGGCCAGATGCCCGGCGAGGCCAGGGGTGGGTCCGTGACCCCCAGTCACACCCCTTGCTCCAGATCCCGAGGAAACTGGTGGTCGGGGTCCTGAATGTTCAGCGCCACGCTGTGCAAGATGTCCAGGAAGAAGGGTTGGCCTTCAGCTGGTCGGCCTGCCCCCGGCGCCAGAATCTCCCTGATATCCTCCAGCAGGTCCTCCGGGAAGGGATGTGACCCGTCCCCCAACGAGAGCCATGGCGAAGTGAGGACACAGATCTTGGCCCCCATCGCTGCTGCTTTGGACAGTGGCCGAGTCCATGAAGCGAGGGGGCAGTAAACTTGGCGGTGGCGCTGTTGGCAACACTCCTGGCCTTGGGCACCCCGCTTAGCTGGAAGAAGACACATTTGGCGGAGGTTAACACGTGGCTGGGCTTCGTGGTCCACCCGAACATCCCGCAGGTTCTCATGGCCGCCAACAAACACATCCTGGTGATGGAGGTTTTGCAGACCATGGTGGAAGGGCAGGCGATGCACTCAAAGGACATCGAGAAGGCCCTGGGCCGATGACCACGGTGGGGAAACCCCCCAAGGTGGTCAGGATGCTGGCGTTCATGCTGCGGTTCCTCTTCAACACGCCCTTCGTCCAGTACTCCCCTTACTTGCCGAAGTCCTCTTGGTGGGGTTGCAGCGATGCTAGCGCCTCGGACGAAGGACTGGCATTTGTGGGAGGTTGGTGCTCCAACAAAGTGGAGCCGGAAAAGAAGGAGGTGTACTGGTTCCACGAGCAGATCCACGTGGAGGAGTACCCTTGGGCATTCAAGAATGGGGATCCCAAGCGGAGGATTGCGGCTTTGGAAATGCTGGGCACGCTCTTCCTCTGTAACATGATCCTCACGCACCAAGGCCCTCTGTCCTCCCGGGTCCGACTCCCGGTGGGCAGTGACAATCAGGGCAACGTCATGGCGATGCTCAACCTTGGATCCAAGAAGCCCTACACCGCGGCGATCCTGATGGAGCTGGTCTTCCTGCTCCACACCCATGGCTGCTCGCTGGCGGCCAACCACGTGCCCCGGGAATTCAACCAATGGGCTGATGAACTGACGCACCCAGATTTCTCTGGGTTCGACCCTTTGCACAGGGTCCCCAAACAGGAACTCTGCGAGGAGTTCGTTTTTCTCCCGCGTCTCCTGAATGGAGATGCATTTGATCTTAGCGTGGGCCCACCCATGCTCCCGTGACCGGAGCCGGTGGGTGACTCACTTCCCCTGGTGGCAGACCCCCCTGTGGCCTGGGTGCCCCGGGCCCCGGCTCAGGGGCGGGCGCTATCAGTCTGCACACCCGTTCTTCAGTTTTTGAGATTGTGAGTTGGGTGGCCCATGGGGCCCACCCAGCCTTTGACATCTGACAGGGGAAGATGAGTCCCTGGCACCAACACATTGCTCGGATAAAAGAGTTATCGCGTGCTTGTGTGGTGCCGTTTGGTTAGCTTGCATACACTGATGGAAATCCTGCAAGAGGTACCAGATTTCTGGCGAGCTCTCAAATGACATCATTCAACATTTTGCAATCTCACCAAAAGTAGAGCCGCAACCTCAAAAGATGACTTTGACCTCCTTCGAAGGTTCACTTAAAAATACGGACCACCATCCCCAGCAAACCGGTACTGGAGGGGTTTCTTGCAGACCTGAGCGGATTTGGACGAAACAAGCGGGATGTAGATCCCAGAAGGGGCTTCGTTTTCAGATGCGAATCTATATGTTCAGTATCGTCATAGGCTGTCTCCAAATGGCACTGTGGGCCTTGGTTTTTCTTTTGGAGTCCCTTTAAAACACCCAAAAATACCCCCCCATGATCTATCTTTGTGTTATCATTCCTGCTTGTGCTCTGTCCCATCTGCAAATTCAATGCACATGTTTCTTGAAAGATGTCCATTTCACCTACAGGTCATTGTATATCATTGCCCGTTCCGTGTCCCATCTGCAAAAAGTAACAAAGAACAGAACCCCATTCTATTTCAACAACAAAACAACAACAAAAACAGAACCCCATTCTATTTCAAAAACAGTAAATCATGTTTGGACAAAACTCCTCTTCACATTCTCTTCTTTCCGAGACGTTGGAGCTGAGATGCCGCACCTGCAGGTTGCTTATCATCCCTCTTGGCGTCCCATCTGCAAATTTAAAAATCAACTCCGTTCCATGTTCAAAGTAGAACTTCTGACAAGCGTCTGTGGTTATTGAATTCTACGCAAATTTTGATTAGCAAACAAGAATGGAGCTCCTTTTGGACACGGCATTCACGTTTACATTCTAAGTTGCGATTGACATTGTGATTCAATTCATTCCCTATGAAATTATGCTAAAGCAAACCATTGAACGTAAATTACGTTTGGAAAGGAGTTCCTCTTTGTAGAAGGAGCCCTGAAGGGATCGTTCAAGCAGCTTTTTTCAGCAGCTTCATAAGAGGCCTAAGGAAGTTTACAAGCAGTTTCCGAAGAATTTGCACAGCCCTTATACCCAAAGCGAGCTCTGCACGGAGCCAAAAAACCGGCGCATTAACGGGAGCCTTATCAGGAGCTTGACAACGAGCCTTTCAAGGCGCTTAATGAGCCTTAAGAGCTTTGCAAGGAGCCTTTGTTTGGAGCGTTGTGAGGCTGGAGTCAAGAATTCAAAGCCAGCTTTGGAATTCTGCCTCAAAAAGAGATTCTAATTCAACTCTGTCCTTATTGAGTTCCATCCATGTTCTACTATGTTTTCAATCACTTTTTAGTCAGCGAGAACATAAGGGAACAAATCTCGACAAAGACAACAACACTTGATGAGCAATGCTCGCAAACCAACAACACGTGATTTGTTGGTTTTCTGAACGTTTCAGAACGAACAACAAAAGGCGCCACGAACAAGTTTATCGGTTTTTGGGAGGGATATTGCAAAAGAACAGAACATCACCGAGGGAAAGCCAAATGAACTCGAGAAAACCAACAACACAACAGAGAAAATATCTGGAGAATAATCTTTAGTTTCAGCTCCAATCTTACTTTTTAATTGCGTTCTCGAGGTTTTTCGGGTTTTCCCGCAATTTTTGCGTTTGTTTGGCATTGTTAAAAGAATACAATCTTTTTGTTTTTGTGTGGGACAATGTGTCAGAAAGCCAAACAGCTGAGGGAAAACCAACAAAGCGATAAACACCGCAAGAAAACGATAATGCAAAGTTTGGCCCAACACCAAAGAGTCGCCTCCGATATTGTGTTTCTCGAGTTTTTCTGTTGTCCGTTTGTGTGTGTGTGTGTTTTTTACTGGTTTACTTTGGAATGAAGCGGGCAATTTCTTTATTACATGCACTTGCATGCAGTAGGAAGAGTCAAACCGAGCTTACATAGGATTCAGATATCGAACTTGTCCAACAAACACGAAACACACAGTTTTGTTTGTACACAAGAAAGCACTATAAACGTGCTTGTTTTTTGGGCATGCGCAACTAAACGGGGAATGCCCTCAGGGGTTTTGTGTATACACTTTCGTGCTGGCATTCACAGTAGGAGATCAAAAAGCAACAGGTAGATCATGGGGGGGGGGCTGGTCACATACATAATATATATATATATATATATATACTGTATATATATATATACCTGTATGTATGTATATGTAGACACACGTGCGTCATGAGCACTACGGTAAGCAAAGCACGCAGACAAGAGCTTTGGGCGCATCGCAATTTGGCCAAGGCGACCGGGACTCTGTGATCACTTTGACGCACAAGGTGCTTGGCTCGCCGCATCCGATGCCAGCCCAACGGCTCCAACCTCTCCCTATGCACCCCCCCCCAAACTTGAGAAATTATTGCCCAACCAATCCGATTAAGGGTACGCTGAAGTGGAAAAAGTCTTTGGGCCGACTTTTTTCCTCTTTTTCTTCGAGCTTTGGACCACATGCCATGAGTGTTGCGAGACGAAATACATCAGACCAGTGCGGGTAACCCAATCTCCTATTCAAAAATCCGGTACCAAAATGGGACCCTGGTAAATGGAAATATGGACCACAACCTGCGTAACCCCTCCTGCTAATTTTGAGCCACACCCCTATGGTCCCATCCGATTCAGAACCTAGACACCTCCCCCAGGCCCCTGATGAAGCATATGGCACTTCCATTGGAAAGATGGGGGCTGCCAACTCGACCCAACTCGCGAGTCTCACTTACAAAAAACAAATCCCCGCCAAACATCCCAAGGATTTGTTGGGAGGGTTGTTGCGCTTGTCAGGACGTGCTTTTCTTTCTCCACGACATCCCAAGAACACCCAAGAGATCCCTAGAGACGTCGAGCAATCAAGTCCAACACCAGAATAATCACAGCGAATCTCCGGAAAACTGAGATATCCACAGACGTTTCTCAGGAGCTCTGGGACGGTTTATCTCGGGGTCATTCCATTTCCCCTTCCCCGAGAACGCAGCCGCTGTGCGAAGCGGTGAGGCGCCGGTGGACTGCTGCCGCTTCGTGGGGGACTACGGGAAGGCCAAGGCGCGCTTCGTCAGCTGCACCAAGGACGGGGTTCCAAGCGAAGGGGTTGGGGGGGAGGGGGGGTTGGGCGGCCGTGTTTTTTTCTTCCTTCTATTTGTTCCTTTTTGTTTCTTTTTTTAGGTTTTGGAAGTGAAGAGGTCGCCGGTTTCGGAGAGATAATTTGGGTTGGGAGGTTTGGGGGGGCAAGTGAAAACCATGTTTTTGGACCAGTGAATGGGCTCTTGTGGCGCGGCACCAAAGGACAGGGATCGACTTTTTGAGGCACGAATCTTTTGTACCCTTTCTTTGGGTAAATACTTTCTGAACACCAATTTGAGCACGGGACATCCAAGTTCTCAGGCAAAGGAAGCTGTTTAGGCAAGATCTGAGTCTGGAAGGCGTGAAATTCGTTGCTTACACGTGTCCGCCAATTTAGGTGCCTGAAAATGGTTGCAAAAGGAGAGGGAACACACCCTTGGAACGCGTGCCAAAAATCAGAAATCAAGCGACTGGCTCTTACTCAGGGAACGTCGTGAGCTGAATCTTTTCCTTTACGCAGGGCGCGCTGTGTGGGGCAAGTCATTTCAATGCCGCAAATACCTGCTGAAAAATGAACGTGCATTTCCCGCTTTAAAGCTCCACTTTATTTGCTGCCCTCAAAAAAAGACATTCCTACCTCCAAACGATCAGTTTCCTTTTGATGTCCCCTGACAACCACCAAAAACGGGGTACCTTCAAACAAGTCACACCCGTATCCCCGTTTTTGGGGGCAGACTAAAACACCGCTGCCCACAGCCCCCCTCTCGTCCACGTCGCCGTCGAGAACGAGGACGGGGTCTACTTGTGGAGCGGCGAGGGCGCCTGCATGGCGGAGCTGTCGTTGTCCGTGGAGCGCTACAGGCGCGCGAGACGGGTTGCGACGGGTTGCGCGCGATCCACTGGGGGTCTCCTCCAACATGCATGTGGCTGAAATATTACAAGAGCTAGGGTTGCGCAGGTTTTAGTCTTTGGTTCCAAGGTGCCATTTGGGTACCAATTTTTGAGCCACAGCCAAATCTCTGGGTTTAAGAAACAGAAAGGGGGTTGAATATTCAGGGAAACCGAGCTGAACCGGGTTTTGGGGTCGGCGGAATATGGAAGATTGCTTTTGGACTATAGTGGGGCAGCATGCTCCGGTTTTGGGCCGAGCAAAGGGAAGCTAAAGGGAAGGGATTGCTAAGGGGACCTAAAGAGTTTTCCCACTCGCACCCAGCACCGCTGGAGGGTTTTTGTTGGCTTTGTTGTAAACCATGTTAGTGGTACTGGGCGAAGGTCAAACGGGGGCTGCTACCCATTCTTGCAGAAACACACCTGCGATCGAAATCTCCATTCGGTTTATGAAGGTCGGGTGCGACCTGAAAGGGAAGCTCAAGCGACGGCTTCTCGGGCCCCAACTCTTGTGTTGGAAGGCATTTGGCCAAGACCAGGCAGAAATGTTCCCTCAGTGCCCACCAGGTCGCTTTTTTTTGTCCCCCCCACGGGTCGATTCGTTCGTTGCCACGACGGGTGGATTCGTTTGGTCCTTGCGGCGTCAGGCGGGCGGTGCACGACAAGCTGGGGGACTGGAAGGTGAGCCTTGACGAGGCGAGGCCGTTGGGACTCGGCGTGGAGATTCCAAGCTCTGTGATACAAGCAGGGAATCTTCCCGTTTTTTTTTTGGGGGGGGTTTGTCTTTGGGTTTTTGGAAATCTTCCCTTATGCGGGGTTTTTGTCTTTGAGTCTTTGGGAATCTGCCCTTATGCGGGGTTTTCGTCTTTGGGTTTTTGGGAATCTTCCCTTATGCGGGGTTTTCGTCTTTGGGTTTTTGGGAATCTTCCCTTATGCCATATTTTCGTCTTTGGGTTTTTGGGAATCTTCCCTTATGCGGGGTTTTCGTCTTTGGGTTTTTGGGAATCTTCCCTTATGCGGGGGGTTCGTCTTTGGGTTTTTGGCAATTTTTGGTTGTATCACAGATTCGTGGAGTCCATTTCCCACAGCGGGACGAGGCTGGCAAGGTCCAGAAGGAGATCCTCTGCTGCTCCGCCGTGGGGACGCCCAAAGAGACGAAACACGGTCCGATCGGCATGCGCAACGGGATCCCATTTTGGTTGGTAGGTGAATTCACCACCCATTTTAGGACCTATTTTACGGGGGATGGGGATGGTCACCGGGGGTACGAGATTTTGACCCATGGCCAAATGGACAATTGGTGGCGTCCTTTAGGCTTTCCTTTACAAACACTCCGCAGCGCATCTGGGAATGCCCGTTTTTCAGGGCACCGTTTTCGATGACAAAGAGCCACAGTTTTAGTCCCAGGATTTGAGACACGTCTATCGGGATCTCTCTCTAAATCCCACAAAGCTTCAAGACAGCGGGATCAGAACCTTTCGGGGAGGTTCTCCTGCCCAAATTTTCTGGAGACACACGTGGAAATACATAGGGGATTTTTAGACAATGGCGTCCTCTGGGTGTTTTGCCTTCAGAATCCAAGAAGGGACCCTGGCGGTTTTGAGGAACCCATGTAGATGCTTTGTGGATTCCAAGGCCTGGAAGAAGAACGGGACCTTGATCTTCGCCTCCACTGACTGCCCCTCGGCCCACGCTCGCCGCCTGCTTCTCTAGGATGTCTTTTTGTTTGTTGCAGGGGCGGTTTGCAGGAATTCCGCGCCTATTCTTTTTGTTTTTTGGCGGGGGGGGGGGCAGGTCGTTTTCGGGCTGATTGAAGCACTGTCTTGTTGGGAGGCCTTTTCGGCCGAAAGATTGGGATCCTTATTTCAGCATCGGCATAGCCTGCACAGCACCAGGATGTGGCCGACCTCTTTTTCAACAGTTTGAAGCACTGCGTTGTGCGGTAACCACATCCCACTCTGTTTGGTGTCCCTGCAAAATTGGACCGGCCAAGATCTTTCTGTTTTTGTGATCACGCTCTTGACTGGTTTTGAATGGCAACCAAAAGTAATTACAGCCACCAATTTGGGGTCCACATATTTTGACACATACCAATTGGCTCAGAATCTCGAAGCTGGATCCTTTGGCATGCTGTTGCGGATTTCGCAAAATGTTTACTCCAGACCTCCTAGAACGAATCAAGTCCACGCTTTGTTGAAACGTGTGTTTTGTGCTTTCTCGAGGTTTTTTTGGTTTTGGAGAGCAAACAACTACATTCTGAAGCACTTTTGCGACATTTCCCGGCCCTCACTTTTGCTTCTTAGCAATTTGTTGTTTGTATTGCCTGAAAACAGTTGACAGCTGGAAACTACATTTTAAGCCTGTGTCTTGTATTTTTCGGCCCTCTTTTCGCCTGTGCAACCCGTTGTTTGTATTTCCTTCAAGCAGTTGACAGATACAAACTATGCTTTCAATCCACTTCTTTGGTTTGTCCCGGCTTTTTTTTCTCCTTTGCAATTTCTTTTTTAATATGTACTTTTATTTCCTTAAAACAGTTGACACCCAGCTAGAAACTGTATTTTCAACCATGTGTTTTGCATTTTCCGTTTTTTTTTTTTTTTGTCCCGCAACCCGTTATTTGTATCTCCTTTAGACAGTTGACATTCAGCCAGAAACTGCAATCTCAATCAAGTGTTTTGTATTGCGTGTTTTCTTTCTTTGCAAACCGTTGTTTGTATTTCCTTAAAACTACATTGTCCAGCACGTGTTTTGTATATCCGGGCGCTCATTTTACTTTTGCACCCCGTTGTTTCTATTTCCTCAAAACAGTTGGCAGCTAGAGAAAAAAAAATCAATCGTGAGTTTTGCATTTCCCAGTTTGTCTATTTTCTTGTTCAACCAGTTGTTTGTATTTCCTCAACACAGTTGACGCCTAGGAACTGCATGTTTAATCATGTGCTTTGTATATCCGGGTCAGTTGTATTGAACGGGTCGGCAAGCCTGTACCGCTAAAGTACACGGGCCAAAAAATATAGTGTCTAGCTGTCACCTGTTTTGAGGAAATACAAACAACGGGTTCATGACAAAAAAAGGAAATACACTACATAAGTTTAAACAAAAGAGTAGATTCTAGCTGTCAACTCAATAAAGGAAACAGCGGGTTGCAAAATAGGAGGGCCGGGAAGTACAAAACACTTGCTTGAATATATCGTTTCTAGCTGTCAACTGTTTCAGGAAATACAACAACAGGCTGCAAACGAGAGAAGACGGCACACGTGGTGGGGTGATGTTGCCCCACTCCTGGACTTGGTGAGCGCGAGTATTGCGGCCCTTGTTTCTTCTCGTGCAAGCTGTTTGTGCCTCAAAGCAGTTGACATCTAGAAGTTCCAGGTTTAATCACGTGCTTTCTACTTGTCGGCGCGCCTTTTTGCTTTTGCAACCCGTTTGCATTTCTTTTAGACACCCAAACGGGATCAAGTTTTTCAGGCGGCGAGGAGAAGTACGTGGGCGTATGGTCCATCAAGAAGGGCAGCTCGTCTTGATCAGATGCTGGGCATTGGGGGCATACGCGTCTTTTTAGGTTGGTTTGGCTAAGAGTAGACAGGTTCCACTGGTTTACATGGGGGTTTGTTCCATTTGCCAGGGCCGTCTATTTTTCAGAATGTCATCTATGATTGGGGGTTCCTCTCGCACCCCCAAAGGGTGTGCCCTCCAAAGAGGACACCCCTCACCTCCAAACGATGCGAGCCATGGCTCCCTTCTTTTTGGGTACTGCCCACACGGAGGTATGTTGGGAGCTAGAAGTCGGTGCCCATATTCGCCCTCTGCATTCGTTACATGGTTTCAGGTGGACCCAGTTGGCTTCCCTTTAAGCCAACCCCCAAAGGGTACCCTCAACAAAACGGCACACCTGCATTCCTGCAATCAGCAGACTTGATGTTTAGCCCTCATGAACGGTTGTCAAGAAGTCGACCACGACCAAGACACAGAGACTTGAGATCGCAAGCGCACCAATAGAAATGGGCTTGTCTTAAAGGGGCATCCCAAAACTCATTGATTTCCTTTTCGTTTCCCTTTACAGCTACCCAAACAGACTGCGCTCAACACATGACACGCCAGAAGGGCGCAAGAGTAAAGTTAGAAATGCCACTTCTAAAGCTGCGGTTCCGACGAGGGTTCCAGGCAGAGGAGGGTTCGGGGAGGCATGGGGTTCGGGGGTTCCAAGAAGGGTTTCGGGGATGCGCGGGGCTGTTCGACGAGGGTTCCGAGTTCTGGGGATGCATGCGGTTGGGATATCACTGGAGCTGTTTCTATTTTGGGGGAGGGGGGCGGGTCCAGGTTGAAAGAGGATCGCGTTTTGGCGTTCCTTCCAGAGCAACTTGCCTTCCCAATTGCAGCCATGCTAGAATTCTGGGTTGTGGGCCCTGGGCCGGATCCTCCAGGCGATCCGGGCCTCTTGAACGAGGAGTATTCGGGCCTGGAGTACAAGGACAGGCGATCCAGCCCGGGCAAAGAGTTGAGGTCAGCCGGGAATCGAAATGCCGCTTCCAGCTTTTCGGGAATGCATTCGAGGAAAATCGCCAGGATTGTTTGTAGAGGTGAGTCAACTTGGAGTTCCATCGAATCGAAGCGAGAGAAGGCACAGCGGCCGGGAGGCCTTCAGGTCTCCGTTTGAACGTCTGGTGCCTGTTCTTCTGGAGCTGTGCAATTTCTGGTTAGCGGAAGTACATAAGTCCCACCCTCTCCGGGACTCGCGTGCGGATCTTCTTTTGGCGAAGCACTTCGAGGAGAGCTCGCAAGCGTGCGGTAGACTATGAATGGGCATAAGCCGTTTTAAATCCAAACACAAATGGCTATGGGTCAAAACTCAAATCGTACCCCCCAGTGAACATCCCAATCCCACTAAAATAGATTAAACTGGGTGGTGAATTCACCTACCCCAAAATGATACCATTGGTGTTGATCCACGGCCAAATGGGCGCTGTTCTCTTGGGGCGGGTTTGGCTTCCCTTAAAAGCCACCTCCAAAAAGGATGGGGTCGAAGGGAAGAACAGCCACTCGGGGTCCCCCAAAAGTATGAAGCGACATTCGTGTCGGGCTTCAGCATCTTTCCTTGTTCAATGCGGTCTGCGTGTTACTTTTTGGGCCAACAGAAAGTGAGTCTCCTTGTGGGGTGATGGTAGGCTGAAGATCTTGTCGGAGCCCGTGTCTTCCGCTCTTGGATCGGAGCTCTAAACTTCCATCCGCCATTTTCAGTTGGAACTCAGGGTCCAGGCTTCTCCTGCGGCGGGGGTTGATGCTCGACACACATTCCACATATTTCCTTGGCGTTTGTTGTTGTTTCCAAATTGATATTGGGAACCCAAGGGGGTCCCCCGAACAAAGATCTGTCAAGCAGGGTTGCAGGGAATGGGCATTTGGTAATAAGTGAGGAATGTTAAAACCAGCTATACCGATTCTGTATTTCGGATTGGTGATTTTAGGAATTTGTACAGATCCAGACAGTTCCAGCACATACCCCACGGTCAATTTGGGCTTCGTGACACGGGCGTAATTATCCCCCCCCCCCCTCCCTCCCTCCCTCCCTCCCTCCCTCCCTCCCTCCCCTCCCTCCCTGCCTCCCTGCCTCCCTGCCTCCCTGCCTCCCTGCCTCCCTGCCTCCCTGCTCCCTGCCTCCCTGCCTCCCTGCCTCCCTGCCTCCCTCCTCCCTCCCTCCCTCCCTCCCTCTCTGATTCCTTCTAGGTTGGTCAACTATAGTTCGCGCAGATACGCAGCGGTGGTTTTTGGAGTTGCCCTAAACCGTGGTTTCTGGAGAGAAGCCGGAAGCCCCCCGCCGGGGTCCAACTTCCGTTGTTTTCTACACCTCGGATGCATCTAGGAAGCCCACAAAGTGAGCGAGAAGAACGATGACGGCCTGCATATGGTGCCGTCGCCAGCGCGTTGTCGGGCGTGGTGAGAGTTTTTGTTTTGTTTTTTCCAGGCCCTGGGCGAGTTGTAAGGGGGCGACTGTCCACTTGTGTTGTGAGATCCAAAGTTCAAAGACTTGGCCTTCTGCTCGAACTGGGGTCGTCAGTTGTTGCGCCGCTTGCATGGGTTCTTGGGAAGCTCGTGAAGAAGCAAGATCTGGCAGGAATCCCTTTGCACCATTCGGTGGTTCGCAACTGAGGATGCCCTTTTCAGACGGTGCTTCAAGGGAAATCAGCCGCTAGGCCGCTAGGTGCAGGCGCCCGTGTCAAATGTGCAAGGGTCCAACGCATCAACATTGGGGAACTTGTTAATCGGGTTCCACAAGCAAAGCGACAAACTGCATTGGCTTTGTGCTGGTTCTCTCAGCGAACCGGCTTTGTTAAACACAGCGTCCCCCAAACACAGGCTAGTGTTGGTCTACTTTAGTCTTGGGGTGCTTCGTTGCAATCCTTGGGTGGGGAAATACACCATCCCCTGTCATAGAATTGTTCCTACAAGAATCCATATTTGGTCTGCCAGCTGTATCTATATTGTCCATTTAAGACGGTTGGGATGATGTTTGTTTTGGTCTCGGCTCGATGTTTTCGGTTGGACGTACAGTTGCAACACATGCAGTTGTACACCTACATTTTTGTAGCATGCGTATTTGATTTGAGGGTACACTTACCAGCCTGTTTCCAAGGGAACCAAGGCGAATCAAAAGCCCGCTTTGTGAGTTTCTTTCGAGACAGCCGCGTATGAGCAACGGCCAATATTCGAAGCAAGTTTAGAAGAAACTTCCGTGGTCTGGAAACTTGAAAGCTAGATCTGAAAGCTAGATCTCTGACAGAAGAGAAGAGAAGAACAAGCACGCAAGAAAAAAAGAGTGCGCGTGTGGCTGGGGAATAGACATGCAAGAAAGTGCGACCCTTTGCGGGTTTCAGTTCTTCTGCATGCTTGCAAGTTAGCCCAATGGCACGGACAGCTTTAGTTTGCGTGGCAGCGCTTTCGCAAGGTCGGGTGCGAATTTCGTGGCAGGCGCAGCACCTTCGCCAGGTCCGATACAGATTTCTGTCAGGCGCGATTTTGCAAGGTAGTGCAGATAGATAGACGGATAGAAAGATTAGATAGAAATCTGAATAGACAGATGAATAGCTAGATGAACAGATAAGCAGACAGACAGATAGAGGATAGACAGATCGATCAGTCGATAGATAGGCAAGTGCTCAAGCAGGTCTAGACGTCCAGGTCCAGACAGACGGATAGATAGATAGGTAGATAGCGTCATGGACAGACAGGCAGACCGGTAGGCAGAGAGACAGACAGGCAGGCAGGCAGACAGACAGACCGACCGACCAACACACAGACAGACAGATCCATAGGTAGGTAGGTAGATAGATAGATAGATAGATAGAAGATAGATGATAGTTCTGTCGAAAGATAGATAGACAGAAAGGTAACAGGATAGCAAGACAGATAGGTAGTCGATAGACGCACAATAAATAGATGCAAGGAAAGAAAGATAGAGATAGATAGACAGACGGATAGATAGGTAGATCGGTAGACAGGTAGACAGATAGATAGGTAGATAGATGGATAACAACCGAGGATGTCGATAGATCATTACCTAGATAGAAAGACAGGTTGATAGATAGAACAATAGATAGACGAATGGGTGATAAGAAGATAGGTAGGTAGAGAGACAGGCAGAGACATGTAGGTAGAAAGGCAGATGGATGGATAGGTAGATGGACAGACAGGGTAGGTAGATCGATAGGTAGATACGCAGTCAGACAGACAGATAGACAGACGGTTGCTGCCAGCTCGGTCGTACACGGTTGGACAACTTGGTCCAAAAAACCACCAACATCTGTAGGTTGACGCTGTTGAAACTTCTGCTCGCCGGATTCGCCGGCTCTACTGCTGCTGCTGCTGCTGCTGCTGCTGCTGCAGTCTGCTGCTGCTGCTGCAGTCTGCTGCTGCTGCTGCAGTCTGCTGCTTTTTTTTGGATAGCAATTCTTTCCTCACAAAATCTAGGGGACCTGCTGAAAGGAACCAACTGTGAATGCGGATTTGTCCTCTTCCGACAAGGGATACTCCTATCAAGCAGGTTAATAACTAGGTATAAGCCGTGGTATGTACTTACCCTCTTACCACGGCCGAATGAAGAGACCTCAGCCAACCATGAATCATGGCTAAGGCCTTAAACCTCTTTTTTCCCCGGCCTCCTGTTGAATGGAGGGTGCTTGCCTAGCGGGCTACGTTTTCCGTTTTTTCGTGTTACCTCTCCAACCAGAGTGACCCAAGGTGCGACCGGTGGCCATCTACCATCAGCCCCTCGGCATGTTTTTTTTGGTGGGTGTTCACTTGGAGTGGAGGGGCCCTTTGGTTTCCTTTGGTTTTTCCTAAGCCACTTCAAAGAGGGTACCCTCTGAACAATGCGGCGTACACAGACTCAGCTGATTGTTTATCCAGTTGTTTTTGATTGGGCGTCCCATCTAAGAGCGGATCCAGATCAATTTTAGGGGAACCCCATTAATCCAGAGGGTTGATTGATCTGAGGTCGACATTTCCTGTTTGGGGCCGATGGTGGACTTTCGGGGACACACCAAAATCCAACCACAAAAGCTAGGGCGTCCACCTTTGTTTTTGTGTTATGTGTGTGTTTTTTTCTTCGGGGGGGCAGCGCTTAGATTTGCACCCGTATCGTTCAGAGGCGCTCTTTTTGGGCGCTCCAACACTTTCTTCGGAGGGCTTCAAGGGAAAACGGAAAGGAACCCGAAACCTATGCTGTAAGGGTCCACAAACATTCCCAGGATTGATGTTTCATAACAGCATGCAATTCCTGCAAAGGGGGAACAAGAGTGCAAAGGGCAGCAAAACACAATAATTTGCCATGGCTTGCTTTATCTATTCCTTTCCTTGACAGGTCGCTTGAGAAAAATGCATTTGTGTACCTTCCCCCAGGCGCCTTCTGGTAGTGGCAGGGCAATATCCAGTTCTTTCGGGAGTGAACCTGTCAAAGAGTCTTCTTTTTGGCGCTCGGGGGAAGGCCCCCTCTGAATCAGCGAAACACAAGGAACTAAACTCCCAAGAGTCAAGGTCAAAGTAGATGGCGCAATTTTTCTTGGTGGGGTGAAGTAAAGGGGAAGACTACACCAAAAGGTGGGGTTCTCATGCCATACCCGCGCCGCGAAGGGCTGAAATTCTTTGAATGGGATGGGGTGAAAGAAATTGCAACCAGCGCAGGCCCGGCGTCATGATGGACGTGGACAAGCAAGGCACGCCATGTGTTGTCACGGCTGCCCAGCTGGTTCCCTGCCAGGTCATTACGTTGACAGTGTTTGGGGGTTAGACTTTAGGGGCAAAGCAATGGGGCAAGTTCAACAGTCATTGGTGTGTGCGTGTGTATATGTAATAGTTATGAAATCCTTAGGGACAGAGCCTGTCACTTTCACAACTGAGAGGGCATCCCCGACGTTCAGTTTGTTTATTCCGGGATGGCCATTGATTGGGGTATGCAATCCTGAACTGCTCGTGTGGATTGGTGTTTCAGGGATTTGACCCTTGGATCGGTTAGGGTATAGGATTTGATCGTTGCACCGTGCAGCTCGGAATTCTCCTTCAAACGTGTGAATCCGATTTCGGGCCATCGCCCAGAGGGTGTCAAACCGGGCTCCCAAGTGGGGATCCAGGCCTGTGGCATGCTTTGAGCAGAATTGAACCCCTTGTCGAGTGGCCAAACACATGTCCGAAAAAAGTAATCGCCCGACATCTGAGTACCTGTTGCGGGCGGAGTTTATTTCCTTTTGGACATATAGCCGGGTGTCTACTCTGTGTGCATGCAGATGCCCCAGCTTAGTTTCATGCCTCCAGCTCGGGGGCTTGATTCCGGCCTTCGTGCGGTCGGGTTCTTTTTTTGGGAGACATGTTGTACCTGCTGAATTGGCGACCTCGGACCTGTCTGGGCCGGGGAATCGGTTTTTGGACGGGTGTGAAGCCCGGGCAGCCCCAGCCGTCTTTGACCCGCGCCTGGAGCCGTCGGAAAGAAGCGACTCCTATTTGGCCCTTTCCGTCGGCTCGACCCGAAAGCTTTCTGGAAAACGTCTCTTTGAGCATAGCAACCGTGGGATCAACGGCAAATCCCCGCTTTTGGTTTCCTATGGTGCACGCCTCCTGTCTTGTCATTGGGGTGGACATCACACCCTACATTGAGTGAACGGCCTGGCGTTTTTGCCGCGTTTCGCGGCTTTCTGAAGGGCGTACTCCCTGCCCGGCGACTTTGGCTCAGTAAAAGCAACAACAAATAGACTCCTTCCAGTCATCGCACCAAGCATTTGGACGGGATCGCCTGAGTTGCGCCCGAAAAAACGCCCAGCCTCCGGAAGTCCGGAAGCGAGCCCTTTGGGGAGCAGCTGACAGCCTGGTTCGTGGTCAGGGGTTTGGTTGGGTTTCTCTTTGTGTTTGGAATGGGGGCACTTGGAAGTTGGGTGCTACGCCCAAAAAAGAACTGGGTTGGCTGTCTAGCAGCAAACTCATGGGGTTTTAGGAGCATAGCCCAGTTGGAACGCCCTTGACAGTAGAGATGGGTCGGACAAATTCCCTCCAGATGTGCAGAAAGGCACACCGGCGCCCCGGGCGCTTAGACCCGTTGAGCCGCTTTGTTTAAACATCCAAAGCTTTTGGCTCCCAGGCACATGGGTGCCATTTGAGCCAGAATATAGTTTTCTCCCTGGGGGCTTCAAGGGAATCTATCCCCGGACCCTATTTTTTTTGCGGGGCGGCAAAATGACTGGGTCTTCAAACTTCGGGGACACCACACAATGGTTTCCGTTTGGTTTCCCTTGGAAGGGTACCCTCCAAAAAGGGAGTCATTTTTGGGTACCCTCAAACAAAAAGCCATTTGCTTCGTTTCCAAAAAGGGGCCAAGGCGACCGCCGTGCGGGTCCCGGATCTCTCTCAGAGGTCTCTTGAGCCCCAGGCCACGCCACGGCCTTTGTCACCGACCGGCGCCAGGATTTCGCCGCCCGGCGGCAATATCTTTTTTTCGCGCACCGGCCCAAGGGCGCAAGCGCCTTCCGTTTTTTTTTTTTTTTTTTTTTTTTTTTTTTTTTTTTTTTTTTTTTTTTTTTTTTTTTTTTTTTTTTTTTTTTTTTTTTTTTTTTTTTTTTTCGGGGGCGGAGGGAAGCTCGGAAAAAACGCGCGGCTGAAGCCTGAAGCGCCCTTTTCGGGCGGGATTCTGGGCTCCTCCTTTTTGGGGATTCCTTCGAACGGATCGTTTCCGAGTGGCTTCCCATGTGCCGAAGAGAAATGCTTGGACCAAAACGTGGAAGCGTTGGTCGCTCCAGGTCCGAGGTTGGTTAGGGAGAATGGGTGCAAGTCCTGTCGGCTCGGCCACATGCTTGTTTCGTTGCGTCTTTTTTTTGGTTCGCTCGCAAGTTGGCAGTCTTGCGGTGATGTTTACAGATTTTGGAGATATAGTCGGAACCCTTGGCGTCCTTTTTTTGGCCAAGGGTTTGTTTTTGCCGTTTTGGTTTTCTTTGTTTCTTGACAGTCGTCTCATTGCGTGAATAAACCACACATCATTTTGTTTCTTCACTTCTTGGGTTGCTTTAGAGGGCAAGCCCGAATGGACATTGCCCATACGTGTATATATATATATATACACATATAACGCAGATGTCTCTACATGGGGGGGTCGTGTTTCCCATTCTGAGACGAGCCCTGTTTTTGCAGACTTAAATATCTTTGGGCGAGCGGCGCCGTGACAGGACATTGCCATGTGGAACCTCGAAGCCGTGCCGCGGCATGCGATTGGGGGCGGACAGCGGGGAGGCTTGCGGTTTGCTTTCTTTTGGGTTACTCCGAACCTCCAACGGGGGAGCATTGCCTGTTGGTCTCCGAACAAAAATGGAGGGGTGCCAAGATGGTCTCCAAAATGGAGCAACCCAAAACAGGTGAGCAGTGTCCCTCCGTTTTGGTTTGTCTCAATTCAGGGGAGCCCTCAATCAAAATGCTTGGTTGCCTTTTGCTTTCCCTTGGACACCACAAGTAGAATGTATCTTTTGAAGGAGCAATCTTGCGTCGCCCCCCTGTGAAAGCGACCAAACTGACTGATTCGCAAGGGTACAGTTGGGTGACAATTGGATCACTTTTTGCCTCCATGGTTCAGTGATCCCCTCTGACCACACATGCAATTGTGCCATCCACTTTCACCCCATGAAAATTGACATGGGTGGCTCGTCTTCTTTCAGACTTGCCCCCCATGAATGGTTTTCCTTGTTTTCTTTTCAGTACCAAAGTTCTCGAAGTCGTGTTTTTGTAAGATGGTTTGTTGGGTTTCCCTTTAAGCCTCAACCAGTGGGTTCAACCATTTAGAGAACTCATTTCAATCCTTTGGTTTCGCACACCTCCAGCCAGCCATTTTGTGCAAACCTTCGCCTGGCATCCTCCAAATGTCAGTGCACCTCTCTCCGAGGTGTCGGTTTCCATGGGATCGGGCGAATGCGAGTGCGCGGTTTTTTGCAGAGGGTGCCCTTGTTTAATGGCTTTAGAGGGAAACCCACCATTTGCCGGTCCCCTAAAAAAGAAGGCACACCCAAATTAACTTTCCCAAAAGGACACATACCTTTCTTGTAGGTACACGTCGTGGGAGCACCCCAGCACCACAGCAGCGAACTTTTTTTTTTAATGCCTCGGAATCCACCCTTGAATTTATCCGGGCAGGTATCCTTGGCGTTTTGGTCGGGAGCCAAGCGAGCTCACCAAACTAGAGCAATTCCCCAGCGGCAGAATGGGAAATCCACCTCAGGTCCAGGCGCCTTCCTTGGATTCCGAGAATTTTCGGTTTGCGGATTTTAGAGGAACTCGTCTTCCAGATTCCCATGGCCGAAAAGAGCCATGAAAGTTTTCCAGGTTTCAAGTACAAGCAAAAAGGGGTTCCGAGCCTCAAAGAAATTGACATGTACTGTATCCATTTGGTCTGGGAGGAGGCTTCGACTTATCTCCAGTCGGTCTGGGAGGAAGCATTTTTCTGACCGCTCAGCTCCCCGTGGGTCCAATCGTCGCGACGGAACGAGAAAGCACAAGTCTCAGGCGCCGCCCAACATGATGCTCTTCTTGCCGGAGGACCCGGCCAATCTGCTGATCATGCCGGGCCGCGAGACTGCGCCTGGTCCGGCGGAGGTGTTTTTTTTGGGTGGGTCAACGCGCGTGGATGGGTCTGAAGGGAAACCAAAGGAGGTAGCCTTTGTGAGGAACCTCCCCTTATAGTTAAATGAAATGAACTATTCGCAGTGATCCAGGAATGGGTTTGTTTCGGATGGTTCGCCTGTTTGTGCAATTGCTGGAATCCCGTTTTCTCGGGCCGAGCAGGCGCAAGGCATCCTCGGTTTGAAAAAGGTTTGGGAGTCAGGATGTCAACGTCATCTCAGATATCTTTGCTCTCTGCACAAACGGTGGAAGCGATTTGGATCCGGTTGCACATCCAAGGGGCCGTACGCCAGAGTGTCTTTACCGACCTGCCAAGGAGGGCGGATGTTCTGAGATAGGCAAGTCCATATGACCTTGCGGATTTTTGTCAACGCAGAGAATCACTAGAGCAAGGGATGGAAGTTGCGGGGGGTTGCAGGGAATCTTGGGGAGGGCATCGGAACCTCATGTTTCCCAAGGAGACGACTCACGTTTCCCAGGTTCGCGTTGAAAGAGTTTGGTCCGCTCACGTGATTTGACACTATCAACATCCTCTTGGTTCGCCCAAGGGCTATGGTCTCACTAAGGTTCAACCGATTCCCATTAAAGAACGGCAAGGACGCAATTTAGATGATAATTCTGAACAGGAAGCAACGTTGGTTATTATTACCCCAATCATTGTTTTAATGGGGGTCTGCTTACGGGTATGTACTCGCTGGGACCCTTGCCCGCCGAGACAGCGAGTGTGTTTCAGCTCAGGTGGACCTGGTGATGCCGCTGGGCGAAAGGGGGAGGGCTGGATGGGGGTGTTTGGGTTTGGGGTGTTTGGGGTGTTTGGGGTGTTTGGGGTGTTTGGGGTGTTTGGGGTGTTTGGGGTGTTTGGGGTGTTTGGGGTGTTTGGGGTGTTTGGGGTGTTTGGGGTGTTTGGGGTGTTTGGGGTGTTTGGGGTGTTTGGGGTGTTTGGGGTGTTTGGGGTGTTTGGGGTGTTTGGGGTGTTTGGGGTGTTTGGGGTGTTGGGGTGTTTGGGGTGCTTGGGGTGTTTGGGGTGTTTGGGGTGTTTGGGGTGTTTGGGGTGTTTGGGGTGTTTTGGTGCTGGCTTTTGCATTTTGCTTTGTGTTTTGGGTTGTTTTGTGTTTTGTTGGCGGGTATTCTGGTTTGTTTTTGTCTGTTGCGTCGTCGAATCCACGTTGGACTCCATCAACAAAGCATTTCCCTGATTGGTTTTCCTTTATATACTATATACACCTCTCTCTCTCTCTCTCCATATATATATATATATATACATAAACCGCGCACTGTCAGCGACGAGCTCATCGCCGTGATTGAGCATTTTTGGTTTCTTTTTGCCCTTTCAGGTGGGTTTCCCTTCACTTCTCTCCCCCGACCTCCTTCGGAAACCCCAAACAAAGGCCGCCCTTTGCCCGGCCCGCGGCCGGCCTTCGCGCGCTGTTTGCGCCTTCGCGGCCGCTTGAGAGGACCCACAGCTCCAAAGTCATCGACACCACGGTGGTGGAGGACTCCGAGGGCCCCGCGCTGGTGGTGGGCTGCGACGAGGGCGCCGTCTACGCCTGGGCGCCTTGGATCGGAGGGATCGGAGGCGCGAAGCGCGGCGCACGGCTCTTGGTTGTGGGCGGAGTTGGCCGTGTCGGTGGAGGGCAGTGTTTTGTTTTGTTTTTTGGCAGGTGGGTTCCCAAGAGAAAGCAAAAGAGGATGTTGGGAAAATGGTTCATAGACATGTTTTCAGTTGCCCAAATCCTGGCGTCCCACGCTTCCACAATCTGACATTGGGTCATGAGACCTCCGACTCCCACCGCTCGCCAAGATGAGCCGACTACCGAGTCAAAAGACCGGATATCCGAAGCCGCTGCCGGGCAAACATGGGGGTTTGTAACATTTACTCAGTGGCGAGAAACTGGTTTTCCACATCTTCCCTTGGGTTTTTGGTGTTGGGGGGGTGCGGAAGGCTGGGAGCCTCTTCAATTCCGCAGGCGGAGAGTGGAGAGTGGAGAGTGGGAAGAGCTGCAGGGAATTGATTCTTAACTTGTCATTCATGTCAACTATCAATTTACACATCCACCAAAGGTGTTTTTGAACAAGGAAGTTGTCTTTCTCCTTTTTTTTTGTTCTTCTTCTTCTGTTTGGGTTGAAACGGATTGTCCTTTTTTGCTTTGGCCGAATCGCCGGTTTTGGTTGACCAGTTTTGGGTTCAGACAGGGGTCTGTCCACATATTCTTCCTTGTCTAGCAAAGGGCCATTTTCCCGTTCCATGGCTCTAGTACCACAAGCGGCGAAATACTAACCATGTGCTACCATGATCATGGCTGTTCAAGGTAATTTCCCCACTGCCCCATCCGACTTTCATTTAGCCGCTTGTAGTCTTCTACTTGCTTAAGTTTGTTTTCCCCTCTTCTTTTTAAAGGGAATCTATCACTACAGGTTTTTTTCTTCATTTTTTCAGGGGGCTTAAGCAAATGGAAGTAGTCTGTCGACGTTGGCCTAGGACTTGTCGGGCCACGACAAGGGGCAGATCTATGCCGAGATGCGCTCGTTGCTCCCGCAGGAGGCGGGGCGAGGCGTTGCCAAGCTCGGTGGATTTGGGGAATCCCGCGATGGGGGTGGAGTTGGAGAATCCAACCTGGGGTGGACTTAGGATACATCTTACATTTTTTGAGGCCTGCAATCACTGTAATGGGTGCCTACATTTCCGAAGCACCCAACGACTCCTCCCGTCCCACAAAGACCCCTTGTTTGTGACCTTATTTCAATGGGAGGCTATGTTTTGGAGGTTGTTTTCTTGACTCTTCCACCTTCGGGTGGCAACAAGCGCCTGATTCTCTTTTCGGGTTTTCCCCCCCTTCAAACATGGAAGTGCACACAGCCTCTTTGTTCAACCCCCGATAGCAAGTGCACATTTGGGTGCAAGTGGACAGTAGTCGTGGGGATGGGATTGCAACATTGGAGGACTGCTTTTCTTTTGGAAGGGAGGGAAGTCCTTTGGAGGCCAAGGTTCAGGCTCCCGTGGGCCGAGGTGTTTCTGCCGCCTTTGCTCCTCATCGTGCCTCGGCCGGTTTGGGGGAGGTGCTGGGGGCTGGCCGCTGGTTTGTCCGTTTGGGCATCGCATGTCAGGTCAGAGCACAAGGGACCCTTTCTGGGAACCTTCCACACAGAACTGGAAATCCCCTTCAACGGTGTTACGAGTATGCCAAGCTGGAATTCACCCCTTTTCCCCTATATCACTTTTGCGCATCTCACTTCTGTGGCACCCGATTGGGATTGGGTTTTATTTTGCCGGTTCTCAGGGACTTTCATTTTTTTAAGGGGTTACCCCCAACAGTTTCCCTGGGGGATTTTGGGTGCTAAACTCCCGGGATCCGGTGGCTCCAAAGCCCAAGAGCTGATCCCAAGAGGCATAGGTGTCCTTTTTTGGTTGATTTGGTCTAAAGATAGAGGGCCCTGGTGTATCTGGTGGTTCAATGAACTACCAGGGCCGTCTATTTTTCCAAAAAGGACACACACCGTCGTCGGGAGCCGCGGATCAATCTCACCGGATCGATCAAAACCGGAAGAGCGTGGAGCTGAGGTGGGCGCCATGCAGATGGTCTCCTTCGCCTTCGGCCCGGCGATCCCGTGGAAGGAGTGGCTTTTTGAGCGGGGGCTGGTTTTTGTTTGGTCTTTAGGAGGGTGTGGAGCTTTTTGTTCTTCTTCTTTTTGAGGGGGGGTAGGTTTTGGTTTGGGTTGGGGGTTTACCAACATAGCGGATGCCTGTCTTGAAAGTTTCATTTCCCACCTGCACTTCCTCAATTTTCTGCAACGCACCATTTTCAGATCTTATTCGAAACCTGCACGTGGCTTTCGGTGTAGGATATCAGCGGGGTTTCCGGGTTTGGCTTGGCTTGAAAGGCGTTCAGTACCCTACCAGAACCCAGACTTTGTGTTTGCGGCTCTCGGGGAAACGCCAGGATTTTTGTTTGTTTGAAACCGGGGGGGGTGGGTGGGACTCTCCAAGTTGTGTGTTCCTTTTAAAAGCAGCCAACCAGAAAAGCACCTTCCAACAAAGGAGGGGGCACCCCTATTTTCCACGTTTTGGTTGGCTTTGGTATGTCGGAGCCTCACCTCGTGGATTGATCCCTGATGGGGTCCCACCCAGGACCGACTCGGACTCTTTGGAGTGCCATGAACGAGGGCTCATCCATATCTTCAGCGGTTTCCACGTGCGAAACAGTTGGTGCTTCGGCTGTTTCTTGGATGTGTCCTGAAATAGCCGAGGTCTTCGTTTTGGCCACAAGTGAAGATAGTTGTTCGGTGTCATAATTGAAAGAGTTGCAGTTTTGACATGTGTTTTGCCCGAAAAACGGCACACTCCGGGGCCACTCCACGTCCATCAAAGAATATGACTGGCCCATTTCTGGAGTTTCCACCCCGGCAGGAAGCATGCCATTGGGGTTAGAAGGACATGGGTTCCACTGGTTTAGATTGGTTTTATTCCATTTGCCAGGAACAAACCCATCCATTTTACCAAAAGGACACCTACGTGGCCTGCATGAACCAATCCTTTTTGACTAGCACACGCCCTTCACAGAGGGTCTTCCAAAGTCCTTTGGTCCAGCTCCGTGCTGGCAGCGACTACCGGAAATGTCTGAAGCGAGCATCGGCAGGAAACAGTGAAGCAGCCGGCGGTGGTGACCCACCAAGTGATGATGCCGGGGGCCCATGCGCTAGGTTCAACGGGGCGGTCCCCACGAAAAGTGTTGGGATTCAGTAGAGGACCACCCAGGATGCGTTCTGCTTCGATCCGGGGTCAAGATTAACGTGAGACAACGGGGGGCCGAATCGGCTAGCCCTGCCTCAGAGACATTCGGCTCCCCACGCCTCGGGTGAGACACGTTTGGTTGCCAGCGTTGATTGAGTTTCTGTTTGGGGTGAGGTTTGTCATAGGGATGCCTTTTCTCCCGACCCTTTTAAGACCCACTTAAGGGACAGTTGAGGGTACTGGGTTCCAAGTTGTGGGCCGTTTTTTGCAACGGCCCTCCAACACTTCCAGTAGTCTATGGTGCATTTGGGCGGGAGCCAAGGCCACAGTCAATGCCTAGTAGAGTTTATTTGAAGGGCGAGCTCCTGCTTTTTGAAGGCACCGTTTTGTAACCTTTCGCGAGGGAGAATCAAGGCATCTTCGCTTGTTCCTCCACCCTCCTTCTTTCGCGGCATCTCTTCGGAGCCGCTTTTTCTATGGGTTTCCTTCCATTTCAGGTCTGTGTGTGGGGGGTTCGGCCACCAAGCTGTTGACCTCGCGGTGGTTTTTTCTCCGCAGGCTGGACTTCAAGTTCACGGCCGGGGGCCCTGGACCCCTGGACCGCTCGTCGCACGGACTGGGATGCCTTGGGTTGCCCAAGTCTTGGGCCGGTGGTATGGGGAAACGGTGGCAAGACCAGCCTTACTGGTTGACTTGGCAACTAAACGAGCCTAGTATGTTAGACCAGCACCCTGTTGACGGGGTATCTAAACAAGCATAAAGTTGGTCTCAAGAGTCAGCAGCCTCACCCGTCGAGTAGGTTTCCTCGTTTTTAGTCAGGCTTGCCTTGGTGACTGGGTTGGGATTTGGGAACTGCACGCAAGCAGCCTGTGAACATCGCTGGAGGACTTTCATGGGTGTCCAAAGTGCGGTAGGGTTGGGGTTACCAAGCACACTTTCAGAGAGTTACTGGAGCATCTTGGGCATGTCTGCTCTGAGTTTGAACGCCCTTTTGAACGGGCCGCCTTGGTGGGAAACTGGTCGGCCTTGGGGCCTTTTGGGGGCGAGAAAGCCAAAGGTGAGGAACTGTATCATTGCACCCAAAGTGCCCTCCATTTTTAGAGGCACGCTCTGTATCCTTTTGGATGGAAACTCACTCCCAAGCTTTTCTAAGGGACACTTTCTAAGGGCAGTTGCCAACTTTCTTTGCAAGCTATCTTGCTGTTGAGGGGACAGACCATAGCCTTTTTCCAGTTTTTCGAAGAGGATTTCACTTCAACATCAACCGGCCAAAAAATGAAGTTCTCGATGACCTGCAGGTGTCCTTCTTTGCAGACAGCCACCAAACACCCAGAGCCTTGAAAAGAATGGAGAAGGGATCAACCCCCAGACTGCCACCAACCCAAACGAAATCCCAGCTGTTCAGGTGTCCATCTCTGGTCTTTCTTTGGATTTGGGTATGTGTCAAACTAGAACTTCAAAATGGGGCCGAAAAAAGAAAGAAAGAAGCACGGTTGGTTTCCCTTTTGAGCCAACTCAAAACAAAGTACCGAGAACATGTTCTTCAAGATTTGGAACCCCGAGCAGATTTGTCGTTTGTTTCCTTACAAACTCTGGGTTGGGGGGAGCACTCACTTAACACTTAGATTAGGATTTGGAGGAACACCTACGAGACACTTGGGTATGTGCCGAACATGGGAGTGTGCGTGTGTGTGTTGTGTGTGTGTGTGTGTGTCTGCTTTTTCGGTTGGTTTCCTTTTCAACCACCGTGTCAAAGGCACCTGGATCCTCAAGCTACCACATCGGACATCACTCCATATTATTGGCCCCTTGTTTCAGGATGGTACCCTCCAAAAAGCACACCAAGAGCGCCCTGGTAATCAACCGGGGGGGGGGCGGGGTCGACCGCGTTCCAAGGTGAAGATCGACAAGGCCATGATCTTCTGGCCCGAGGTGATCGCCATCCTGATCTTCCAGATTCTCTTCCTGCCCCTCGAATGCGCTCGAAGCTCTTCCGTTGGGTTCCCTTCAAATAACCGTTCGTAGAAACGCCCATGTATCCATGTATTTATTTTCAATCAAGAAGCGTTTGCTGGTTGGTTTCAACCTTGGGCGCTCTCAAATGTCAGGTTTCCATTTGGTTTCCGTTCAAACCAACCTGAAGTGGGTTTTTAGGGGCTTCCTTTGTTTGGCGGCTTTCAGCGGAAAACCGCTTTGGGGTCCCAGGGTCCAGCGAAAAACGCCCCATGAGCGTCCCATGGTCGAGAGAAACATGGTTGGTTGCTGTCAGGTTCTCCGCCTTCGGCGGGCTTCCGGCCGTGTTCGACTCCTTCTGCCGCTCCGTGCAGTGGCTTGGGCCGAAAGTTTCCCGGGGGCGAGCGAGCGGGCAGGGGCATGCGGGCGTGTTAAGGGGCACCCACTCAAGCCATTGGGGACCCGCCTGTTTTTGGGTAACCCATTTTTGGGTGGAATCCAATACGAAAAACCAGCCCTTTTTGTTGGGGTCCCTATAAACAGCCACACCAAAAGGCGGGAAGAACCATGAAGTACTTTTTCTCGAGGATCCCTTTCAGTTTTTGAAGTATGCGCAACCCCCTTGGGACTTGGGGACAGTCCCAAGCAGAGAAACGGGTCTGGGGATTCCAGTTGCGATTCGGGACTCTCCGAAACTGGCCCTTGGCGGGGCTTGGTCTTTTTTCGTGTATGCTGGAATTGAAGAGTTGTTGGGGGTGAAAGGCAGGCTACAATGAGGGCTCACAAGGGTTTCACGATTTCTTATCAGTTTCCAGAAACGGATTCGTGCTCTTAGCTTAAAAAAAAGGGACCTGCTGTCAGGGCCAGGTCCTCTTAAGCAGGGCGCTGGTAGGTACCTAAGGCCACTCAGCTTTGTGGTCCATTTTTGAGTACTCTTTGTAATGTGCTTTACTCACCTTTTGGTGGCTCGAGCTTTTTTTGCTCAGGTGCCTAAATCTAGGTGACTTACCTAGCCACCCGAGTGGGTCGCCCTGGGAATCGATCAGCCCTTCCAAATGGTCTCCGTCAGTCCGTCAGGGTCCAAGGGGAAGGCGAGGAAGCTGTGTGGGCCCTTTGAAGGTTTCTGGCATGGCTTTGGTGGGCCTTTCCCTGTGCCTCAGGTAGTTGGGCGTCCACGGTCATTGGGAAGGATGAACAAATGGGGTTGGAGTTTCGGGAGTTTGGTGGGGCTGGGGGTGTTGGGAGGTGACTTTGAACAGTGGCGGCCGTCAACAGCAGTCCGTACAAATGGTTTTAGTCCACGTGGATTCCCGCTGTGCCGGAAATCCAGATAAACATTTCACGAACCTCCAAGCGGGGCTATAGGGAGTGGAGGCTACCCACCCATAAAACCCTGAGCCGCGCTTGGCTCTTTGAGGATCGCCCCCAGAGCCCCTCGCCCCTCGCCCCTTGCTCCGATCCCCGAAAGCCGAAAGCGACGCGAGGAACTCCTCCCAGTTCAAGTATGAGATGGAGAATGGCGCTGGGCTTCTTGCACGGGTTGGAACCATTTGGCTGCGGTGTCAACACCAACGGTACCATTTTTGGGATAGGTGCACCGCTGATTTTAGTCGGGATTTTAGTAGGGATTGGGATGTTCACTGGGGGTACGGGGTTTTGACTCATGGCCATTTAGCTGCGGTGTCAAAATGACACTAGGATATGCACAGCACGAGTTGGAACCATTTGGCTGCGGTGTCATTTTTGACACCATGCGCAGTCCTGGCTTCCGGAAGAAAAACGAAGGGCAAGCCATTTTGGGGTAACTAGTTTTGACAACCAGAGCCCACTTGTGGCATCCAAATGGTCCCCCCAAGCTTTGGGCTTCCGTTTTGTGCCTCTCAACATGAGGCTGGTTTGGGGGGCGGGGGCTTTTGCTCCAGTAAACCACCGTTTGGAGGGTGGGTCTGAGGACGTAGCTTTAATGGACGAGTCAGTTGGCGCGCACTTTGGGCTGCCCGGGTTTTCCAAGAATTCCGATTCGAAGGGCGCCACAACATGGCCCATCTATCTGGGTATGCGATTGAATGCAACAAAGAAATCAAGGTCGTCCTATTGGTTCCCTTTGAGCTAACGCGCAAAGAGCACCCTCCCAAAAACACCCGCCCGCCCGCACTGGCACACAACACACTCCCACCTAGCTCTAACGCGGCAAGTGCTTCTGCTTCGCTTCTCCTTGAACAATGGCAGACATGGGAGTCTATTTGATAAGTAAACCCCAATTTGAGCGTCATGGGGTGCAACCCATTTGGGGAGGGGCTCCAGATCCACTAGGAAGACCCCGCTTTTGATGTGTCTGATGAATCCGGGGTGGGGCTTCGTTGCAGGGTGTTTCGGGGTGTTTGTCTAATTATATGAGCGTCAACCGTCAGCTACTGTCGAATGCTCGCTCTTCGAGTTCCTGAACTTTATACTTGTTGCAAAGCCAGTCTAGTGGCAAACAAAGCGAATGGACGATTCTTTGTCTGGAAATGGCGATTGCTCACAATGCCCCCGTCAGTTGGGGACGTCTCTGAAGTATTCCCGTGAAATTTGAATTCGTTTTCCGAAAAATGCGAAACCCCAACCCCAAATCCAGCCGCAGTAGGTGGAACCGATACTCAACCCATGCTAAGCCGACCTTAAATCAGTACTCCACCTACATAGATCACCAAAGATGTCGCTGATCTCTTCTGGTGCTCCGGCTCAGAATAAGAATTGTGTTGTCCCCGGAGCTGTTGATGTGGGCGCCGTGTGTCTGTGTGTGAGAAGTTTATTATTCAGGGAACCGACCGGATCACCCACACTTGCTCCTTGAAGATTCTGTTTGTTTGAGTTTGAATTTGATGGATTCCACTGGGCTTGGTTCTCATTTTGCGAAAAGCCCTTTAATGGTTGCAAAGGGGTCCCAAGATCTCACTTTTTTCTGGTGGTTCTAAAGCTCACCTTGTGGGCTGTGAGGTTCCTGGGGTGATGTTCAGGAAGGAGATACGGGAACGCCTGTTTCTTTGAATCGGATCACACTTTCGGCTGTTGAAAGGGAAGGCTAAGGCACCAGGAAGGGTACAGCGCTCCGAACCTGATTGGCAATCACACCAAACCACATTGGAGCCGCCCGACGCCTTCATGGGTCATTTTACTAGATGATTCCAGTGTCTGGTTTGACTGGGGGTTAAGGTAACGCCTACAGAAGCTTTTATGTGGGGGTGGTACGTGGAATGACCATTGGGAAAACCAGCAAAAAGACGATATGCCCCACATGGGAAAAGTTATCCATGGTCAAAACTGGGGGCTGAAGGGAATACTGAACAACCCACATGCATGTTGATAGAACTTATTTCCTATGGGTCCTCTTGCTCTTTTCTCTTGACCAACGTTCCGCCCTTATACCCGCCCTGTGGCCGCCTCCCTTGCATGTGTGTCGGTTCCGGCGCCAGAGATAATGCTGTGGCCCGGTAAAGCCCTTCCATCCATCCATCCATCCATCCATCCATCCATCCATCCATCCATCCATCCATCCATCCATCCATCCATCCATCCATCCAACCAACCAACCAACCAACCAACCAACCAACCAACCAACCAACCAACCACCTCCCTTGCATGTGTGTCGGTTCCGGCGCCAGAGATAATGCTGTGGCCCGGTAAAGCCCTTCCATCCATCCATCCATCCATCCATCCATCCATCCATCCATCCATCCATCCATCCATCCAACCAACCAACCAACCAACCAACCAACCAACCAACCAACCAACCAACCAACCAACCAACCGTCTTGGGAGCAATCATGTAGGTAAACACACTGTTTTGGCTGGGTAGGGGACAGTCAGTGCCCACGCCTAGAACCCTATGAAATTTGAATCATCGCTCCAGCTTCTTTTCGGTTTTGTTGTTTACCTTTCTCCGCCATCTGCCAAGGTTGGGTTTCGTGGGACTGTACACTTGTGGATGTTTTCTATTTCATTCGGTCACCAGGGTTTTGCCTTCAATAAATGGGATTGGTTGAGGGGTTTCCACCATAGGGGGTTCCCTGTCCCATGGAGAGTTGGTCATTTGGAAGGTCTTCATCGGCAATTCTCAAAGTGCTCGCACAATTCCCACTGAAGTGCAAAACCACCGAGCAGCTCATATTCAAGAGCTTTTCGAACACAGGCGACAATTGTGTTTTGTCGTCTTGGCTTCTTATCATCATGAAGCCAGCCCTTACTTCACTTAATTTTTGCCAGGTCTCACGTCCCTTTTCTCTTTGGAATCAACATCCGACCTGGAATCGTGAGCTTGCCAAAAACATCGATGAAGCGAGCGCAAAAGAAAACAGTGATGGTGTCCAACTGGTTTTTCTTGACTTGGGTTTCCACTCACCCACTTGCCTTCCTCAACATCTGGATGTGTGACGTGTTTTTGGTAAGGGCAGCTCTTTTTTGGGTGGCGGGGGCGGAAAGGGATGATTTTTTTTTCACGCTCAGGTTCCGTCATCTGGTGCTGAAGCTTCCCGGACTTGAACCGTGGAGGGTTCGTCTTAGGGTGCTAACATTGGTTGGTATCACTTCCTGAGTTCATGGACTTTGAGCTTTCTGGAAAGACCAGTTTAGTGGCACACAACAAGTTTAGACTTTTTTTAGCTAGTCCAATCAGGAAGTGAGTGGTTGGTAGGGGAAGTTCAACTCACTTGCCTAAAAGTTTGGACCTTGTGACCTTTCGATTTTCCTGATTTGGTGCGTTTTTTGAATCGAGGTTCCACAGGGTCCTTCTACTTCTGGGTCCTTTGTGCAGCTGAGCAACAGGGTTTCCTCCATTTCCCTTCCATTTTAGTCACGATCGTTTCAACAGACGCCTGTGGGTTCATCAACTTTTCATGGGGAAAGCCAGCAAACCCCGATTAAAGGGAAACGGTTCGACAATTTGGTTGACATAGCCACTGGCATTGGATGAAACCATTCAAGGAGAAGTAGAATTGCGCTCAGAAAGACATCTATTGGTCCGCCCCAGGTTCTACTACTCGGTTCGATAGGGACTTTAGTCTGTGTAGACCCTTTACACCCACGTCAAAAGAACCAGCAGTCAGTGGGCTTTGGGCACTGCTCAAGTAGAGTTGGATCCAAAGAGGGGCTTGAAACCAAGAGGACACCGTGCGCATGTTTACAAGCTGATGTGGAGGGGCCGCTCGCAAAGCTTGGGTTTGTGGCTGTTGGCGTCACTTGGAACCAAGGTGAACATGGTACCCTGATGTGAGGATTTCAGGAACCCGGTTATTCGAAGAAAAAGGCACATAGACTAGGCTTGCCAAGGCGGGTCCTCAAATCCTTAGGAGCTGAGTTAGGCCCGAAAACAGACTCGACAGCGCAACGAGAGCTCCCTTCCTTCCTTCCTTCCTTCCTTCCTTCCTTCCTTCCTTCCTTCCTTCCTTCCTTCCTTCCTTCCTTCCTGTATTGCTTCCTTCCTTTATTGCTTCCTTCCTTCCTTCCTTTATTGCTTCCTTCCTTCCTTCCTTCCTTCCTTCCTTCCTTCCTTCCTTCCTTTATTGCTTCCTTCCTTCCTTTATTGCTTCCTTCCTTCCTTCCTTCCTTCCTTCCTTCCTTCCTTGCTTCCTTCCTTCCTTCCTTCCTTCCTTCCTTCCTTCCTTCCTTTATTGCTTCCTTCCTTCCTTCCTTTATTGCTTCCTTCCTTCCTTCCTTCCTTCCTTCCTTCCTTCCTTCCTTCCTTCCTTCCTTCCTTCCTTTATTGCTTCCTTCCTTTATTGCTTCCTTCCTTCCTTCCTTCCTTCCTTCCTTCCTTCCTTCCTTCCTTCCTTCCTTCGTTCCTTCCTTTGTTCTTCCTTCGACCCTTGCTTCCTTCCTTCCTTCCTTCCTTCCTTCCTGCCTTCCTTCCTTCCTTCCTTCCTTCCTGCCTTCCTTCCTTCCTTCCTTCCTTCCTTCCTTCCTTCCTTTATTGCTTTCTTCCTTTATTGCTTCCTTCCTTTATTGCTTCCTTCCTTCCTTTATTGCTTCCTTCCTTCCTTCCTTCCTTCCTGCCTTCCTTCCTTCCTTCCTTCCTTCCTTCCTTCCTTCCTTCCTTCCTTTATTGCTTCCTTCCTTCCTTCCTTCCTTCCTTCCTTCCTTCCTTCCTTCCTTCCTTCCTTCCTTCCTTTATTGCTTCCTTCCTTTATTGCTTCCTTCCTTCCTTTATTGCTTCCTTCCTTCCTTCCTTCCTTCCTTCCTTCCTTCCTTCCTTCCTTTTTCCTTCCTTCCTTCCTTCCTTCCTTCCTTTATTGCTTCCTTCCTTTATTGCTTCCTTCCTTCCTTCCTTCCTTCCTTCCTTCCTTCCTTTATTGCTTCCTTCCTTCCTTTATTGCTTCCTTCCTTCCTTCCTTCCTTCCTTCCTTCCTTCCTTCCTTCCTTGCTTCCTTCCTTCCTTCCTTCCTTCCTTCCTTCCTTCCTTCCTTTATTGCTTCCTTCCTTCCTTCCTTCCTTCCTTCCTTCCTTCCTTCCTTCCTTCCTTCCTTCCTTCCTTCCTTTATTGCTTCCTTCCTTTCCTTCGTTCCTTTCCTTCGTTCCTTCCTTTGTTCTTCCTTCGACCCTTGCTTCGTTCCTTCCTTCGTTCCTTCCTTCGTTCTTCCTTCGACCCTTCCTTCGTTCTTCCTTCGTTCCTTTCCTTCGTTCCTTCCTTCGTTCTTCGTTCGACCCTTCCTTCGTTCTTCCTTCGTTCCTTTCCTTCGTTCCTTCCTTCGTTCTTTCCTTTTTTCTTTTCCTTCGTTCCTTTCCTTCGTTCCTTTCCTCTGTTCCTTCCTTCGTTTTTCCTTCGTTTTTCCTTCGTTCCTTTCTTCGTTCCTTCCTTCGTTCTTGCTTCGACCCTTCCTTCGTTCCTTTCTTCCTTTGTTCCTTTCCTTTGTTCCTTCATTCCTTCCTTTCCTTCGTTCCTTTCTTTTGTTCCTTCCTTTGTTCTTCCTTCGACCCTTCCTTCGTTCCTTCCTTCGTTCCTTCCTTTGTTCCTTTCCTTTGTTCTTCCTTCGACCCTTCCTTCGTTCCTTCCTTCGTTCCTTCCTTTGTTCCTTCCTTCGTACCTTCCTTCCTTTCTTCCTTTCTTTCTTTCTTTCTTTCTTTCTTTCTTTCTTTCTTTCTTTCTTTCTTTCTGTCTTTTCTTTCTTTCTTTCCTTCTTTCCTTCTTTCTTTCTTTCTTTCTTTCTTTCTTTCTTTCTTTCTTTCTTTCTTTCTTTCTTTTCGTTGTTTCTTTCTTTCTTTCTTTCTTTCTTTCTTTCTTTCTTTCTTTCTTTCGCTCTTTCGTCCCCTCGTTCTACCTTCCATTGTTTTGCTCTTTTCTCTTCCGTTTTTCTTTCTTTCCTGTCTTTCCGCCTTGGGTGTTTCTCGTGTCATTTTTTGTTCTGCCTTTCCTCCTTTCTTTTGTTTCTTTGGTCTTGACTTTCTTTGTGTGTCGCGTTTCTGTTGTCTTCTGTAATTCGGGACGCCCAGTAAAAAGCAAAGGAACGCACCGGTGGGGGTCTTTTTTGGATCCGTCGGTGTTTTTTTCAGGTCAATTCGGCCACAATCAACATTCGGGTAAGTGAAGGTTTGTAAGGGACGATCCCAGCCAGAAATAGCTGCGGACATCCGCCTTTTTAGTTCTTGAAGCATGGTTCTGGGTCGACCATCTTTGTACCGAAACGGTTTTGAGCAAGTGACTCAATTGGCTCCCTACTCCGATCCACGCCCAGGGTGGCAAAAGGCCTCACTGCTGTGATGCACCGCGGCAGGAAATTCGAAATTCCTCGGTCTCAGGGGCTGCGACCAAACACGCTTAGTGGCCACTGTTGCCCAGTGGATTTCAGCCCTTTCTGTCGACACTTTTTGGGTAAGGGTTCCGATTCCTTGAAACCCAACCAACAAAAAAGGGCGCCGATTCTGTTTTCCCATGGCCACTGGGCATCTGAGTAATGGTTTGGTTCCTAAATGTGGCTTAAGACCTTTGTAATCTACTTTCCTGCTGGTAAAGGGAATCTATCATTGCGGTCAATATTTCAACGGACGTAGGGAATATGTGAAGGGCTCTATGAACTCAGCACCTTGGTAGAACAATCACCTCCGAAAAGGGCGTTTTTCTGGTGATGTGGAGCCGCGTCACCCATGGCTCTAGTGCTACCTTCTCCATTCTTTCCAGGAATTCTTCTTTCTAGCAAACCTCCGGAAACCCAGGGAAACGGCCGGTTTTCGAAAATAACGATGGTTGGAAAGAATGGGGAATCAGCCCTTAGAATGGCAGCTCCCTTAAGACCCCCCTCCAAGGGACACACCCTCCCCGTGATCTGGTGATGTTGCCTGCACGAGCTTGTCCTGAGAGTGGATGTAAATCTGTCACCGTTCCACAAGGGTCTTTGAAGCTCCGTGCGGTGATCTTCATTGGGAAAGCCTTCCAGTGGTATCACAGGAGTTGCGGTTCCCACGAGCCAGAGTTGAAGCCGATCTTTTTCGGGAGTGTTTTCAGAGGGAATTCCAAGGTGGTGCTGAAACAAATTGCTCCCTTTAACAGGGAAATTAGGGCTTCTCCCGGCTTTTGAGCTCGTTCTATGTCCATCCCAAATTAACTATAAATTGCCAACAATTTGTCTGTGGCACGAATGGCTATGAACATTACTCCCTCTCCAGATGATCATGGAACCCGAAAGCGGTCATTTTTGGAGGAACCTCGTTTTTGGTTGGGCCGTATTTTCTGAGTTTTGACCGTGTCTCATTCATCCTGCATGTTTTTTTTCTTTTTCTCGTGTTATTGGGTTGGGTGAGTCGGGTGCCATGTTACTCTTCAGAGGAGTGAAAATAGTGACCCGTACGGGTACCAGCATTAGACTGCAGTTCCAAGCTGTTCTTGGGTGGCTCGGGTGGGATGCAAATACTCACAAATGCCAGTTTTCCCGCCTTATTTTTCCTCTTAAACAACCTTGAGAACACATAGCATCTTGGGCTTTGAGGTGAAAATGGGATTGCTCAATGGGGCCTAATCGATTTTGGCTCCTTTCGGTGGGCTCGTTTTCAGAATGGTTGCCCTTGACACCATGGCTATCAGCTTTTGGATGGGGAACCTCACAAGTGGGTGGACGAGAATTCCCCCCCAAATCCGAAGCCTGTCCACGGTTTTTCGGGCTTCCCTATTTTGACACCTGCTGAGAGTGTCGCGCCGCGCTTCCTCGGCTTCAAGGCGCTTCTTCCCCCGCTGGGTTTCGGTACCACGACTCACAGCTAACCAAAGTTGGGCAAGCAACACCGGGTAAACAAATCGAGGCAAACAAATCCGGGCAAGCATTAGGCATGCCTTTCTGAAGTGGTCCCCAAAACATCAAGTTTGAGATAGCTTCTTTACACACAAGGACTAGTTGTGTGTAAAGAAGCGGGCAAAAACAGTTGTCCACAAGAGGCCCTAATTCTATTTCACGCGTCGCTGAAATGTCCAACCTTTTGCGGGGTTAACTGAAGCTCCCAAGTGAAAGCCTTAGCCTTTTGCGAAGAAAGGGTGGTTCACCCAACCAAGCTAGTCCCAGCTCAAAGGGTAAAGGCCTTGGAGCTAGGAAATTCATTGTGCAAGTGGTCCCCAATCCATCCAATTTTAAGGAACTTTTGCAAAAGCCCAAGCCCAAGCCAGTGATCCTGTTCAATTTGACTTTTTGGGGGACTTATTTAGCGTCAAGCTTTTCTGGGTTGGGTCAAGTCTGGCAATATACTCAATTAAGTACTGGGAATCTGCGAGTAAGTCTTGGCACTTCTGAATGTAGACTAGGCAATACTAAGCCAAGTACAGGGAATCTCAACTCAAGTCCTGGCAATACTAAGTTTAGACTAGGCGGAACCAAACTAAGCACTGGGAATCTGAGTAGGTCTGGCTATCCTAAAGGTAGACTTGGCAATGCTAACCTAGCTTCTGGCAATACTAATCTAAGTACGGGCAAGCCAGCAGGAAGTGCGGGCAATACTAAACTAAATATGAGTGTGGGTCAAAAATAGGTACCCAAAATGAAACCCTGGCAAATGGAACCAAGGACTAAAACCTGCGGTCCCCTGGTGGTTTCATTTTGACCCATACCCATATTGGCAATGCTAAAGCAGTACGTTTTTGTCATCCGAACTCCCTGCCAGACCTTCAAAAAGGGAGCCCAGAGCACTGCTTCGACTGGTCTGGGAAAAGGGGGGGGGGCAAATTAAACAAGGCCCACCATTCTGGGGGTTGATCAAAAGGTCCTTTGCATGGGATGGCCATTTGGGGGGGAACCACCAAACAGATGATGTTTCTCGTTAGATGGCAAGTTACCCACAGTCATTTGGGGGCAAGGAATATGGCCATGGTTCAAAACCAATGGTACCATTGTTGGATAGGTGAATTCACCCCCCATTTTAGTCTATTTTAGTGGGGCTTGGGATGTTCACTGGGGGTACGATTTGGGTTTTGACCCACGGCCATATCATCTTTCTGAGGTACCTGATGATGCAGCTCCTCTCTACCGTCCTGGTGGTGCCCATCGTGCAATCCATCGCAGAGTCCCTGAACTGCGTCAGGACGGTGAATCCCCGATCGGCCGATCGCTCCTTCGACGCCGGTCTGTGTTTTATCGGTGTCTGATTACGTCCTGGGTCATGTACACACACACACATGTATATATGTATATATGGTTGTACGAATACACATTCAGAAACAGTGCTGGCGGTTGTGGCTGATATTTGTGCAGGTTTCATTCACATAGTAAAAGGTTTTGACTGGCAAAGCCACTTTGTTTGGTGCTCCTTAAAAGCCGTCGCTTGCAATCCCTAGGAAGCCCGGGCCCTACATGATGGCCGCGTCCAGGGCCGGTCTCTGCCGCCTTTGAAAGCGGATACCAACAAGGGCCCCATTTCTCTTGACAAGCCCCTCTGCAAATATAAGGCCTGGGGTTAAATTGCGGGTTTGGGGAAACACACACACAGAAACATAAAATCATGACCGTGGGAAAAACATGTTAGTAAGTTCAACAATTATTCAGCCAGTTGTATGACAATCAGGTTGGCAACAATCCACAGTCAGCACGTTTCTAGGAAAGGAGGGTCCATTGTCTCCACAAAAAAGCCCAAGGAGCCTTCGACCAAGGTGTCGTTTGCCAGGCCCCCAAAAAGGCGTGCCCTTGACATCGAATGGAATCAAACAGGTGTGGCTCAAGCTTGAAGACTCAGGGCTACGCAGGTAGTCTACTTGTGCATTTATCAGGGCAAGCTCCATTTTGGGCGGGTGTTCTACTTTTCCATTTGCCAAGTTCCATTTGGGATCCCCCAAATTGTTGACCCCAAATGGGAAGGGTGCAAAGCATCGACTTCAACAGTCTTCCTTTGGCCCTGCTTTCTTGGCCAGGCCAGAAGACACGCCCTGGACTGACATGTTGCGCCTCGTTTGCATGGGATGGATTTGGGTTTGCTCTTTTTTTGGGGGTACCCTTTCTCAGGTTGGTCCAAAGGACAACCAAAAGGACGCCACCCGTTTTTGGTGTCCCCCAAACATACTCCCACTGACTGGATTTTGATGTTGGCTTCAGGAGTTTTTGGGAGTTCGAGTGGGGATTTGTTTGTTTGTTTTGCTTGAGTTTTCTGGGAGCAAATTGTACAGGGGGATGGCCATTAGTGTCTTGACGTCTCCCATTTTTTAAGTTGTTTCTCCGGTAAACCACGAAATCTCTCAAAAGAGTTAGTTTTGGAAGGAACGGTGGTTGAACGGGATGGGGAATTGGCATCCTTCGGAGTGCTTTTGCAGCAGCACTACATGGAATTTTGCCAAGTAGATCATTCACCCCACTGCTGATGAAATTGGAGTGGTGAATCCTTTCTTCGGGATCGGGTGCCCCGATTAAGATCTGGCGGTCTAAGCAGTGGTCAACATTATCCAGGGGTTCTTACTAAGGGAACCATGACCATGAAAACCGGCCACCGATGCGCAGCGAGTCTTCCGAGCCGGACTCCCCTCGATGAGAATGTTGGAATCCCCCATCCCAGGGAATGATGTCCCTCAATCTGGGGCCCTTTTTTTGAGGGTTTCTGAGGGTTGTCAAAGCCAGAAACCGGGGTCGTTTCCCTTTAACCTGCCACTGATTTGGGTCGCGTTGTCCGCCTTGGCCGAATAGCGCCGGCCAAGCGCAATTCACAGGCGCGAGTCATGCAGCCAAGCGACGCAGGGGCGCTTTGTGCAAGAAGCTAGAAATGGACAGGTTTCGGCGTCGTGCCAGCAGATGTTGCGGGCTTGAACTTGCGCAGGAAGTCCCGAAGCTGGCAGAGGCATGACAGCAGTGGACACAGCCAGCAGAGAGCAGGTTCCGGGGGTGGATGATCCACAGAAAAAGATCTGGGCCCGGACAAGTGGGCGTTGGAGCAATAGTAAAGCAGCTGGCAGGGTAGGGGCTAGTGGAAGCTTTGCCCGGGGATTGGTGCTGGTGCTGGGAAGCAGCCAACAGGGCAGCGCTAGGGCCGGCCTTAGGCAGCTGAGCATGGACCGATTCGCGGGCCTGGCAAAGGAAGCAAGCAAGCGCGCCAGCACCTGGCCGGAGACTGGGGAAGCAGCTGTGCAGGCTGCGCTCGCGCCTGCCTTGAACCGACTTGAGGGGTAGATGAGGGGTGTATGGGGACCACTTCCCGGCCCGACCGCTTCCAGGCTCGCTTCAGACGGACTGGAGGCAGCTGGAGCAGGGATTTTGGCCGCGTGACATGAAGCCGAAACGCGCCGTCGCTCACATACTCGTTTTGACACACCCATGTCAAGGATACAGTTTCGTTGAACAGCAAGCGGGATTTGCACTGATTTCAGTCTTCCGCCTCTGTCATGTTATGTGAGCAGCTGCTGAGCAGCTAAGAAAACCCGATTTGGCAATTTTAGTCGGTTCGGCCCACGGGTGATTCAACGAAAGGACCCGGGCTGCAAATATGATGCTCTCAGGACGGGCAACCCCCACAACACCATCTACTTGGCGTCGGCGCCTGATGCCGCTCGGCAGTTTCTGGCGCTGTTTGCGGCAGCGTAAAGCTTGCTGGTGCTCAGTAGGGAATGATCCCTTCCCCGTAGGGGAGCAAACCAACAAATCTTGACCCCCCCCTTGCTTGTAACAAGCAGGGGCCCCTTTTGCGGTCCCATTTGTGGGTGTAGCCATCCATCTTTCATTTGCCATGGCTATCAAGACGGGTCGCAAGAATTCCAGTTTGAAATCAACATCCAGGACGTGAATCCCCTTTCCAACTTTTGACTTCTTTCCCTCTTTGAAAGACAGGAAAGACAAGGAAGACCCCTTTTGGCGGCAGCAAGCTGTTTTTTGTTTCCCGTTCAAGAGTACGGGGGGGTTCCAAGGGAGATCTGAACTGGAGCAGGCTTGCTTTGCGCCTTACCGCAGGGGGGGGCGAACGAATAAGTTTCGTGTCCTTTGGTTTCCTGTCAGGTTCTTCCCACAAGTTTTGTCTTGCAAAACCTCAAGGGGACCTCTTGGAATGCGCAGGCCCCGGTCGACCAATTGTCAAGCGATCCCTTTCTTTCTGACAGGAAAAGGGGGGTGAAAGGTGCACCTTCACCATGTGCAGTCTTTCCAGTGAAGCTTCCAACTTGCTTGACAAGGGTTCCTTGCCGCTGTCCGGATTTCATCCAGTGTCTCGTCACATTCATGGGCAAGCTTCGGAGTCAAAAGGAGCGCCTGAAGCCTCGTGAGTTGAGCCTTCGTTCCCTTTCACCTTGGCTGCAGGACAGGCCATTCGTTGGGGTCATGCGCAGTTGGATCAGCATTGCCCCGTGCAACTAGATCGTTCTGCGTTCCCTACGGCACACTTCCAGCCACCAGGGTTGCTTGCACACTGGGTTGCAACCAGACCCGCAAAAGCAAGAGGTTGGCAACACAACGGGGTCTAACTATAGCCCTAACTTTGGCATGATGGTTTTCCTTTTGGTTTCCCTTAAAACCACAAAACAAGGGTACCAACTCAACGAAAGGACGAGCCACCCAAACGGGAGTGGTCGAAACACAAAAAGGTTAGGCCCAACTTGGGCGGGTTCGGTCGCAGGTGATGTGCTTCAAGGGGAACCACGTCTTGCTGCTGCCACCTGGACGTTTCGAGATTCGCGTGGGGTTCCAAAACGCTTTGTGGGCTTCCTTTCAAGGGAACCATGACCAATAGGGTCTCCTCCTAGACGTTAGGGTAGGCCATTTATGGTTATATATGGTGTGGGTGTATTGTTTTGAGGGTACCCGTTCTTTTGGTTGGTTTTGAAGGGAACTGAAAAGGACAACCCTTATTTTGGGGGGTTCCCCTAAAAAAGTCGCCCATATGACACAGAATCCGAACATGTGATTTCCCGTGTTTGATTTATCTGGGCCAATGGGGTGACCAAAGGCCAGGCCTGCCAGGCCTTGAAAAGTGAGACCAAAAGGAGGTTGCGTACACAATGGATGTAAACAGAAAAAAGGAAACAAAACACAACACATGTTTGAACTCGGGCTTGGCCCAACACACACACACACACACACACCATTTCCATTTTGCTGGGCCGGTTGTTTCAGCAGCACTCCAGCACTCACGGCGTGTGCTTGCAGGGGTGCCTGGGTGTCTCCCGAGAGGTGGTTGAAACATCACCTTTGGGCCCGGTTTGAACTGCGTCTTCTCTTCGCGCGGTAACGGGGCAAGGCTTAGCCCTGTGCCGGGTGCCTTTGGCAGGCGAGAGGTGCAAATATCAGGTCCAACTTCGACAGAACGCTTCGAATCAAGTGACACAGTTGGCGCGCCCTTCTCCCCCATGTTTTTGTGGGGCGTAGCTTAAACAAAGACACACCCACACAGCTCGCCTATAACTTAATGTGCCCGGTTTTGAAGTTCACGTGCCAAGCCGGTTCAACCGATTCTGGTCCACTTAGCGCCCTTCAGTTTTTGAGGTTTCGCTTCTTTTTTGGCGTGTTGTCATTTTTCCATTGTTTGGTTGTGAAGGAGAGCTTGAAGAAAAGGATCCCTTTCAAACACTTCCATTTAAGACAATCTCATTTGTGTCGTTGGTTGTTCAAGAACCCCCTTGCATAGTTCAGAAGGGGAAGTCTCATGATGAGCCTCTGCCTCTTTTCAGCAGCGGACGGAAGGGCTCCTCCCTCTTTGGCCGCGACCTGACACCCGTCCACTTAGACCAAAGTCCACCTCGACGTTTGGCAGTCGGATCCAGGTGGCAAGTCTTGAGCTGTGAAAGCCCTGGTGGATGAGGGGTGTTCTATTTGAGAGCCGTGGGACCAGGCTGATCTGCCAACACTCGAGTTGGAACGGGAAGGGTTTTCAAAGAGACTGGAAGAGCCATTTAAAGCTTAAGACATCAGGAAGGAAGCTCTGGACCATTGAACAGGAGCCGTTGGCTTCACATTTGTTCTATTCGAACATCCGCGGCAAACCAAGACGCACTGCCCATCAGAAGCCCAGCTCAGGCTCGCCATTTCCATCCTTCTGCCCATCTACTTCGCCGCTCGGCTCTGTCGATTTTTTTTCCAGGGTTGCTCGGGACCTCATTTGGCACATCTGGGCAGACATTTCGTTTTGGGGGCCTCTTGTCTCCTTGAGAAGGGGTCTGAGAGCAATACTTTCTCGCTAAGTTGGGCAACCACCCATTTTGGGGTGCCGCATATCAAGAGGCACCCCGAAATATGTCCCGTCAGATCCAGGGTTTGCTTCGCTCTTGCCCCCGTTCCGCTTGTGGGGTAGGCTCGACTTGCAGTGTTCCCCCTAAAAGACGACCACGTGTAAAAAATCGGCAAACAGACAGGTTCTTTTGTTCCCCTCAGCGTTTTGCTACTATTTGTTGGGTGTCCATTTTGCGGAACGGCCTGGCATTCTTCTGCTAATTAAATTAGGGTTCATTAACGTTTCACGTTTCCCACTAAGCCAGTGCCGCTTTTGTTACCTTCCGATTGAACGGAAGCAAGTCTGGCAAAGCTGGGAAAGCTGCACTGACTCGAGAGGCTTGGCTCGTGCAAGAAAACTCGGGAGGTCAACTCAGGGCAAAGCCATCGGCTGTTTTTCCCCACATGGGTCTACATTCTCTACTGCTGTTGGGTTGGATCTTTACACTTTAACTTTTTGAATGAATCCCCATATTTCCTTTCAACCAGCAAAAAGTTTTTGTTTTTTTATTAAGCTTTTGGCTGGGGGATCTACAGCACCCAAGCATTGTTACGTTTGGTTTCGGGACTTTGGAGGAACAGGACCCAACAACACAGGTAGAAGTGGATGCCCGATCCTTCTGGGGGTCTTCGGAGCCAATGGTTCCTACGGATTTGGATCCCCGGATTGCTAAAAAATGCATCCAGACTCTGAGTGGCTTTACGGTAACGTGTCGGGAAGAAGAAGACATTTGGCGATCTGGGCAGATGTGCATGTTTTGGGCTTTATGGGCAGCCCTGTGTTTCAAGCCGTTTTTGGGCCCATAAACCAGACAGCAACGGTCAAACAGTAGGTTTCGGGGTCCAAAAGACGGGCTTTTGATCTTGGTCCCTGTCATGGCGGGAACCAAGATCAATTCAATGTTACACCGCAAAATAAGAATGAACCTGGGTGTTCCTGGGTCCATTTCGCAGGCAAGATCAACTAACCCCGTATTGGGGTTTCTTCACATGGTTTTAAGGAAAGCCACAAGGAAGCAACCTGGTCTTTCCGGAGATCACAGCCATTGTAGAGCCCTTTGGGGGTCCCCTACTTTGAGGAGCATCCCTTTTTTGCAGGGTTCCATCTTGTGACTACCCCACGGTAAACGCTCGAATCCCAACGGTTGATTTCAATTCCAAAAAGCTGTGGATGGTTTTTGGCTTAGGTCAGGTCAAACAATTGGGTCGATTTTCAGGCTGAACTTTTGGTTTGTCACCCAGTAGCTTTTTCCCATGTCCAAACTCCCAAGCCCTGTCCAAAAAGCAGTTGTTGGGAGGTGCTGAGGGATCAAGGCACCCGCATACAAATGGGGGATTCGTCGAAAGCCCTGGCTGTATCACAGAGGTTAAATTCGCACAGCCCGGAAGAGTTTGGTTTGTGTCCCAAGCAGCTCCAACCCTCCAAGTGGTTTTCCCAAGTCCGAAATCCGAGTTCTTGGGGACCGGGCTGGCGTCCTTTTTTTCAAGGTTGCCCCCCCTCCCCTCCCCGAAACCCGAAGATGGCTTCGGCTTTCCTGGTGGTTTCCCTTTTTAATGCCACCGGTTTAGACCGGGATCCCCCCCCCAAAAAAAAAGAAGGGACAAAACCCCGCCTGCCTCGATGTGACCCAAGCGCCGAAGCGCCTTGAGTTGTCTGAAAAACCTCCCGAGTACACCCTGGTGCCCTTCGCGGTGTGCGGCGGCGACGCGCACTACGCCTCTCGGCGTCTCGGGGGCTTTCGGCCGCGCGCGGTTTGCGCGCGGTTTGCGCGCGGAACCGCCGTGGGTCGTGTCGGGCTGCGGGGGCTGCACTTGGTGTTTTTTTGTTTCCTTCTTTTTTTTTCCGGAAATGGGTGCGGGGCCAAGATGTTGGTCACCCCAGGGGATCATGTGGCTTGTTTTTGGGTAGGTTTCTCTTCGGTTTGGGGCGGGTAGGGGAAGCCGAGATCCGTGTGTGGCCATTTTTGAAGGGGAACCTGCAACCCAAAGAGCAACTATGGGCTTTCAACAGTCCCCTTTGCAACTGGAAAAAATATCAGTGGCTTGCAAAGCGCGCTATTTGCGCCATCAACTCCAAACAAGAAGGTAAGAAAGGGCTATCAAAGTTTACAGTCTTACAATGCCCATGAGCATTTTTTGTGCAAGTGTTCCTCACTAATTTGGAGTTTATTTGCATCACATGCCGATGCTTGGCGCCCAGAAGCTCCCTAAGAATCATCTCTGTTGCCCTTTTTTGGAGAATGGCAGCAAAGAGTGGTTCAAAAGTCAGGATCTTCGGTAAAACCTGAAAAACACTTGGGTCTGTAAATCATCTCCGCCAAAGAATTTCTGATCGAAAAAGCACCATATCCATTCCATGCTTTCTTGCCGGTTTTCCATGACAGCCCCGGTTTGCTGGAAGCATTCCTCATTCTCGCGAAGCAATCAGGTCCCCCGCAGCGTCATGCTCGACTACAAGATCTGGGAGAAAGACAACACTTGGTGGAAGGCGCGCTGGCCATGTTTTGGTTTGTCGCTCAGGTGGGTGGAGTGAGAAACCCACAGCTACATGCGGCAAGGGCAGGCCACAGCGAGTTTTGGATGGCCGGCCAGGTCTCCCTTGGCGTGTGTGCGTCTTTTCCGGCGCTTAGAGGGAAACTGAAAGGAGATACAAGGGCCCCATTTTGTTGGTTTCCCTACTTTACTGTAAGATCTTGCTCCCTGCGTGCCTCGCCTGCGTGCCGAGCACCTCTCAAGCATGGCCAGCTATCCTTGCCTCAAGCTCATGACTCATGTGGGAGAGAAGCCATTGGCTACCATGTGAGACTGGGTTACTTTCGACCAACCCCAGGTCTTCTTTTTTCAAATACTCCATGCTTTGAGAGATGGGGGGAGCCCCACCCCCAGAAAGCTTCGATGAGACTTCTTCTAGAACTTAAGAGGCCTCCGAACCAAAGCCGAACCGTTGCTAGATGCCAGATGTCCTCCCCAAAACCCCTTCTCAAAACGGGACATAGATTTTGCCTTCAGGCACTCCAAAGTACCAAGAGTTGCGAATAGTTGCGATGCTTCACTGGGAGCCTCACATTTTGCCCGGGGGTGCGGCCGTTTTTTGTTTGTTTGTTTGTTTTTTTCTTATATATATATATATATATTTCTGGACGTCCGAAAACGTCGGCTCTTTCCGCGGACGGGAGGCCTCGGAGCGCGCCGCCACGGACCTGCACTTGGCCTTCCTGCACCCCAACCCTCGGGAGGCGCGGGTCGGCGAGGCGAAAGCGGGCCCAGTCCAAGGGAAACGTGGCAGAGACCGTGGATGGACGGGTTGTCCGTTTAACGCGCCACATTTTTCAGAAACCCTGGTGTCTGAGATACGATTCCCCTGGAATATACCAACAAAAACCGGTTCAACTATGGCTTCAAAGTGCGAAATGGATTTCGCAAGCATCCATCCGCAGTGCCACTACCAAAAATAATGTTTTTTCAAGGGTGCTTAAACACATGGCGGCTGCTCTTTGGCATATGCGCCCAGTTTCCCGCCGTGTCAGATTAGCGTGACCTCCTTTGGTCCTTTGAACCCTCTTGGGAGGGCTCCGGCAATGTGCAGCGCTTGGCGTTGTTGCTTCATGTCTTTAGTTCCGTCCGTTTTGTTGCACGCTTTTTGGGTAGAATACCAGTGCCTGGAAGGATAGGTAACACTAGCTCCCACGCTTTTCTTTTTGGACCGGTCCATTTTTTGAAGGGGCTGCAGGTTTGTTGCTCGCATACCAGAGTTTGGGCAGAGGATGTCACGTGATACGGGCTTGAGTGCTTCAGCCCCGATGTGTTTTCCACCGGAATTTGAACCGATGTCAGTCTGGCCTGAGAGTACTGAGCAAAGTCAAATAAGCAATACATACACACGCACATATATATATATATATATATATATGCATACATACATGCATACATACACACACATAAACACATACACACATATATACATACATATATATATATATATACACATACCCATACACACACACACACGCAGGCTTACACACATACATACCTACACACATACACACGCATACACACGCATACACACATACACACATACCCACATACCCACATACCCACCTACACATACACACACATATACACACACATACACACATACACACACACACATACACACATACACACATACACACATACACACATACACACATACACGCATATACACGCATATACACACATATACACACATACACACACATATACACACATATACACACATATACACACATATACACACACATATACACATATACACACATATACACACATATACACACATATACACATACACACGAACATGCATACATAGCAGAACATAACATAACATAGCAATACAATCCAATCCAAGACAATCCAATCCAATACAATGCAATACAATAAATACCATATATACATAGAGACACACGCACACGCACACACACACACACCCCTCCATCCATCCATGCATGCATGCATGCATGCATGCATGCATGCATGCACACATTACGTTACATGACATTACATTTACATTTACATTTGCATTTCCATTTCCATTTGCATTTACATCTATATTTACATTACATTACAATACATTACAATACATTACATTACATTACATTACATACATGCACGCACGATACATACCAGATACATATATACATTTACATACATACATACATTACATTACATTACATTACATACATGCACGCACGATACATACCAGATACATATATACATTTACATACATACATACATACATACATACATACATACATACATACATACATACATACATACATACATACATACATACATACATACATACATACATACATACATACATACATACATACATACATACATACATACACACATGTATGTATGACCTGCGGAAATCTCACCCTCAGTTTTTCAGCCCAACTCGTGGACACCAAAGGGTACTCAAGCTTCGCTTGTACCCTGGAAAGTTTGGGCGTGGTTCCCCCGTTTTGGATCACCAGGAAAGGCGGCAACTTCCGAGTTTCCCTTGAACACCAACCCAAAAATAAGAAGGCCTTTCCCAACTCCCAACAAAAGGAACGGGCGAATGGAACACTGAAGCAGCCTTTGGGTCCCCCTAACAGGACCTTTTTTGGGACTAAAGGTGCCAGCAAAGGAAAGCACATGTGGGGGTTGGATTCCTTGAGGCAAGCCCAAATACCTCGGGGTTCAGACAACAAATTCGGACCTAAAAAAACAATGACCTTTGCCTACATATGCTTGTGAATTTGAATGGGGCTCCGGGCTCTTTGGTGGGCATCATTTAGGTCGGCATTCATGTTCACGAAGCACTTGTGAGGTGGTTCCCTTTTTTCTTTTTCTTTTTTTGGGTATGTGTCAAAATAGGGGGGACCCAGAAATGTCTGCTTTCCTTTTGGCTTTCACCTCAAAAAAAAAAAAAACAAGGCGCCAGCCGAGTTTTCGTGTTTTTTTTTGGAGGCTTGGTACCCTTGAGTGGGGCGAACTTTGGGTGTTCCAAAGCAAATCTCCAGAGGTTGATTCCCTTGGTTTAAGCATCGTGGTTTTCAAACCCAGCCGTTTTTTCCTGGAGTTTGGAGAAAATTGTTTCCTGAGAAGGGGATTTTCCTGGGAAGAATGGGGAAGGTATTCCCCTAGAACATCCCATGTACCCCTAGAGTACCCGTAAGAGTTTCCCGTGGGAATGGGAACAAAGTCATGTTCCCACCTCCCCATGTCCTCAAAACTTTTGCTCCCCCGTGTCCTCAAACTCCGGGAATGGGAATGGTACCCCTAGAAATTCCCCATGTACCCCTAGAGTGCCCCTAGAATTTCCCTAGGAATGGGAACAACATCATGTCCTTCAAGCTCCCATGTTTCATTGGACAAATGCCCGCGTCCGTTGGGACGGGTCCGCACCCATGGTAATGGATGGGATATTGAATGGCTCCCTTTCTCATGGTTTTTCCGAGAGAAGGGTTCCCTCAAAGAACCACCGCGAGGAACCAAGGGGGTTTCCCAAAGCGTTTTGGTTTCCCAAAGCGGTTGAGGTCTTCCGCACCAACATGCTGGACCTCATGGCCAAGATCTCCCTGCCGGTGGCGCGGGCGCCCGATCATCCGAGCGGCGATTGGGCCGTGCCCAAAGGACCCCCACCCCACCCCGAGTTTGGGGTGGCGTGGAAAAGGAACTCAACAGGTGTTTCCTGCCTTTTTTTGCAAGAAAGAAGGCTGGGTTGATGGAAACGATATAACTTTTGCGGTTGAAACATGGAAAGCCAACTGAAGGTTTCCTGAGGTTTTTTGGGGGGTTCAAAGGATGCTTGCCTTTGGGAGAGCCTTTTCTTGGGGGTGAGGGTGGGTGGGGTGGGGGGCGGGGACAAGCACAAGCACAAGCACGAGCCCGAACGCTAACACGAACGCAAACACCAGCAAACACACACACACGCACAGAAAGAGCCAGGTTTCCCCTGAAGGCACTTTTGTGCCTTTTCATACCTGGGCTGATCCATTAGCTCCTTGGGGGTTGAGTCCTGTTCCATGGCCTGTAGAGTTCTGTTGGCTTGGAAAGCTCGGACAAGTGCGGAAGTCGTCCGAAAGCGCCTCGAGAACATGGGAGAACCTTTGATTTGAAGAAGGGTTCTTGAGAAATTGGGGAGGATAAACCGGGGTCCCCCATTTCCCTTTCTGAGACATCCAACCATGGCAGTTGCAATGGAAACCAAAGGTGACCCCAACGCCCCGGTGTCGAATGGCGCGACTTGCTTTTAATGAAAAGAAACCGTGAATTTATGTTTTGTGTTCGGTAGCTCATTCACCTTATGGAAGCCAAAAGGACCTGATGCGAAGGGCACAAGTCTCCGGCTGCTTCTTTTGGGCCGACTTGTCGTTGAAACCGCTGGTCACCTGAAGCTTTGGGGATAAGGCGTGGGTTTTGGTGATTTTGGGCGAGCAGAGTTATTCGGTGATTTTGGAGATGGTGGCATATTGACTTTTCAGTGAGTTGCTGTTCGCGTTCGAGGGAGATGGTCGTAATTGGTTTCCCGAAGCTAGGTGGCGCCGACAGAAGCCGCTGACTGGGCCAACATTCACCGCCATCTACTGTAGCAAAGGGACGACATGAGGCGAATACCACCGGGAACCACAATGCTACTGACTGTGGCTCGCAATCGACAAAATTATCGGTAGTCAGTTGCTTGGTTCTCGCAGTAACTTCCCCAATTCTTTCCAGGCATCCTTCTTTCCAGAAAGAAAAACCAAATCCCTGGGGACACGCCTGGTTTTGAAAAGAACAAGAACAGACCCTAGAGTTCTGCGACATCCAGTTCTTTTGTTGGACTCCCTTGTGAAATCCCTGTGGTCCCCCACAAAAAGAAGAATAACAAGAGATAAACATAGATAAAACAGAGAGAGAGAGACATAAATACATAACTAAAAGTCTAAACACATAGATTAATAAGTGAATAAATCAATGAATCAATAAACAGATAAATAGATAAATAAATAACAATAAATACATAAATAGGTAAGCAGGTAAGTAAATATTTGAAGAAGTGAACAAACAAATACATAAAACAACATGAAGACGCAATTAAGTATATCAGTAAAGGAATAGAGAGCTACACGAATGAATAAAGAAGTAAACAAATAAATACAAAGAACAACATGAATAAGCAAATCAACAAATAGAGAAAGAAGAACATTAGGAAGTTCACACACCATTCAATAGATAAAACATGGATCAAATAACAATACATATATATATATATATGAATAAAGCAATACCTAAACCGATAAATAAATAAACACATAAGTGGAGGAATAAATAAACAAATACGTAAATAAGTAAATAAATGAATAACTAAACATAATTAAAGACGCAAATCAATAGATAACTACCTACATAGCGAAGTAGAAGAGCAAAATAAGTAGACAAACAACAAAGAATAACGAAAGGCATAAGTACATGAATATAAGACCTATTCCGACACACCATGTCAGGGTTCCTTTTTTTGAGTACCCCAGGTGGACTGAAACCCAGATGGTTCCCTTTTGGGGACATCAACCTGGGTTCAAGTTGACTTGGGGGTCAACACAACAGAACCCTGCACCATGGTTTCTTCTATGTTTTTTCTGCTTCCTTTCTTTTTTTTGTTTATTAAGAAATGCGCAATAATTATAAAACACCAGTAATAATAATCATAATACTAATAATAAAACAAACACATTAATAATAATAATGATAAAAACGAGTACTCTCTTCTTTTTTCCCGTCGGAACCCGATTTTTCGGGTTCCGAAGGTGACCATCCTCTGCGCCCCGGATCCGCTGGTGGAGATGTGCTTCGTCTTCCTCATCGGCCCACGCCTCAGGCCTCATCTCGCTGGGCCCCGCAGGCCGAGTCCTCCAAAAACCACCCGCTTTGGATCAGGGCTCCCGAGTTATTTCCCTTTTCGATTTTAGGCATCACCTTTTTGGCCCATTGTTTGGTGAGTGTCCCTTGGGGGTGATGTTTTAAGGGGTTTTATTTAGGGAGCCCTGTTGATCTCACCCCCAACCCCCCCCCCCCCAAGGTTGTTGTTGAATTTTGCAAAAGGCCCTGTTGTAACCTAGGTAACCCACTCATGACCCTCATGCAAAGTTCACCTTGTCTAGGGTGAAACACCCCAGGTGGCAATCCCCACTACATGGTTGTTGTTGGGAAACAGTTGACACATTCTTGCTTAGTGTGGTTTAGTGGTTGAACTCCAACCACTGAACTGCTGAAATTTAATTTTGCTCCCCTTCCAACGTTACCTTCCCCATTCTTGTGACCCCTAAAGGCGAAAACGGGAGGTCCTTTTAAGGTGTCCCAATGTAAATACCAAAGAAACCCGGGTCCAAGGACCATGAGTCTCTCTAGAAAACCTCCAGAAACCCAGGGAAACGGATCCGGTTTTCGAAAAGAACGATGGGTGGAAAGACTGGGGAGTCAACCCTTAGAAGAAGGCTCTTTGCTGCAAGTGGAGCTCCGAACAGATGGAGCCTCACCGGAGGTGGAGGACGCCAGAAAGTGGTGGGTGTTTTGTTTGGTTTCCCTTTCGATTGGTTCCAAAGCTTTTGATTAGTTCCAAAGCTCCAAAGGAATGGTTGGTGTTTGATTAGTTCCAAAGCTTTAAAGGAATGGTTGGTGTCCCGTTTGGTTTCCCTTTCATCCCACGCCTCGAAAGGGTACCGAGCCAAAAATCAAAAAGAGCAGCTGGTTGCTTGACACTTGGGATCGGTTCAACCGACGTGTTGGTCTGTCTCTGACGGGTTTCGTTTCCTCGGGCGGCTTGGACCCAAGTGCTTTCAAGAGGACAGTGGTTGCCTTTTTTTAACGGGGTCATTTTTGTTCCCTTAAGACAACTCAGGGTTTTTTCGTTGTCTGGGGTTGCTACAGCCTGAAATGCCTACGGGAGTTTGGTAGGAACATCAGGCCCGGCTTCCTTGCCTAAAGGGTGGGTTGGTGTAAGTGGGGAAGACCCAGGTTGTGCTGAGGACTATCTTGGCCGGATGTGCTCCAGTCTATATGCCTTACAAGCTTCATGGGTAGCCATACCCTGAACAGGCACCTGCACATCTTGACCTTCGGAAGGATTTTCCTCAACTTGTGGGTTTCCACCCCCAACTGAACGCGTTCCAAGCGTTTCGCATCCCATGCCGCGGGTTTACAAAAAAGAAAGAAAAGCGACGCCGAGGTACGGTGATGTGGATTAACTCCATGGTGCAGCCGGGGCCCAAGAAGGGGCAGAGGTTGGGAGGCCCTTTGTTGGCTTTTCTTCATCTTGGTGTCTTGGTTCTGTTCTGAGCGCCTTGTTTTCTCATCGTCGGAAAATGGGGTTTGACGGGGTGTTTGTGTCTTTCTGGGATGTCTTTTTGTGGAGAGGATTGACTTGTTCTTTCCTAAGGGCTCTATTTTGTTGCGTGTTGTTGTGTTTTGTGTTGTGTTGTTTTATGTGTTGCGGGTGTCTTTTGCTCATTGTGTTTTGTGTTGGCTTGCTTTGTTTTGTTTGGGCTTAGGTGTCTTGGGTTTGTTTAGTTGGTTCCTATGTGATTTTCGTGTGTGTGTGTGTGAGTGTGTGTGTGTGTGAGTGTGTGTGTGTTTCTCTGTCTGTCTGTCTGTCTACCTGCCTGCCTACCTGTCTGTCGGTCCGTCCGTCCGTCCGTCGTCCGTCCGTCCTTCCGTTTGTCTGTCTGTCTTCTTTATTTGCTTAGTTCTTGCTTGCTGGTTTTCGAGTAAGGTCCACTTTTCTTGAGAGCTATTGCCAGATTTTGGTGCAACACCCTCCCTTTCCAAAAGGACAGGCTTGCTTCTTTGCTCTTACCAAAAGGGCCGAGGGCCATATCCTGTTGGGCAATTGGCCCGCCAAGACGCGCCAACCGCAAAGCCACCTAAACGACCCCTAAACCACCCGTAGCCAACCCTAAGTAGCCATAAACCAACTCTAAACTCGCCTGCACTCACCCCCAGAACCACCACTAAGCAACTCCACACCAACGCTAAAGCAACACCACCAACCCTAAACCCACCCTAAACCCTAAACCAGCCCTCAGCACAACCCCAAACCCAGCCAATCACTCCCTAAACCAACCCTGCACCAACCACCCTAAACCAACCCTAAACCACCCTAAACGCACCAAACCCAGACCTAAACCAACCAAAAACGCAACCCCTGAACCAACCCGAAGCCAGCCAAATTCAATCCCAAACCCATACCAAAAAGTGCTATATGCCAAAAACTACGAGACACATGACTTTGTCTCGTTTCGCAGATCAAAGTGGGGTTGCTCGGCAATTGCATCAAGGCACCCCAAGGTTTCGGAGATCTAACAAACAACTTGCTGCTTCGGGAGTCCACGAACTCGGGGCTTTGGACATGAGCTCGGGGATGGGAAGCTACAAACGCTTGGGGGCATTCCCTTGTTCCCTGACCAAGATAAGAAAAGCTTCGCGCTTCGGTGGCTGGTTTCCAGAGGTTTCTGGCAGAACCCGCATGCGCTGAGTCCACCCTACGTGGAGAGGAAGATGACGGTCCTCGTTCAGGATGTCCGGGATGTCTGAGGTAAACATCCTGAGGGATTCATTGTTTCAAACATGTGGGTTTTACATCGGGGCCATTCTTCTGACTGCTGTGGGTTATCAAAGGAGAAGCTGGGCTGTTTGCGAGTTCCTTTCATAATGGCGGGTCCCCAATGTTCACTCACACAGACAAGCACCTAGGGGCTTTGCGGAGAATGAGTGGTGATTTTTTGATTTTTTGCGCCGCGTTGGATGGCTTTACGGAAAGCAAAAGGCCAAAAAAGGAGTCGCCATTGGGTGCCCATAAAAGGACGTGCCCATGGTTGAACCTCTTTGGTCTTCTTCCTTCGCGCGAAGCCCGAAAACCCGAAGCCGACCGCGCGAAACCGTGAGGACTTGAAGCTTTTCACCATGCTGACCATGGGCTGCGGCACTTCGGAAGAAATTGCTACGCAAGGGCGCCGTGTTGTTTCTATTGTTTGTTTGTTTGCTTGCTTGCTTCCTTGCTTGTTTGTTTGTTTTGATCTTGCTTTTGCTTTTGCCTTGGCCTTGGCCTTTGTCTTTGTTTGTTGGTTGCTTGGCTGGCTGGCGGCTGGCTGGTTGGTTCATCGGTCTGTCTTCTTGTTTGTTGTTTTGTCTGTTCCACTGAGCATACCTGGGGGCCGTATGACAGTATGCGCTCACCCATGAGAGTTCCTCGCGTCTCTTTGTGCAGGGTCACACCTCTTGTTCCTGTCCGCATGCATTGTTGGAAAGAAGGTAGTCTGACGGGCCGAAGGGGCGTGTGTTGCAAGCTTTTGTATCGGCTGGCCAGCGAGTGACCGGAGTGCGTGTTTGCGGCATGGATTCGGGCAAGGGCCTGTTCTGTGACTTCTCAAATGGCGTTTCACTATATGGGTGTGTCTTTTTCGTGGGTACGTGTTTTTTTTTTTTTTTTTTTTTCCCCCGATTGGAGGGGGTTTAGAGGAAATTCTAAAGGACAACTAAGTTTTTCAGGGGTCCCCTGAAAAAAGACACACCCATATGGTTGCCAGGATCCAAGCACGTCATTTCTAGTAGGGGGCAAAACTGAGGTACAGTATTTGGTGGTAGTATTTTGCTGGGAATATCAGGATTTTGAGTTGCGCATCTGATCAGGGCAAGGGCCTATTGTAAGGGGCTAGTTCACTTAACCAAATTAGGTCATGATCATGGGACATTTTTTTTGCATGGGGCGACTTGCACATGATCGTTTTCGAGAACTCGGTCGTGACTTGAGCGTTCTTCTCGTGGAGCATGTTCGGTGTGTCAAGTTTGGTTCCAGCGGGTACTTTGCTAAGAGCGCCAAGCGGAGATCAAGAAATGTACCCTGCCTGTACCAGCGGAATGGTTGTGGTTGGGACTCTCAAGTTTAGGAGATACTTTTCGTCAACTTCTGTTTTGTGTGGAGTTGTGTTCGCACAGTTTGTAGAGTGATGCTTCCAAAGAAAGAAACACATCCGTACAGTTGGAAGAGCGGCCACAGACAATCGGTGACCGGTGACCTCTTTTTTCGGGGTGAAGGTTCCTTTCAACCTTCATGCTTCAGATCGAGAATCCGTTTGAATCCGCAAAGAATCCAACTTTATCGATTCGAGACATCCTCATGGCTGGCTGCTTCCTTTTGGGATAGCTGCGGCGCTGATTCAGCCATGTGAGTGAGTCGCCTGGGGTACCCATAGGGTTGAGTCCTGCTAGGACTTGTTACAGGTGGGTGCCAAACCCCTTTCTGCGCCGCAGCTGCTTTGCGGAAAGAAGCTCGGGAAGCGTTTTGGCCTGGATGAAGCCTTTTGTTGGCGGGGGTTCCCCATATGCCTTTGTCCGTTTCTAGGGAGCCCCAGAATTGTGGTTTCCTTTTGGTTTCCCTTTAAAACCACCAACAAGGGGGTACCCTCAAAAAGATAGACCCATATCTTGTGTCAGTACTTCAATGGCTGAGGCGTGCTGACAGTGTACCTGCAAGACCCGTCCTCCAACGTCCCGATCTACTGCCTCATCGGCAGCGGCCGCTGGGCCTTTGAGGTTTCAGGAGGGCGTCGGTTCCTGGTTTCACCCCACTACCAAAAGTCAATGGGCTTGTCTGTTGAAATGGATGGCAAACGTGGGGAAGTGGCTAGCCGAAAGCTGCGAATGCCTCCCCGTGGGTCAGGGTTTGCCTTTTGGACGGGGTTTCGGAGGCATGTGCGCCATCCGAGCCCAAAACCCTTTTGGGTTAGAGCGTTTGGACTTTGGGTGTTTTTTGGGGATGCTAGGGCGACTTTGGGCAGACAACGCGCAGCTTGTCAGCTTTTTCCGAGAGGAGGAATGTGTCAAGCAAAATAAGGGGAACCCCGGAAATGCTTGGTGGAATTTGTTTTGCACCAACTATCTCATGAAAGGGTGCTGCCGACTTCAAAAAGACACCCATTAAGGCTAGAGAGCGCCAAATATATGGCCTATGTGGCGAAATCTGTCTGGCTTTCGTTGGGCGTTCCCTTTCCTCGGCCTTTTCGAATCTTCGACCTTCATGACCTCCAGGAGGTTTCTTCTTGGCCTCGGATTCTGGCCGGGCGTTGCCTTTCTCGGCCTTCGCATGCCTTCGCCTTTCGTGCCCTCCTTCGGAGTGTCGGAGTCGGCGGATCGAGGCGTGTTTGTGCTGCTGCTGCTGGTGCTGCAGATGTCCTTGCTGCAGGCTGGGCGTCCGGTGGTGCACAAGCTGGTGGCCCGGCACCTCAGAGAGATATTGGGACCCGGGGACCGGAGCTTCAGAGCTCCAGACCTCCGGAAAGGCACAGCTGCCATGCGGGATGAACACCTTCCCAGGTGGGCCGGTGGGATGAAGCCCCTTGAAGTTTTTACCTGAGATTTCCGGGAGTTTGTTGTTGGAATATAAGGGACATGGGGCGGAGAAAAAGGAGAAACAAACGAAAAAACAACCAGCACCAGGCTTAGTGCCGATCCCAAGACCTCCTGTCAGGTTCCGCCGGTTTCGCCGGCTGAGACCGCTTTGAGGTCGGCAACGAGGACGTCGAGCCACAGGAGCCTCAGGAGTGAGCCATTTGAGATGCGGCCAAAGAGATCCCATCCCTGGCCAAAGGCGCAGTGGGGTCCCCAACGCGGGCGGACACGACGGGAAGAGTTTTCGCGAGGTCTGGGCGCCCTTTTTGCAGGCCCCGGATTTTGGAAGGAGACCATCCTCTGAGATTGGCTGGTGCAAACACCTGCTTAAGGTGTCCCCTTTGTTGGGAAATGCATTGTTTTTTGGTGGAAGGAAAGGAAAACGGAAAGGAATCGACCAGGGAAAACAAAGGCGAAACAGCAGCTGAGTCACAATGACCGCTGCTTCAGGTAGATGAAGGCTTGTAGAGGGACACTCCCATCCACAAATTGGCGTCTGTTTTTTAGGTAGTTTTGAATCAGAGTAAGTCACGGAAGCCAACCAACTTTGTGTGTCAGTTTCCCATTCCAAGACACCCTAGGCCAAATGCATCAGTTTTTTTCCCCGCTAAGAATGAATGTTATACCTGGCATGGACACATCTATGTGTATTGTCGGCTTCTTGCCAGCGATCAACCAAAGCACCTGTATTCGCTGCTTAAGCGGGCACGCTGGCTGCATCCAACTTGTAGATTCGGCTGGGTTCCCGCGGAGTTGTGTCCCAAGGCTGTTTGGGCCGTCCAAGTTTCAAACCTTTGCAATGGCGGGTACGGCCATAGGAAACTCCGCCACCCCACGCAACGAAGCGACGTTTCAGACACATGCGCTATCTCTCTTTTTTTCCCCGGAAGCGTGGGAGCTTTGCGCGGGTGGCTTGCGCTTTTCTACTGCACTGGCAACGGAAGGCCAATGTGCCGAAGTTTGCGAAATGCACGGCGGCAAGGCAAAACTGATACGTCGCGATTGGCTTCTTGTGCGACCCTTCCCCCTTTCCCCATCCCGTCATACGTTGGCCATGGCCGAAAGACCGTACTTGGGGTTGCTATGGTCTAATCGAGGGCTTATTTCAGGAAACATAGGAGGGGGGCCGGGCAGGGGGCTTAGTTCAGTGTGGAAGCAGCAGATGGATGGGCAGTGGTTGGACGCAGAGCGGCCCTTTCTTTCATAACGTATTTGGACAAACAAAATCAAGTTCACGTGGGTAAAACGAGTTCACCCATGGAGGTTCCTGACTAGGGATTCCTGATGTTCGGTTTACGCGCAGCACTTTGTGCATATCGGTCAAACATGGTGTGTGTGTGAAGCCATCAGTAGCTTCCATCACAGGCATAGGTTGTCCATAATCAAGAATTGCCCAACGAGTTGCTTTCTTCATTATGTTTGTGGCTTTCTTTTGGACTATCCGCAGCCGTGAGAAGACGCACAGAAAACTAGACTATACGTGATTGATGGACGAGTGGAGGATAGATAGCTAGCTGTGAAGGAAAATAGATAGACGAGCAAAAAAAACAGTGACACCGATAAATGGGCAAAGATGCATAGACAGATCAATGGATGGATAGACAGATAGATGATGTAAGGATTGATCGAGAGCTAGCTGTGAAGACAGACAGAAGCAATCTGGCTGGCCAATAGATACATGCATGGATGGACACAAAGATAGATAGATAGATAGGTGGACAAATGGAAACAATGGAATATTATTCAATAGAAGAAACGTTGGTAGACAGGCCGATGGAATGAAAGGCAGGCAAACAGAGACTAGATAGGAGCAGAAAGGCAGACAAACAGATGGGAGCCTGGGAGATACATGCGCAGCCTCCACACACTTCCAGCGTCAGCTCGAAATTCGAAGCCTAAGTTCACCTCCTGAGCCCCCGGCTCGAAGATCGCAGCTTTTCAACAGTACGATAGTCGTATGCGACGCGCGCGCTTTCCCAGCCCCAGATTGAAAGTCGCATCTTTTCAGCACGAAAATTGCAGCAAAGCTTCCTTTTTGCATCTCCCAGCTCGAAAATCGCAGCCTTTCAGTAAGAAAGTCCGCAATGCACACTTTTTTCCAGCTCGGCTCGAACGAGTCGTGCGAAAGTAGTGTGCGAAGTGCACTTGTGCAGCTTTGCTAATTCAGATGGATATATATATATACATATATGGAGACACTGATTGAGCTAGATAGGCACATCGATAGATAGATAAATAGATAGATAGATAGATAGATAGAGAGATAGATAGATAGATGGAAAGGTAGGTAGATAGATTAGAGATTAGATTAGACTAGATTAAAATTAGTGCGGATTTTTTTTTTCGTTATTTGTTTCCCTCGTTTTTCGTCTTGGCCAGTAACATGTCTTATTTTACAGCATTTTGTTTGCGAAATTGACGTATTTTACACTAGCCCGTCAACATGCGCAGCATCGCTGTCAGCATCCTCCGCATGTCCCACCAGCATCCTCAGCATCACCAACAAATCGTGGGTAAACATATTTAAAAAAAAAAAGTAGAATGATGATTCACTCCCTGCAGAAAATCTAAATGGGCGGGGCGGCAGCCCCCCCAATGATGTTCGAAAAGATGATGACGATAGAATATAAAAAGCAGTGGGGGGGTTGGCGGGGGTGGCTTCCCCTATGATGTTCGAAGAAGCGCATACATACAGACAGACATACATACATAGATTACATGGATTACGCACAATGTCGTATTTTACAGCATTTTCTCACAACATTGGATGTTCGAAAAGTGATGATTCAAATACGAAACTGTGATGATTCAATTAGGGGTGCAAAGATTCAAGAAAGGGTGCGATAGAATATAAACAAGCAGCGGGGGGGGGGTGGGGGTGGTGATGTTTGAAGCAGTGCATACATGCAGACATACGTACATACATACATACATAAATAGATCACATAGATTACATACATACATTACAGAAGCATGAATATTAAGAACACTTGCCGGAGACGAATTTGTGATGTGAACCAATGAAAGGCTGCCCACAGAGGAACTGGGAAAGCAGAGGATGCGAAAAACCAAAGCCACCAAAAGCCGCATAAACCAGCAAGATGCCGAAAAGCCAAGAAACAAGAAGCCAAAAAGCCAAGAAGCCAAGAAGCCAAGAAGCCAAAGCGAAAAACAAATCCCAAAAAAACGAGCAACAATCCTAAAATCAATACCCCTCCGATTGGATTAGAGTGATTAGAGTAGGTAGATAGATAGATAGATAGATAGATTGATAGATACATAGACAGATAGATAGATAGATAAATAGATAGATAGATAGATAGATAGATTGGGTAGGCAGGGAGGTAGATAGATAGACAGATGGATAGATAGATAGGTCAAAAGGGAGACAGTCAAACTGAAAAGGTTGAGGCAGGCAGGCAGATAGATAGACAAAAGATAGCTGTACAAACAGATGCACGGATGCATGGGTACATGGCTAGAGAACAAATCAATAGGTCTTATAGGTCAAATAGGCAGAAATGGGTAGGCAGAGACATACACAGATAGACATGCAACGCTAGCGCTGGGCAGCTTATCTGCATTCGGGTTTACAGGTTCAATCATGTGTCTTTCCCTTTCGTTGACCATCTCACCAGTCAAGGAAGGAGGCAAAGAGGAGAAGAAGGCTGTTGAGAGATGCCACTTTCTTTTCTTTCCACATCTACCTTCAACATGCCCTATCTGAATGTAATTGTAAGATATATTAAGATATATTAAGTTTGACAAGGCATGTGATAAGCACTACTCAAATACTAAGATTTAGATATGTAAATAGACAAATGTCAAAGCATAAATAAACATACTTTACATTGCCTATCTACCTATCTGTGCATTTATCTTTACATCTCTCTTTCTGTGTGGGCGTCTATGTGCCTCTCTATTGATCTACCTTTCTATCTTTCGGCCTGAGCAGCAGCATCCTGGAAAGCGTCCCCAAAGCCATGAAATTGAACGCGCGATCCTGCAAAGTATAACCGAAAGTTCGGCGCGCGATCCTCCAAAGTACTGCGCCTGTCACGAACATCAGCGCTCCTGCGAGTCGCGCTCCAAAGTGCTTCGCTCGTCACGAAATGCGACTTGTACCCGTACAAAGTATCGCGCCTGCCACGCAAATCAGCTCTCTGGTGAGACGTGCTCCAAGTGCTGCGCCTGGCGCAAAAAGTTTGCTTTCGGCGAGCCAAAGTGCTGCGCCTGCCACGAATTACAGCTTTGACGCTTACCATGCGTGTCAAGAATGAGCACGGGGCTGTGGCGCCAGAATGTTTTTGAGTGGTTTTGACACACTTGACGCTCCTCAAAGCAAGCCTACAACGGGGCCAACGATTATGATACTCGCGCAAATGCTTGCACGCGCATTCCAAGCACGACGCGTGCGAACGCACAGGCACATTTGGCGAACATGGCATTTTTTCCATCCCTTCTCGCTTTCTTCGCTCAGTAGATACTCGTCAGGAAAGGAGCGAAGGGATGCTAGAACTCGTATACAATGTTGACAATGGATGTCTTGGAACGACGGCAATAGACGCTCGAGGGACGATGCTGCGAGCGTGAGGTGCCGAAACCCTGAGCCGGCGGCTGCAGCTGCCGGCGCCGCCGGCGCCGGCGCTGGGGAAAGGCCGGAAAGCGGCCGCGCTGGGCGCTGTTCCTGTTTGGTGGGCGCCCTTTTTTTTTTGGGGGGGGGGGTGGTGCGAGGGTGCGAGGGACAGGAGGAAAACGTGAAATCCATTTTCAAGGGAAGAACCCAAGCAACACAGGGGACGCTGCACCGCGCCCGTGGCGCGGCGCATGGATTCGACTCGACAGCATATGGCTCGGTCGGCCAGCTCGGAACGGGAGACGCACCACTTGCAGACGACGTGCGCCTTCAGAAGTGGCGCTTCCCTCGGTGAAGCCGGGGATTGACAGGGCAGGACAACCATCCTGAGCATTGCAGAGCTGCCGGAGGGCGGGAGGCGGTGCGGTCTCGCAGGCTGCGGCGCGGTTCTCAAAAATATGTTTTGGTTGTTTTTTCCCGTTGAAGCCGCCATTCAGAGGGGTGAAGAGGATGTCTGAGGAAAATGGACCTAGGTGTGTCCACCGTCTTTCCAATAATCTTGGAAGCAGAGGTGTGCTGTATAGCCACAGCATCGTATTTCCACTGACTAGAATGAGCTTATCACTCATGAAGATCTCCTGGCGATTTCATAATTCTGGCCGGTTGAATCATAGTAATGAGCGCAGGCTGTGCATTATTTGTGTATGAACCCAATAGGTTTATGGACACTTCTGGTGGTCACGGTTGGCGAAATCCCGCACAAACCAGTCACAGTCTATATGGATTAATCGACAAACTCGGGGTTGATACCAGCAAGCAGCAGCTGCATAGCCAAGGGTTCAGAGGTGCCAACTTGTTGGTTCCGCCTTTCATTGTGCTCGTTGGGTTCTGAGATGGTGGGGTAGCGAGTTCGGAGGGTTGAAGCCTTGGATCAAAGTTGCATCGAGCCATTCAGAGGGCAAGGGTGGAGCATTGGTTTCGTCTCGTTTTTGGGAGTGTCCGTTCATCAGGTAGTGTTCTCCCCGGAAGTTCGCGGTTTCTTGAAATTACTTCCAAAGAGTCGTCGAGTTGCTTGTGGAAAGAAGGGATGGCATATAGGTGTCCTAGCCCGGGGTGGCGTTTCGTGAACATGGAACCAGATTTGAGGGCCCTCCAATACTTTTTTTTTTTGCAAGGGACCTTCTGATGGATTGCATGTTCTTGGATGGGAGGGTACTGAAAAGCACGCGGGATGGTAGTCCGGCCGAACTGCAACAAGAATATACCGGGGGAAAGGGCTGGCAGATCTTATGTGGCTTCGCTGGTCTTGGCATGCTTTGTAGTTTCTTGGTTCTTGGGTTCTGGTCAAGTTTTAAGCTGGCTGCGTGAAGCAAGTGCCAACACCAGGAGTTGGCAAAGGAGTCGACGTTACATTTGGTGGTAGTTTCCACCCCATCTTATCGAAAGCCAGCCTTAGACCCCCCAGGCCTTGGAACCCTGGCTGCAGAATGGAAGTTTCCCGTGTTTCTTTTTGCGCGGAGGCGGGGTCGTTGGATCTTTTGTCCGAGTCGCGATTCCAAGAATTTCCCGCAAAGTCATGAGTATTCGGCGGGGGTGGGAACCAGCCACTTAAGCGGCTTTAGTCTTCTGTTTGTCAGGATCGACAATGCTAGAAAGCAAAGTACTAAGGGATCCCTCCAACTGCCCCCCGGTTTCCTTGGGAGTCAATGAGGAAACCTTAGGTTTGGATTGGTGGTTTGGCGATGTCAACCCCTTGCTTTAAAGCCACCCCTTAACCACCAAGCTGCCGGGCTCCAAACCGCCAATCAGAGAGAACCCCGTCAGGCCAGCCTTGCGCCCGAAAGGCGGGGATTCGAAGCCAGGGGGCGGCAAGGCGTGTCTCAAAGGAGTCAACCCCCTCCCCCGGCCTGGCTTTCCCTGCGGCTCAAACAAAGCGCGCACACACAAACACATGGGTCTGTCAGCTGTTTTGTTTTGAGGGTAACCAAAAGGAGAAGCCACCATTTTTTGGGGGTGCCCTGAAATTAGACACACACACACCGACCCCCCCCCCTCTCCAGTTTTTCCGGACAGGAATTTCCGGCGCCCGAAGGGTTGAGGTACGAGCCCAATCTGAAGGCCGCGGGGAAGCCCCGAAAGCAATGTTTGCCTTCTCAACGGGATTTTTGACCTCGAAATGTTGGGACTTGAGAGATTGCCATCTTCGAACATGGGACCGAACTTGGAATATTCGTATGGGAGCAAACATGTGTTTGGAACATGGCTCCAAACATGCCCTCAGGATCGACATTGATGGATCTTAACGGCCGAATGGAAGAGGTGAAGCAGACCCGGCGATATGACAAGATTTTACGGTCTTTGTGTCTGTGTCCCATGTTCGCTGTCCGGGAAAGCACTCTCCGAGAAGCCCCAACAATGGGGATAGAAGTTGGTCACGCCCACACGATCGATCGCCTCGGGGTCAAAAGTGGGAAGGACATTTGGGGGGGGGGGGAGCCAATCTTCCACAGACCCGAGACTATACCAGAGCTCCGAGGGAATCATGTCTTTCAGACCGACAGGGTTGCAGGGTTGCTGAGGTCTCCAAAGCTGTCAAATTCGAGTTTGACGAAGTATGAAGCAGCATCATCCCCGATTTTTCGGCCCGCATTTGTGTGAGCCAAGGTTGCTAACCGTTGACAGGCAGAACAGTCTAGAACTTCAGATTTGGGTCTTCAGGTGCCCTTAGACGACGCCGTTCCCCGACGCACCCCTTTTTCTTGTTGCAAAGATAGGACGATGGGTGTGGCTCAAAATTAAAGAGCTAGGGTTACGCGGTTTTAGTCTTTGTTTCCGTTTACCAGGGTTCCATTTTGGGTACCCATGTTTGACCCACAGCCTTATGGGAACCACCATACATGAATGGAAGGGGGGGCCTTTTGTTTAGCTTTAGGCCAGAGGTTGAGCCGCCTTTGGGAAGCGCTTAGCAGCCATATGGACGGGTGCTTGCGAACCACTTTGCCGCCAGCCACCGTGGCTCCAGTTTCTCGTCAGCAGGCTTTCCATATAACGAATCGAAGCTTTGATGATCAGCTCCTGCCGCTTGGCGAGAAAGAAGTAGTCAGCTGACAAGTCTGGTGTCTGGACTTGATGGTTGAGGGTACCCTTGTTGGGGCTGGATTAGAGGGAAAAAAGGAATCACTCATCTTAGGGGGTTCTGTTTTGAGACAAGCCTTTCGACTTGTTGGGTTTGGACCGGATTTTTGGCCGGCAACATGCCTGGGCATTTTTTTGGAAGCTTGGGAAAGAAGTCAAGTCCCCTGGACATAGGTGCGGATGGCCAAAGCGGGTCTTCTGATTGTTCACCATGGGTTTCGGTGGACCCTTTCAACGACTCCGGCCTTTAGGGTTTATGGGATCGCTTGGCGTCTGAGAGAAGCGCTTACTAGTTCAAAGGGAAGATTTGAGAAATCCAAGATGAAGCGTGGCATTTGCAACGGCTCCAATAGGTTTGACACGTTTTTTGTTATAGTGAGTCACAATCCGTTAGCACATGGACCTCGAATTGCGGGTTTCCCGCCCGTTGAAATCTCACGTGGGCTAAGTGCACGCATTGGTTGTACCAACTGATCACTCCTAAGCAACGCAAGGCTCCTCGGAGCCAGGGATACTTAGATTCCCTTTACTTCTGTCGACAGCAAAAGGTGCGGCAAGAAGCCCTTTGTCCTCTAGTGCCCAGGTTTTGGGCATGACCAACTGTGACATCCAACCAGCTGACTGACATCGGTGAATACATTTCTGGAGGGGCTGAGTATATATGATAACAAAGTGGGGTTTCGGAGTGCCTGGTCAAACGTTTTAGGCCCCAGTTTTCACTGGCTCAAGTTAAAACCTCCGGTGATGGAGGGCAGCCCTCGTTTGCCCTGATTTCAGGGGATTGAGAGCTTTATCCCGGCACAAAGGGGCCAAGGTCCAAAATGGTTCCTTATCAAAACTCAACTTGAGGAGATCCTTGAGTCAGCTGGAGGTGAGATTGTTTCGCTGCCCAACTGGGGTTGTCTCAAAATAGGGGACCCCTCCAAATGGGTGGTTTGCTCTTGTTTTCCCTTTCATCTAACCCCAAAATGGGAACTCAGGAAACAAAGAGGACATTCTTTCACTGCAAAAAAGGGGCTTGCCTCAAAATGGGGAACCTGGCTTGCTTTGGTTTTCCATTTAAGCCAACCCCACAATGGGTATTCCAGCAAATGACGCACCCCAAATGGCATCTCCTGAGGAAATGGCCTCCGTGTGGCGTGCGCTCCTCGCCGCGGCCCGAGACCCGGCGCAGCGATGGGCACCCCCGCGACGGGCGCTTTTCGACTTCGGCTCGCTCCGCTGCCGGCGGGCGTGGGCGTGGTCTTGGCTTAGGCGACCCGAAACACCAATGGGATCCCATTTTGGTTGAATTCACCACCCATGTTAGGCTTCCTATTTTAGTTGTTGGATTGGGATGTAATCCCTGGGGGTACGATTTGGGCTTTGACCCATGGCCAAATGAAAAATGGCGGTCCTTGTGGTTTTTCTTCACCACAAAACAGGGGTACCCTCAAACAGTCTCACCCATGTTTTGAGTGCATTGCTTCAGCCAGATCTAAGAAACAACAAACTGGGGTGTTGAAATTGGTTCTGTTTCTTTACACTGGAGAGCGAGTTTTTGTTTCTACATGAAAATCATTCAACCAAGTACTAAGTGCACTATCGACACTTGTTTGCATGCGTTGGATCATACGCGGTTACGATGCCCCCCTCACCGTGTGAGCATGTTGAATCCCAGGGGAGACATTGCATTCCTCCGGCTCATTTTCCGACTCAGCTCGACGGTTTCACACGTAAGTGCCTATGGTGCTGCCACCTGGCGAGCCCTCGTGAAAGCCTACGCGTGGAGGGCCAGCTCTGCGGGACCAAGATGAGTGGCCGGGCGCTGGACTTGCCGCCGGAACTGGCAGGGGCGAACATCTATGCGAAGCGATGTTCATGGGGGTTTGAGAGGCCTTTTTTTTGCAAATCGCGGGGGAACCCTGAGCTACTGGACGGTCCAAAAGTAGGTTTCGAAAAGCAACCCCCGCTCAAAAAAAAGAGCACACACCCCGCTCAAAAAAAACACATCCTTGTACAAGATTCCTCCTCTTTCCAGGCTTCGAACGCCAACACACTCCAACCACTTTCCAAAATTCCCTTGTGGACCCACAACCATCCAAAACTCCAAGGTGACTGCAACCGAGAACTTCGCCTGGACCCTCAACCCCCACCTCAACGTTAATGTTGCGCAAAAACAATAGGTAGTTTGAGCGTAATTCCTGTGTTAAGCTAGCTGTGAGGGGGGTGATTCCCCCACTTTGACGGGTGACTCGCACTAATCAGGGTAAACGCCACCCAATCTCCGAACCACCCTGTTGGAGGCTATCTGAACCGTGATAAACCAGCTTCCTTCAAAAAGGCTGGAGCCCGGTGGCTTGGGGGGAACTGCTCTTGTGCTAGTGTCTTTTAGGAATCGGACTGGGTCCCCAACATGGAGTTCTTTGTTCCTCCATTTCCTACAAACACGTTTCTTTTTTTTTGAAAATGTGTCTCCTTTTTGGTCGGAGACTGACATGGAGAATCAGGTGCTCAAAAAAAGTCCGCGCCCAGAAACTCCCCGGGACGGGTCCCTTGAGGCCGCAAGCCTCTCCCTCGCCGGCGCTTCCGAGTCGGCCGGGATCTGAGAAGTCCTTCGGGTTCGTGGCGGGGTATGTTATATATGAAGATCTATATATATATATATATGTATATAATGTATATATGGTACGCCCCTATATGTATATATACATATATATATATATATTATTTTTTCCAGCATGTTGTTGTGTTTAGAGGAAACTCAAAAGGAAAGCCACCATTTTGGCGCTCATATATTGAGGGGGAGTAACTGTGTTTAGGGACACCTTTTTGAGGGTTCCCCCAACTTTTCACAGACGCGCGCAATGAGCTTGATCACGGTATCCAAAACAGGAATGATACCTTGGAACTTTGAAAGGCGACGCAAGGCAGCCGAGCAATCTTTTTGGTGGTGGGGTCGCAAGAACTTGACTCAACCCGGAAAAGGGAACTCGCTGTCTGATAATTTGGCAATTGTTTTGTTTCATTGTGGAAAGGAGGATTCCTGAGCTTCACCTGGAATTTGCAGAAAACCAAGGGATTTGAAGTTATCCAGTTGGACCCGTTCCAACCAAGGCTGGGAGGCTTCTCACCATGCAAAGCGAGCAAGCCCCGTTATGTCCAAATGTTTCTGCTGAGCGGAAGGGGCACAAGATACAAGTGCTGATCTGAACATCGGCAAAATGGACAACTGCCTCGGTTTGTATCTCACCCTTTCTGTTTCTTGAACTGGGCGCAACCCTTTTTGGGGTTTGGGCAAAAAAGGGAAGCCAATTCTCCTGTAGTTTGAGGCACACCCAAGATGGGAACCTCCGCATGGGTGAATCAATTCGTTTGAGGCACACCTTTGCACAGATCCTTTTGGCGGGTGCCAGAGCGCGAGCTGAGCGGGGTCGACGGGCCCGAAGAAGCTTGCAGCGGGGATGGTATGGTTTTCGGAGGGTTTGTGGGGCTGGGGATACCGCCCCGGGCCACCCTCCTGATCGTGGCACCTAAATCAAAGTTGGACCTATCAGGTGCCTTTGGAGTTCTGGACATGTGCACAAAGGGCCGCTTGCAGGGCAAGGACTCTCCACCCCGAACCCCCAAACAGCATGCCTCAGGCAAAGCTGCTGCTGTTCTGGCCCGTGGACAACTCCAAGCGGACGGTGACCCAAGTGCTCGGGCTTAGAGAGAGGAGACCCGAAGACACCCCGCAGCAGACGTGGTTGCACGTTTCTCGGGGCAAAAAGGACACCCGTCTCCGTGTTTCTTTCTTTCTGGGATGGTAAAGGTCTTTTGGCGGTGATCAGCATCGGCTTTCAAGGGGTCATTTCGGCCCGCGACTCGGGGATTTCCCCCAGTTGGACTTGAAGCTTGGGGGAAGAGGCGGGTTTTGCTTTGGTTTTCTCTTTGCAAACTCAAGGCTTCCCTCAAGAAAGACACACCCGAAATATGAACCCATGGCCACATGGCCACCTGTCCGCGACCTCATGGCAGATTGTCCGCCCCCTTGGCCTGCGGGGGCTCTCCAAGCACGCCCACAGAAGCTATAGCCCTTGCGCTGGCATGTGGCTGTCAAAGTTTAATGAGGAACACGCTTCGAAATGCTTGATGTCACCCCGAAATGATGTCCGCCCCCAAGTAAGATTCATGCCCATGGCAAACACTTTAAGGAAGGGATCGACGAACAAAGCCGCAAAAAGCTCGCGGCTTTTTTTGTATCTTGTTTGGTCCAACCCAGCGAAGGTCAAGAAGAACCTGGAGCACGTCAAGTACCTTGGCTCCAAATCAAATCCGAGCCACGCAGATTGACATGGGTGTGGCTCTCGAGGCTCAGGAAGTCGATAAAACACGACGTTCCCCCGAAATCCAAAAAAACGAGCTCGCGATTTATGCGGTGGAAATTTGGCCATGGTTCAATACCAATGGGATCCCATTTTGGTTGGTAGGTGAATTCACCACCCATTTTAGGCTTACGGGGGCACGATTTGGCTTTTGACCCATGGCCAATTGAGTTTAAAACGAGCAGAGCGGTTGAAACTTAGCAGTCCCAAACTTTGGGCGGCGTGTCTCGGATCGTTTTGGTGGCGCATTTTTGCTGAGCACGAAGTGCTGACCGAGGTGATATGGGTACTTTGGTACTTTGGTGCTTTCCGCAAAGGATGACTTCTTGTGCCTTTGGCTTCCCTTGAAACCAACCGGAGAAAGGCACCAAGCTTCAAAGCAAAGGCAAACAAGACCATATGCTGCGCCGGAAAAAGGGAAAGGGGTTGTGCTGTAGAACCCTTCTTCTTCAACCAGGCCAAGGGTCCGAAGGACATTTCTCTCGGCGATTTGGGCCCCAAGGGGCAGCCCAAATCGAAGACGCGCTGCGGCTGGAGTTACAAGTTGGTGCAAGCCATGCTTCGACTCCATGCCGTGGCTTCCTTCGAGCAGAGTCACAACAACCCCAAGCCACCCAGCCTACCTTGGGCCAACCCAAGAGTGAAACCCAGCTTAGCCCCCACCCCCCCAAGCATTGGTCCCCTCCCATTTATATGTTGAGATTCCTTTAAGAACACCTGATTGCCTGTTTCTCAAGTGCAAAAGCCCCCTGTTGCCTGGTTCAAGGCAAACCAAGAGAGACTAGTTGTCAAGGTCCCCCAGTAGTGCCCTTTCACCCTTTTTGGGGGGAGGGTCCCCCTACTAAAATAGACTACAGAAAAAGAATCGGGTACCCCTATTCTATCCTCTCCACTAGAGGACCTAGTTGTCAATTTTGTTCGGCAGATTGCCGTGGACACGGTCGTTAGGAAGTCCTTGGGAGCCAAGTGCTGCGACGTCTTCTTGGCGCACTACAGAGGCGCCCGGGTAAAGAGGGGGCAGCTTTGGCAGCTTGCACTGCGCATGGCCAACTCGCGGAAAACTCAGCCTTGCAGATTCTCTCGGCGAAAGCGGAGAACCACAGCGCGCGAAAACTCGGCCTGCAGATAGGCTCAGTGAAAATGCAGAAAGCGGCGGAATGATGTGCGACTGCAGGTTTGGGGCCAGCCAGCCTTCTCACATGTGAACCCCTCCAATTAATCCACGGAAAGCGGCGGAATGATTTGCGACTGCAGGTTTGGGGCCAGCCAGCCTTCTCACATGTGAACCCCTCCAATTAATCCACGGAAAGCGGCGGAATGATTTGCGACTGCAGGTTTTGGCCCAGCCAGCCTTTTCACATGTGAACCCCTCCAATGAATTCACGGAAAGCGGCGGAATCATTTGCGACTGCAGGTTTTGGCCCAGCCAGCTTTTTCACGTGTGAACCCCTCTAGTTCATTCACATCTTATGTTTCTCTTTCAAACTTTGGCTGTTTTCAGTGTTCAGCTCTCTTTTCGTCCAACCACTGGCCGAGCGGGTTGTTTTCAGCAAGCTGCTTTTTGTCGCCCAACCCAACTCAGGTTCCCCCCTCAGTTGGTTTGGACCTTGGGATTTGAACCCTGAAATGGTAAATGGGACACCACAGAACCCCAACCACAGATCCAAACCAAGTGGTAAACCAGCGCCAGACTCCCACCTTTTTTTGGCAAAGCCTTCGCGAAACCGCCCAAACCCAACCTCACCTCACCTTTAAAACCCAGACATGGGACACCACCCCCCAACCCCAAAAGCCAAGCTCCACAGATCCCCCGGACCGACGCCGCTTCAGCCGCTTCAGCCGCCTAGCGGACGCCTAGCGGACGCCACGCCCCGCGGCTCTCGGCAGGCGCTGGCTTGGAGCTCTGGGGCCACGAGTGGTACCGGGCCAACGTGGTGGGGAACTTCAGCGGCCGAGGATCCGATCCGGATCGATCGATGACTCGAAGTTGCGGTGGATGCGGCCATAGACACCCGCACGATGGGCATCCGTTTTCTTGGGGGCGACCAAACATGTGTATATACATATATTGTACATACGCAGAAAGACGCCAACCAACATCTAATTACTTGCTTGCTGCTCAAGTGTCATACTGCTCAATGTGGGCAAGTTTCAAAGCAAAGGCTACGAAAGCATCTGCTAAACCTGCGGTCTGTTCATTACAGATAATCATATACATATACATCTTTTGAATATGTTCTCTATCTCTGCATTCTGTAGACTTCAAGTTTAGAAAGCAAAGGCTAATCAAGCATCTGCTAAATCTGCAGCTTTTGCACTTAATAATTTGTATTAATATCTCTGCATTCTCAATCTCTGCGTTCTCATTCTATAGAGTAGTGCTTGCGCTAAAGGGATCTGACATGATACACTTAGTGCAATCTGGCAACCCCAGACGTGCTGCGAAACATGTTGCGCGACATTTTGCAACAAGGCTTACGGTTGGTTGGCTGGTCGGTTGCCCGTGGTTAGTTGTTCTTGGTGAGGCCCCCTCCCCCCTTTGAGATTTGCCACGGCCGCCCGCCTTTGCTCTGCCTAGAACTTCCAACGACAGGCAACCAGCCAGCCAACCAGAAACCTTGTTGCCAAATCTTGCGCACCATGTTGCGCGACATAATTTCTTAAAGAGCCGGGAGACTATCTCCACGTGTTTTGAATGCTGCTCTGGGCTGAAATGCATTACAACTTGGTGCAAGACGCGACTACATACCTGGACAATGCGGGCTTAACATGATGGTGGGCTGTATCAGCCTGAGGGTCTCGCCACGTGTTTGATATATTTGCGCATGTGTCCCATCCTAAACATATGTTGAAGGCATGTAAATCATTGTTTTTTGGATGCTGTTGACCGAGACAAGTTGTGTAAGCTAGTATCACTTGCTTGTGCCATAGTAGCAATATGCGTGTAATAAGGGGATGAAGACGGTTTAAAAGCTGTCCGGGAGAAACACGGAGTTCTGGCAAATAGAGACTACAATACAACCTCGCTTCTTCGAATTATGAGCTACTCAAATTGTGTGGAACCCAGCACATTTATACAGTTTACACCTTTTTTATAGTCGTAATTATTGTCACATTTTGCAAAGCAATCATCGCTTGTATGGATTCATGGCATGTACGAGCATATCCTGGGAGCAAGCGTGGTACACCTTGCTTGTAGTCATAATTTGCTTGGGTGTTGGTTTTTAGCAGGTGAAGCCTGAAGCTAAATTCAAACTATGGTCTCACACATCTGGCTTCAATGAATGAATTCTGGATGGAGTTTGCGCCTACCATTTTTTTTGCTGGTGCCTGCCATATGTATATGTATGTATATATATATAGTTGCAAACCCCCAGGCAAAAGGAATGTGTGTCTGGGGTGCGGAAAGTCTGTTTGTACTTCAACTGAGCCGAGGAAGGGTACCAACTCCAAAAACGCCACGCATGTTGGGCCCCGACGTAAAAGAGGGGTGTTGGGAATGAAGCGTTTCGAGGATCCTCAAGGAAACCACCAGTTGGCTCAGCTGGGGGCATTCCCTGCCGAACCATTTTTTTTGCCCTGCCCTTTGCAAAGATGCCCTTTCCCTTTGCGCTTTGCGCTTTGCGTGGATACCGGGCACCCTTTGGGGGCAATTGTGATCCGAAAAAGCCTCTCGGGACTAGCTTGTTTTTGCCTCCCCGCCGATCGTTTGACTCCCCAATTTTCCGTTTGGTCAGCCCAAAGCACAATCGGTGGCTCGGAGAACCGAACGGTCCCCCATCCCAAACAAGCTCCCAGTATGAGGGGCAGAAGAATGACACCTGCAAGTACACACTATTGCCCCGCGACTCAATTTGGTTTTCAAGTACCCCGCACGGCCCTATTCTCTTTACGGCACTTGGGGCAGGATACAAGTTCAAGTTCATGAAGGACGCCTATGCCAAGGCCCTGGCCGCCGAGGAGCTTTTGGGCATAGCTGATTAGCTGATTGGAGCTGGGAATATAGCGGGTAGCCTCAAAGGCGGAAGTAATTTATGAGGGCGTAAGTCATTTCAATGGGTTGTGGGGGACTTTAGATCCAGAGTAGGTCATGATCAGTACATAACAATCTGTGTGTTTAGCTTCGGGGTTGCACTTGCCCCCCCGAGGGTGGTTTTGAACAGGCCGGGATGTTGAATAGGAAGCATGGGGAGCGGGACAAAACCTCTTCTGCGCGGAATGGGTTTGAACAGGCTGGGACACACCACCGTTTTTGTTAACGATACGACAACCCTTCCCAATGCGTTTCGGCTTTTTGCTTCCTGGGATCATTTTAATCTTGTTTGGCAAACCACTGATGGAGTCAGTGGTTTCATCCAAGAGCCCTTTCCAAACCTGCATTCCCCCCGTTTTTTGTTGTGAAAATCACTAAACAAGACCCCGATCTCAAGTGGCGCTGTTTTGTCTGCAGCTGGTGGACACATCGAGTGGGAAGTGCTCTTGTTGCGATGAATGAAGGTCAAACTGAGTGGGGTATGTCGGTTGTTGAGGACACCCTTTTTGTTTCTTGAAAGAGAAGCCCCATTGCGAGGTTTGGGTAACGGGTTCGCCAGCGCACTCAATGCTGGGATCGCCACATTCAATCCTGGGATCGCACGCGCATTCAATTCGTTCGCCCACGCTTGATTTCGTGGCAGGCGCGGTAGTTTGGATGGACTGCTATGGGCGGAAGTTGGATTTTGTGGCAATCGCATACTTTCGGTGGGGGAGCAAGGGGGCGGAACTTGGATTTCTATGTAGCGGGTCGCGGTAGGCGCGTCAGCAAAACGTTTGCTTTTCACAGACCTTAGCTCGCAGGAACACTTGCGTGCGCACAGTGGACAGCAAGTCTGCAAAACGCACGCGCCACGCTGCGCGCATGTGTTCAGTTTGTTCAGTGCAGGTGCAGCGTAGTGCGCGCATTTTGCAGACCTAGCAGCGCCGGCGGCAGCAGATGGTGAGACACGTGCGCAACAGCCACCCATTAACATTGGTGCTCAAAGGGCCTCCCAAAATCAGGTAACCAGCTAGTGGATTGGATTGGTGGTTCATGTTTCTTGTAGAGGGTGAATGGGAAACCACCCCCATTAACGTTCTATCTACAAGTGCCTATCGAAACAGAGCAACCCTGCATTTCGGACATACCCCAGCAGATTGATGGGCGAATTTTGGCAATCGAAAGGGGAATCGGGAGTTCTCCATTGACAAGGGGTGCTTCAATTTGTCCAAGTTGTTGCGCTGGCATTGACTGAGCACGCATTCGGGTTTGCCTCCAACTGGAGGACCCCCAATGGCCAATGGCTGGTATCCCTTTGGTTTCCCTTCCAAATGCCAAAATGGTCCCAAAATGGGTAGCCTCAAACACACATGTTAGGCTTGCGTCCTCGACACATTCGCAGGAGAGTTGGGAGTCGAAGTACGAGTTTGTTTGGGGGCTGGACAGCGATATCGACATTACAGGCGCGGGCTTGGGCTGTTTCTCGGGTGCATAGATGGAGCGAGGAAGAACCGAGGCAGACAAGCAAAGCATAATGTTGACCCCGGATGAATAAATTCCTGTTTATTAATATATGGGGGTGTCCCTGGTTTTAGTGGGGATTCATCACTTTTGGAGGGGAACACCCCCATATTAATAAACTGGGGTTTATTAATCCGGGGTCAACATTACGTGCTTCAAGGCATGCTGTTGCAAGCCAGAGACCGTCGTCTGCGAAACAGGCATACCCCATGTGCCTTGTTCCCCCGCTCCTCCCCGCGCCCTGGCAAAGAGCAACACGTCCGGCTGTTGTGAGGTTGGTACGAAGGGCCACTTTCAAACAATCACCAACATTTTGCTCCTATGATGATGATGATGATGATGATGATGATGATGATGATGATGATGATGATGATGATGATGATGATGATGATGATGATGATGATGATGATGATGATGATGATGATGATGATGATGATGATGATGATGATGATGATGATGATGATGATGATGATGATGATGATGATGATGATGATGATGATGATGATGATGAGGACGACGACGACGACGACGACGACGACGACGACGACGACGATGATGATGATAGTTTGGTTTCAAAGTGCCCTACAATCCGTATAAATTCACACCTTTCTTTGATTGATGTTTAAACCGCATGTCGGTGGAATTGTGCCAGTTTGTCCCCGATCTCAGAAACAAATTCTTCGGGTGACCATGCGACCCCTTTGTTTGGGGAGCAACCCCGAATCTCCTTTTTTGACTTTGACTTGCCTTGTCGGCTCCTGAAAACAGGGTCCCGCCTTGGCTCGCTGGCAATGCTCAGGATGCATTTGGCAATGCTGGCGATGCTTGCAAATCTGTGGCCGGCAAATCGGATGTCTGAACAATGACGGCGATGTTTATGCTTGTGCTGGTTGTCATGCGGGTCATGCTGGTGATTCTGGTGGTGGTAGTGGCAATTCTGCAAAGTCAGGCTCCTTCTCTGCTGCTGGGCAAGACTGGTGGTCACCAGGAAGAAGTTAAGGTCTTTCGTATGGTTCAGATGTATTTCTTGCAAGGAATAGATCGAACCGGGCCCTTGGAAGGGACAGTTTGATAATACCGATCAATTGCGGGCAACGCGCGTTGATATTCTTTACATGCTTTTGCGGTGACCTTTTTGATTCTTTGCCATGTGTACTAGGTTGTAGATTCCGACTCAGCCAAACAGGGAAGCCCTGGGTTTCGGATTTTTAGGAAAACATGATGGTTCGCCCCTGTGGTTTCCCTTCAAAACACCTCCCACGAACCAAGCACACACTGACAAAATGAGGGTCCTCAAAAGTGCTGGGTTTCTGCAGTTTCCTTTTCTAGGTCCCCCAGTAGTGCCCTTTTGCCCTTTTTGCGGGAGGGTCCCTACTAAAATAGAGTACAGAAAAATAATCGGGTACCCTTATTCTAACCTCTCTACTGGAGGACCTAGTTTTGGTTACTAGAAGCCAAGAGCTTGCCCCAAAGGACAAACCTTGGAGCCAGGCACCAACCTCACCAAGATGTTCAGCATGGCGCGCATGTCCAACGCCCTCATCGTGGGCCCCACCTTTGTCGGGCGAGGCGAGAGCTTTCGGCGCAAGGGAAGCGGCCGAGTGGGTTTTGGATTGGGGAACCTGGCGCGTTGTTGTGAGGGGAATGGGAACTCTGGATTAATAAACCCCTGGTTGATCAATAATCTGGGGAGAACATTATTTGTAGAGGGAACCCCCCCGATTGGTGTTTTCTTGATTCGGCTTTTCCAGCTTTTTGTTACTTTAATCAATTCACATTTACAATTCCCTGAAACTTTTGTATTTCACCTTTTTTTTTGTGAAAGCCGAAAGGTGCAACAAGTCGTATTGAAACCGTATTAACATCGTAAAATAATCGTAACAACAACGAATCTGCGAGTTTGATACGTGTTCTATTTGTTTCACAATTGTTGATACGATTTCAATACGATGCCTACTTTTTTAACGTAAACAAATCGAAACAACGCCGTAACATATTCATACATGCCAATCGTAATAAATGCATATCCGAATCATAAAACAAAACAATCAATTTGGGCTTCCCGTGACTTGGCAACTACTCCGTGGGTTACAACACTAGGGGCTCTAGCGACAAATACGGCTTATAAGGGGCTAGGGTTCCCTTTGCGGGGGGGCCCCCCAAACAAGGGCCCCGGGGTCACCAGTGACAGGCCTGAAGAGAACTGCCTGATTGTTCGAAAGGGGGTACCCATCAATTTGAGCGTTTCTTGCGCCGACTGGGTCGGTGGAATGCACTGAGTGTTTAATAAACGCATCGGCCTCCTCGCTGGTTCAACTGCAAGGGAAGCCACCATCAGGTTAAGCTTACAAGACAGATGGGGACCCCTACAACTCAGTTCCCCAGTGTTTGGTCTAAGCACTTGATGGGAACATCATGCAAGCGGAAATCACCAGGGCTGGACTTGCTTTGGCCAATCCACTCGGGAAGTGAGAGACATGGTGGGTTTCCTAAATGAAACGGGTGCCTGCAATTTTTGAACACCCCCCACGGAGCTGTCCTTTTGCAAAGAATCCCAGGGTTCCATGTCGTGGCAAGAGACTGGAAGCCGCGCTGTTAGCTCTCAAGTTGGGTTCCATAGGCCCGGAATAAACTAAGGTTGACCGCGGAAGAATTTGAACCCTGGTTGATCAATAGGGGGGTGTTGTTTTCTAGCCGGAATCCGCATCGCACCGCCCTAGTGGGTCTTTGGATCTGGGGTTCCCACGAGAACTTTGAAGGGGCGAGTCTTTAAAGGGCAGTTGTGGAGGAACTGCTACATAGCCGCGCCCGGATCGATCAGAGATAGTTTGCTTCTCAGTTGAGCAGGCTTTGGGGGGGGCATTCCTCTGATCAGTGCGCCAAGTGTATCTCTCATTAAGGGACCTATTGGGCAGCTTTGCCATATTCCCTAACCTCTCACCAACAAAGATGGAAGCGCACAGGCTCCCTTTCCAAAGCAACAAGTCTTGCCCAAGGGGGGTCTGATATTTGTTGACGGGAGGCTGCAAATAAGCAAGAGTAAGAGCTCGCGGTCTTGACACCTTGCCGAAGGGACTCCCTCGACAGCATGTGTCGAAGGAAGTGTCCAGCACCATGCAAAGGTGGGCCATGTGTAACCAAAATGTCTCGCACAAGAGCACTGCAGGTGCAAATGGACCCTTGGAGGGTGCTGAATTGTGTATTTGTTTTAGGGGGCAGGGTCTCCTGAAACCGACCCGACGGGCAAGTGGTGTGCCTTGGACCGTCAATCCGGCCAGGTGTGAACTGGGTGCGCCCGCACTTGGGGAAGCACGGCAAGCACCCTGCGACAGCCTTGGCTGGATGTCGTCGGTCGAAGTGGGAGCTGTGACGACCACCAAATTGTAACGAAAGTCTGAAGTAGCCAAAAGTGGATCTTGTTTGTTTGTTCAGTTTTTTTTTCTTGGGGGAGGGATGCATGCTTGGCGGCTGTCCATCCGGTGCCTTAGCTTCTTAGCTTCTAGTTGGTCTAGTGGTTGTTTTCCATACCCACAAGTTATTCACTGGGGGATTTGACAACGGGCCCAGCATTGCAATTGCTTCCACGGCTCGCAGATGGGTTCCTCGGATTCCCCGACCTCAGCCCGAACTTTGAGCCCCAGAGCCGAGCCTCTCGCTGAGGCGAAGGCGAAGCCGAAAGCCAAGCCGCATCACCAGGAGCGCCAGCGGCTCGCAGCGTGCTTTGCCGCTGAACTGCTTTTCGTGTTCTAGGTGGTTCAAAAAGCGCCGTGTTCTTTTTGTCCTTTATCTATATATATATATATATATGTCTCTTTCTGGCATGTGTAACGGTGGGTTGATGGATCCGGATCCGAAACTCCAGAAACTAGGTCAACCCGCGAATGTCCAAAGCACAGCGAGGTCTGGGGTTGGTTGCTTTTGAGGGAGCCCTTGGGGCGGTTTCGAAGGGAAACCAGGACAACCCGCAAGTTGGGGGGGTCCAAGACACGCCCTTCTATTGAAGCTTGCTGTTTGACCCTCAAATTTCCAGCTGACCATGGGGGTCTTAAGGACGCTTTTCGGGGGGTCCGTGTGCTTCGCTTTTCGTGGGGGTGGGGGGAAGCTGAGCAATGTGCTAGTTGTTCCGCTTTCAACCCCGAGAATGTTTGTAAAACAGGAGAACCCCCCAAAGGGCGTGTGAACACCAATCCTTCATGAGTTGTTTTTTTTTGGTTCCAAAAAGCGACACGCACTGGGGTTTCTGGAAGGTAGGCAGGTTCCGGGTCAGGAGACTGCTCTTGTGTTCAAGGGACATTGGCGGCCATGGAATTTGTCGATAGACTTTGGCCGGATTTTCAGGGTTGTACACAGGTGTTTTTTTGCCACAGGTTGGTTGGAAATTGATAGCACTGATTTCAGTTTGGCTCTAGTCACTTATCGGTGTATGTTCAACCAAAAGGACTCTTGGGACTACAAGCAGACCTGGACAAGTTGCGTCGAATTACAAAACAAAGGTTGTTTGTTGCCAGTCGCTTTGTCGGGATTCCGAAGCAGAGGGAACTCTCCCCTCGGATCGCTTTTTACATACGCGTCAACTTAAGCGCGCAGGAGCGGGCTCACAATCACCCTGTGAGGCGGGCAGGGCTTTGGGCCTTTCAACTTGCTGGTTTGTTGAGTGCTGCTCAGTAGGGAATGAACCCCGGAAGTGGTCCCCTTAAAGGAAACCAACTCGGAGATGGTTTCTAGGGTTCATTCCATGTCTCATTCCCTGCATCTCTCGCACCGTTTTTGAGCGATTAGTTGATCCAAGTCCTCTAAGGGTTCCATCTCAAATGGACCTGCCCATTTGGATTTGGGGTGACGATTTTAAGAACAGGGCCAGTTGTTTGCCCCGGTTCCCCATGTTTTTTTTGCAAAGATGCCTGGACCTCAAAGACACCTACGCTTGATTTCTCCTTCACCTCTCACATACCTCGCTTACCCACACCCAATGACCGAAGCTTTCTGAAGGCGGCCAGTTGAGAAGGGGCATCCTCTTCTCATTTTCCATTTTTGTTTTTCGAAGAAAAGCATTCCCAACCCCGAAGAGGCTCCAGTTCTTTGTCCGCAAGGGGAGCAGGGGGGGTTTTCTGAAGACCGGGGTCAGCGTTGCAAACCGCGACCCTTGTGGAAAAGGACGGGTTGAAAGCGAAGCAGGAAACCTGCACAGAACCCATTTGGAGGTGCCCTGTGTGTTTTGGCCCTGTGTGCCAATTGGCGATGGTGGTTGGTTCACTTGCAATGTGAAGTGCCTCCGCCGTGGGCACTGAAACTCATCTCAAGATGAGCCTCAATCTGAGAACCACGTGTTTTTTGGGTAGTGTGAGACAGAGCCACTTTCCCCGTTGCAAGCCAAGAAACCAAAATGGCCATGGGTCAAAATCCAAATCGTACCCCCACTGAACATCCCAATCCCCACTAAAATAGGTTCTAAACTGGGTGGTGAATTCACCTACCAAACCAAAATGGCCATGTTTTGCGTTTCGCAGTTGACTCCTAGCCTGACGCAACTCAATTTTTTTAGCACGTGTGTGGTTTGTGTGGCTGTTCCTGGCTGACGCTTTTACTGGGGGCGGAAAACTAGGTTTTCCGCGTTGCTGCACGCGACATCCGCATCAAGTCGAAATGGCAGTCCCGTGGTTAGCCGCTTGTTTGGGATAGGTTTGTTAGGGTTTGGGGTTTTCATTCAAGCCACTAAAAGTTATTCGGACCGCCCAGTGAGCCCATCAGAATGCAGACCGGGGCAAACGGTCTCGTTTCAGGAGCTCGCTGACGCAAGAGGACTGGGAACGATTCAACCCCCCGCTCCCCGGTTTTTCGTGGCTCACTCCCGGCTAAAGGAGGTGTGTTTTTTTCTTGTTCTGGGAAGTGTTTCGAACCCAAAACCCGGTAAAGGACACGTCCTTTTTTTTTTCTTCTGGGGACGGCCGGGGTCTCCGTTTGTTTGCCTTGTGTTGTGAAGGGTCGAAGTATGTGACCTGAAGTGTGGCCCTTTTGGGGGTCGGGCTTGGCCCCCGGCTGCGCTGGTCGGCCGGGGCCAGGCATTTGTTCAGGTTGAGGGAGGCAGTAAGACACGGAAGGTGACAGGCAAATAGGTAGAAAAATCATCTCCAGCGAATCAATGCTGGGGGCTCAACAAGCATCGGCCATAAACAAACCAAAACAACATAATGAGCTTTTTGAAGCCAGGAGAGGGACAGGGGAAATATTATATACACAAACGCCCGAACATTTGCGCAACAACGTGGTGGAACAAACATGGTCTCCAGTTTTTTTGGTTGCTGTATCCTTTTTTTTGGGGGGAATCCCCAAGTTCAACTGAGGCACATCAAACTGAGGGGTTTGGGACCCGGTCCGTCGGCTACCCCACCAATGGAACAGACTGATGCTTTCCAACACGACTGATGCAAGCCGTTTAGTCGGCATTCAGAATAAGCAGGTGAAACATGGTATGGGCATTGAAGACTTATGACTTGACTTCTTTAGATGTGTATGGATTAACTTAACACTTCGCAAAACAGACGGTTCAATACTTCAGGTTGACTAGCTCGAAACAAGTGTCGATGACTTTGCTTGTCCACAGATATCATGTTCGCGGTCCCAAGATGTATGCAAATGTCGCGAGGCAGATTCGGCCAGCTGGCCAGGACTACAATACTGTGGATGAACGAACTTCTGGAAACCATGGTTGAAACCATTGTTTGCTTGAAAGATTACAGGGGAATCGAATCATTCCAGGGTTCTGTAGGCGGTGCAACACGGATTTCGTCCATCCACAGTATGGAGGTATGGCTCAAACAGGGGGTACTGATTGGCCCGCCAAGCTTCTTATTTTTGATATGGCGCAATTGCTACGGAACACTTGGGTCAGAAACTGGGGAAGTCCCATGAGTATTTTGGAGAAGCTCATTTAAAAAAAAAACATGGGATACACCTTTTCCGGAAGAATGCGTTTGGCTGTGTTCTGAACTGGGGAACCCAAACATCTTCCAAACTCAATCATTCATACTGTGGATCGATGGACGAATCCTGCACCACCGTTCAGAAACCCTGCAAAGATTCGATTCCCCAACGTAAGTACACACGTCATGGTTTGAACCATGGTTTCATTTTGTGTTGCGAAGTCGATTTTGTGCGTAACGTCATCAAACAGGAAAAGCCCTTTTCAAAGGTCTCCGACATCATTGAAATAATCAAGGGTCTCTATAACCCATCATACCCACCAACTAACATGAACTAACATGGGTTAGTGCACATTTGGCCCCGTTTCCAAGAAAACTGGTCCTTTTTTTTGGGCTTGGGGGGGACCCAGGGTGAGTGCACATCTGGCCCGTTTCCAAGAAGAACTGGTCGTCTTCTTTTTTTTGTTTTGGGGGGGGGGTCTGCACCAAACCCCCATGCAAATCTCGTTGGGAGGGTCTTCCTGTTTGCGCAGGAGGCGGCGGGCCTGGAGCTGGGGAAGACCGGCAGCTCGGCGGTTTTTCGGTTTGTCATGGGATCGGATATTTTTTTCGGTGCGATAAGGGCAGGTTGGGTGGGTGGGGGGGGGGTGGGTGGGTAGGTGGGTGTTGTTTTTGTTTGGGGGGGGGCGGGGGGCGGGGGAGAAGTCTGGGTGAAATTAGAACGACCTCAGACGACCGAATTCGGCCCAAGTTTATGGGGGAGTAGCCCCCCAACCAACTTATTGCAAGTTGGTGGAATATGATAATTCACGCAGATAAGTGGCCGTGGCTCAAAGAATGGAATCCCCAAAATGGCCCCTCGAGAGATGGAAACAAAGGACCCAACACCTGCGTAAGCCCAGCTCTTGAACTTTTTGAGCCACAAGTGGGGGTTGTTTTTTGGCGTAGGTGGGTGGGTGGGTGGGTGGGTGGGTGGGTGTTGTTTTTGTTTGGGGGGGGGGAAGTAGACTGGAAGTCGTTGCTTCCCCCAGCCTTCCCTTGAGATTTTCGGCAAGGGGTGGGTGTTGCCCCCTCTGGACCCTTTGGGCCATCGAGGGGTGCTGCGGCCCGTAGGCTTGACTCGTGTTGATTCCTTGTCCATTCTTTCCGACCAGCGTTCTTTTTTCGAAAACCGGATCCGTTTCCCTGGGTTTCAAAGGAGGTTTTCTATAGAAAGACTCGGATCCCTGGAAAGAATGGGGAAGGTCGCACTAGATTGACGATTCTGGGGGGCCCGTTCTCAAATAAAACAACACAGTCGGGGTGAACCAGCCTGGAAGATAGTAGTGACTGGTACTGGTGTCGATGGTGCTGCTCGTTTCTGGGGGAAGGGTGTGTGTTTTTGTTTGTAAGAGGGTGCAGATTCAGTTACCTCCAACAAAAAAGAAGAACAACAAACAAACACATAAGAAAACTCAATCTCCTCTAAGTCGATCTGCGTCAGGTGCCAACGGCAAAGGGTTCCGCCTTGTTCTAAACAACAATGAAGTTCAATGTCCGAAAACCCGCAAGGGGATTCGCGTGATTTCAGAACAAGTTTTCCAGAGCCTTTTTTTTTAAGTGCCAGCTCTTCGACTTGGTTTCTTCTCCCCGGGTAGACTGCAAAAACCTTCGCCAGGCGAGCGATCGGAGAGCGCCATTTGGATCTTTGAGAGGCCCAGCTCCTCTTGTGCCCCTCGGCAGAGTTTTAGTTTCGAGTTCCGAGCCCCTTGGCCCGCGGGGAAACATGGGTCACTTTTCCCATGTGGCTTTTTGACATATCATAGTGTTCCCGTATATGGGGAATTTTCGAGAGAGGTTCCCTGGGTGGTTGATCAATATTCCCTTCGGCCCCCCAGCTTTGACCATGGGTAACTTACCACCATGTGGTTTTTTGAAATATCATCTTGGTGGTTTTCAATCAATGGGCATCCCATGTGAAGGACCACTCTTGATCAGCCCCCATAGATCCTGCTGGTTACGGGGATTTGAACCCCTCGCTGAGGGTACATGGAACCGGAAGCAGGGGTGGGTCCTCGAAGTTGGAGATCGCAGCACCCGTTTGGCGCCCGTTCAAGGGGAGTTTCCTAAGGGCGGCATATGTTTCAATGGGAAGTATGGCCAGCCCTGTTTCGAGAGGGAACCCGAGGCCCGTTGTTTTGCCCCCTCAAAACAACCCGCCAAATTACAAAATGGGTGATATGGATCAACATAATGGGTCGTCCGAGGGGCCTGGGGCCTATACTTCCCATTGAAACATATACCGCCCTTAGGAAATTCCCCTTAAACGGGCGCCACACGGGTGCCCAAAGGGGAAATACGCGCACATTTCAATATTAGCCCGTTTCTGGTTCCACGTACCCTCTCCAGCAAGGGGTTCCAATCCCCATCCAAGCCGGTTGACCCGCGGGATCCCCACCAACTTCTGTAGGTCCCATGTGACTGGCTGTTGGAAAAACCGGGTTTCCAAACCAAAGCACCGGGCTTTCCGAGAACGACCCCTACGCCGGAAAGCGGTTTCCGTTTTGCAGAGGTGTCAAAATGGAGACGCCATTGCAGCCCGTGTTTTCGCGGTTATCTTGGGTAGGCAGAAAGTGGAACCCTGGCTTTATCCCTCCCAACTCATGCAGAATTCAGTCCATCCACAGTACCCAACCTTCTGGGCGGTTTCCTTTCGAAAGACCATGCCCATATCCCTTCCTTCCAGCATGCAAGTGTGCAGGCTCCTTCTTCCATGTTGGTGGCAGAGTTCGCTATGTTCTTACCCCCGGAAATCCCGGGCTTCATAGTTTGTGGGAGAACCAATTTAGTTGCAAACCAAAAGTTTGGGACTTGTGGGCCAATCCACTCAACAAAGCGAGGGGCACTCTAAACCCAAAAATGTGCATGGGCTTGTTGGTTTTAAAGGGAATCGATTTCACCACTGGAAATATGTGTTTGTTATACATATATATATATGTGTATATATATATATACATGTATGTGTTTCACTCTACGCACATCTTTTCCCCTTTGGACTTGAGCCATAAACGGAGAGGACTACCGGCACACGGACTTCGTGGAGCTCACCGCGCCGCTGCTGACGCGCACCGCGCTGCCGGTGGTCTTCAACGACTGCCGCTCGGCGGCGAGGGATGCGACGCGGCTTGGGTCGGAAATCCGGGGCAGCCGTGGTCGGAAAGCACCGCACATTCGACTAGGTTGCCCCAGCAATTGGTGCCAACTTTTAACGTTTTTCTTTTTTGGGGGAGGGTTCCCCTACTAGAATGGACTACAGAAAGAAAGGATACCCTTGTTCTATCCTCTCGACTGGAGGATCTAGACAGTGCTTTGCAGCATTTGTCTGGGGATTGGTTGGGAGAATTCCATTTCTGGTTGGCTAAAGGCTCAAAAGTCACTAGCAATGAGCTAGGTTTCGTTTTTTCAGTCGGGGGGAAGTCAAACATGGAACACTGGTTGGTTGCTTCCCGAGGGTTCAAGGGAATAAAACAAGGAAACGCCATGGGGAAGCATGAAAGCCCAAATGAAGCTAAAGGGAAATCAGGAAGCCTGGAGACCAAAAGGAAGCACATTCTGGAGGGAAAATTAAAGGGCCTCTTTGCCATTCGAGCAACGGTCAATATTTGCTGTCATCTGAGGGGTTCTGGGGCACAGTTAGCAGGGAGTTCACCAAAATCCAAATGGAGACACAGCAAATATTGGCTGCATCCCTTCCATTTGCTCCAGTTGTTTTTTCTAAATTATTTTCCCCTTTTGGTTTTAAAGGGAAGCTATCACTACGTGAAGTCTTGTTATGTGTTCCAGGGGTCTTAAGCAAATGGAAGATCCAGTTAGCTCCCAGCCCGAAGCAACAGCTATGGAGTTCAGGTTCCTCAGTTCCTCAGTTGAGCCACCTGCTCAAAACCCTTTGGTAAGTCAAGGTTAGTGAGGGACGATCCCCTTGCCATAAATGGCTGCGGAAATTTCCGCCTTCTTAGTTCTTGAAGCATGGTTCTGGGTCGACCATTTTTGTACCGGGGTTTGAGTGTGACTCAGTTCTCCTGGTGTTTAGAGCACTGGGGCATCTGGGACGGATGGGTGAAGAGAATGGGCGTCTCCGAAAGGATGCATAGGCTTCTGGTGAATATCTCATTTTTCAGATTCAGAGGATCCCCGCAGATGAACATCATTTTCTTGGTTGTTTCGAGGAGCCCTGAATGAAAATCAGCCTTTATGGCTCGTGATCTTCCTGGGTGTGCTAGGAGCATGTTTGCAGGAACCCAAAGCGAGCCAGCCAATTCATCTAAGGCTAGCCAGAATGAATCGGCGGCATTGCTTGCAAGCAGTTGGCCGATGCTTTCTCCTTCTCAACCTTAGATCATGCAAATGTCACTTACCCATGACTCAGGGAGCCTGGTCTCTGTGCCTGGAGTTAAGCAGACTGGCTTTCCGATCGAGAGAAGGCCCCTGGTGGGGCAAGTCATTTTGTGCGCTGCTGCTGAAGGTTCCCCCTTTTGGTTTCAAGCTTGGCCTGCGCCGGGCCGGCAACTTCACGCCAAGACTCGCGGATGGTGGGCCGGCAGAAGAGCCGGACTCGATGTTGATCTTGGAGGTTTCTCGAACCATCACTCAGAGGGGTCCTTTTTTTTCTTCAAGAAGGGTTCCCCTTCAATCCTTCTTCCAGAAACATTTTCTTTAAACATGGGCAACATGGATCATTACGCAATGTTTTGAGGATGGATAGATCGGACGCCACAGGACGACCACCAATCAATATCAGCGCCTTTCTTATTAACGCGCAACGGACCCTGAGATTGAGAGTTTTCTGGCAAAAAGTAGATGGAAGCGGGTCCTTTGACCTGTGGTTGCCCTTTCAAAGCAATCCAAACAGCTTCCCACAGAAAAGGACACAACAAATGAAGGAATGATGAGATCCCAAGAGTGCAAACAGATCCCAAGACCCGGGAGTTTTTTCCTTCATCGCAAAGGGTTGCAACCCACGCCATATCTTGCGCTGATAGACATTCGGCAGACGTCGTCACCGCGGTCATCCGAGGTACGGATTGCATTCACAACACATCCGCCGGGCACTGAGCGTTTGACATGGTCGATGAGGCATGTACGGACGAAACACACTTGCCGGGACCATGTATTAAGCTTCTCTATGGAGTTGGGTCAACATATGAAAAGCGGGGACTTCCGAATTTCCACAACTTGGGCAAGTCCTTTTTTTTTTCCGGTGCGCCTAACTGGGTAACTCCCCTTGACATGGAGCGCGAAAGGCCCATCTTCAGAGTCTCCTTCGGGGGGACTCCCTTTTGGTTTCCATGGCTTGGTGTGCATCCAATGGTGAATGTGGGAGGGGTAGACGAGGGGACTCACGATCTTTTTACCTCAAAAGCCACGAGGACGGACCCTAGGGTGCCCGTTTCAGGTCGGGACGCCAACACAACCGAGTGCCATTTTTGGGACTATCGTGTTGCCTCACTTTGAGTTTTCCGCCCCAACAGGTTCACCAAACGTTTTTGGTTGCCCAGACCTGTTTGGTCCACTTTTATTTCCAGCTCCTTCCGGGGTGGGAAGCCAAAAGGAGAACCCAACTAAGGACTGGGGCTTGGCCCGGGCGCTTAGACGAGTTGGGGATTGGAGTGGGAAGATGGGGGTTTGGTGGCTGGGTGCGAGTGGGGGCGTGCCCCGAGATGTTTTCCGCGGGGCTGAAAAAAGGGTTCGCGAAAACGCGGGGCTTCTGTTTTTGGTCGGAAAAGGGAGGATCGTGTTGGGTTCGATCGAGGAAGTTTGGCTCGGGCGATCTTCGAAGGATACTGTGGACTCCCTCGGCATGAACAGATGACCCTCAATGGGTCCTTTGGGTTGATGACTTCACCCCCTCTTCCAACCCGATGACGCCGATCCAAGGCACCACCAAGCCAAGCCACCATATGATCCTAACTGGGAGTTTCTCAAGCATTTCGGACCCCCTTTTTGCTCGGTATTTCGACTAGGTTGCCCAGCTAGGTGCCCTTTTACCCTTTTTTGAGGGAGGGTTCCCCTACTAAAATGGACTACAGAAAAAAGGGTACCCTTATTCTATCCTATCTACTGGAGGACCTAGTCAAGGGACATCGGAAAAGCCAACCGCTGGAAAGCGCCGCGATCCCGATTTCGAGTCACGGGCTGAATGCTCGGCGAGGCGTGAAGGCTAGGGGTCCGTTCCATGGGGTTACCTTGTGCCAGTCATGTTGGCAGCCTCAGAGAAAACCACGTGCAGACACACATAACATACATGTATATATCTATACATATATATATATATACATACATATATATATATATATGTATATACACACGATGCCAGGGCTGCTAATTATATGCCCCAGTCATCAAGCGAGAGACTGTCGGGTGTCGACGTGGGTTTTCAAAAGTTCAAGCCAATTGACCTAGCCATCATGCTAGAACGAACCGTCAATGGCCTCAGGGCGCTGAGCGATTCAATGAATCTTAGAACACGACGCTTTCAGGGTTCCCAGTTCAACCCCTTGCCAAAGCCCGGGAGAAAGCAAACCAAGCGAGCAACCAGCCAGCCGGCCAACCCCGCCCTCCCCCCCCCCCCCCCGGTTCGAGACAAACTCACCCCTCAAGGTCCGAGCGGGTTGCGAGCCTCGTTTTGCAGATTCTTTTTTTTGGAGGCCCCTTTAAAATCAACCAACAACACGTGGGTATGTCTTTTTCGGGTGGCCCATATTTTGTACAACAATCATTTGGCTTAACCAGTGTAAATGAACGTTTCGCAAATATGCGGCACCTTCTTGGGTGGGGTTATCTACGTTCTCCGGAGAAAAATAACAGAGCACACATCCAACAAGAGGATAGCAAAACTCAAGCGACCTCACCCACCAAGGCTTTGGTGTGAATTCTCATCAGCCCAGATTGCACGTATATGGATTCACATGCAGTGAGGTTGTTTGGGTTTCTCTCCCACCAACAAACGCAACAGACATGGAAGCGCAGGCCCAAGCTATCTTTTTAGGGCCTGTGCACCCAGCCATATTCGAGGGTGTTCTCCCCGGATCAACTCTGGGCCCTGAGTGGAACATTTCCTTGGAATTCCGTCCAATTTTGAGCTGGTCCAGTTTTGCTTTGGGATTGCTTAAGGGTTGGGATTCCGGCCAAAAAGACCACCCAAAAAACAGCACCCTCAATATTTGTTTTGAGGAGAGGGCTGCCTTTTTCGTACAGGTGGAATCCAACATCTGTTTTTTGGCCCAGCTTCCTGGGCGCGCCAACGCGCGCCTAGACGCGCGCGTGTCAAGCGAGGACATGGTCTGGTGCAAGTTCTTGGCCGCGGAAGTGAAGCACACCAGCAGCCAGGGCCCGAAGGTCATTTGGTTTTTTGGTCTTCGAAAATCATAGGTGTCCTTTTTAGGTTAGTTGGGTTAAAAATAGATGGCGCTGGTTTTCCAAAAGGCCACCTATGTTTGGAACCTGAACCCCTGATTGTTTTTTGTTTAGCTTCTTGAAGGAATCAAAAGGAGGCTGTTGAAAAAGGCAACTCGTGTTGGACATGGCTTAAACCCCCAACCCACCTGGAAAAGAGCAATGTTGGACATATAGCGCATGCCTTTGACCCCCTGAGAAGGGGAGCGAGCCATCTTTGAGCCCCAAACCCACAAAGAAGGAGCAGACTCCACTTGACCTACCTCGAGTTCTAAATTGATCAATAGGTCTATGGCTCATCCCCGCCCCATCCAGCGTGGAATTGGGCAGATGAATACCCCGGGAATTGCTTTTGTGGCAAGCCATTTTTCCTGGCAATGCGGGAAGTTAAAAAAGGGCGACCCGTTCTTTTGGGGGTTGCTGCTGCTGGTTGTCTGGAGAGTATTTCTGTGATACCAAGGAAATCCCGTTTAAGTCATAAAGTCGTAGGGCTGGCGCACTTTGATATTGTTCCGAGCCTCAGACTGGTCAACAGCAAAGTGGAGCTCGCAGAGCACTACTATCCCCAACCGACGATGCCATACTTGCAGTCACGCAAGAGTTTTGGCAAGATCTACGTCACCTTGCTGGTGAAGCGATGCAAAGGAGAGTTCCTGGGCTACGCCGACCCAGCCATTGATTCCCTGGTCAAGCAGAGCCTCACAAGTCACTGGCACGGTCAACATGCTGAAGACAATGCGTGGGTTGACCGAGGAGGGCTACGCACTCATCCAGGGTACCCTCCGCAAGGCAGGGAGCGCTGGTGTGGAAGATGATCCGGGCCAGGATATCGTGACTTATTTGGCAGTTGTCCGTTGGCGCTGCCAATTTTCTGGCGAGCTCACCTCGGCGAAAAGCGAGAACACTGTGATGTAGGTTCTTTACTCGGGGATCCCTTATTTCAAGTTATGGAACTGCATATTTGGCAGATCGGTTTCTTTGTTTTAGGTACCAGCTTTCTACGGCATTGGGAGCAACCCTCACAAGGGGCAACCATTTCCATGGGATAGCTCGCCATCTAGGCCTAGGTCGAAAGTCTTCCGAACTCGAGCATGTGAATGTTGAACCTGTGATCTGAAGTCGGCTTCGAGGGAAAGTGAAGTGCACGAAGCAGAATCAAGCTGGGATCCTCCGTGATTTTTTTTGTGGACCTCCTTTGAACCACTAGTCACTAGTCACCAGAAATCCAGAGGGGATTTCTGACAAACGGAACCTACATTTTCAAGATTCACCATTGCCAGAATTGGGTATGGGCCAAAATTAAGCCACTAGGGACCCCAGGTTGCAGTCTTTGGTTCCATTTGCCGGGGCAACCCACTTTTGAGGTTACCCTATGTTTGACAACCACATAGCGCTTGGTTCCATTTACCAGGGTTCCATTTTGGGGTTACCCCACTTTTGACAACCACCGCCAGTTCACCGCATTTGTTGCTCTTGTTTTCTCCCGCAGCAGTCGCACCCGGCCGGCCTGCCAAGGCTGTGCTTTGATCGACGCGGCGCCGGTAAACCATCTCAACTGGCGACAGGACTGCGCCGACTCGAGGGTTCCGTTCGACCCGGACCCGCCGACCCGGGGCCTTCCGTTTTCAAGCCAACTCCCCAGGATCTCGGAGCCAGGGGTTTGGAAACAGGGTGGTTGGCCAGAAAACCCTCCAGAACCAGAAGATGAGATAGCTTTACACGCCAATCCGCCGCCAAGCCGGGTTCTTCGATGGGGAAAAAGGACTTGCTGGTTTTCTCCCCCAAAGAATCCCTTGTGGTTGCTGTGGGGTCCCAGAACGGCGCCTCGAAAGATTTCCTCACCAGCAAGTTCCAAGCCGAACCGACGCCAGCCATGTCGAGGTGGTTTCAACAGGCGCCGTTGAGACTTTTTTGTGTGGCCTCTATAGACGTTGGCAATCATTTTAGCACATTGTTGGAAGACGTGGGAACCTAAAAGCGTGGCAGGTGGTCAAGCAAGTCCTAGTCTACTCCTATGATGGCAAACATGAGGGTCAAAGTATCCCCTGACCCCCTGCAAATCATTGAGCCCCTATCATAGTCAACCCTCGCAGTTCCAAGGACCTGATTCTTTCTGGTACCATTTCTGTGGCAAAGCAACAGTTTGCTTCCCCGTTTTCGACAGCGTTGTCTCGATAGGGTTCTTGATACATTGCATGGGTTCCTTGGATTCGTAACATAGGGACAGTCGAAATTCTCTCCATACCTTTTTCCCCCTTTCCAATCCTCGATTTGTGGAGGGAGGGGGGGTCGTTGATTTGTGGCGCGGGAAAAACACGAAAACCGACCGCCAGGCCAAAGTCTCCAAGGAGTTCCTCGCACCCTGGCAGAATGATACAAATGGCCCCTCTGTGGAAACATGTGCCTTTTTGGCCACCCAAAAATCATGGATAGGGGGGCCAAGGATATGCCCTGCACAAGGCCTCATTAAGAGCTTAACGACGGATAGTCTCCCCCCCCCCCTCCCCCTCCTTCGGGGGTCCATGAAAAAAGCAGTTGAACTACCCTGTGCCAGTGAATCGAAAGCGGTTGCAGCCTTAAGAGCCTTTTCCGGAGTTGGGAGCCCTGCTGGACATGACGTGTGATTTGTTTCCGCAATTTAGAAGGGAAAGGGTCGTGAAACCGAGCTTTTTGATGCTTTTGGCAAGGGCCCGAAAATGATTCCTCTTTTTTGATCATGTACGTGGCAGCGACGCTTGGTCGGCGGAAAGAGTTCTTTGCCTTCGTGGTGCAATGCTTGAGTGGATGTGTGGGTGGGAACTATGGGAGAACCTCTGACCACCTAGGGTGACCTTGAGATAGTGGGCGATGGTTTGGAGGAGGCCGAAAGATTGCTCGTTTCCTTTTGGTGGCCGCTTCAAACCATGCAACAAAAAATGGAAGCCCATTTTGAGAGAAGCTCTTTGCAGAGCCCTCCAATTCGCTTCCCAAGTCGCCGCACCCGGTTCCGCCCCTCCCCGAGGCTGCAAACCGGGACGTCTTCCACAAGTACCGCCCGGGCTCCTGGGTGCTCAGTGTGGGTGGATGATCTTCTGCCAAGGTTGGCTCTTGACCGCCACGGGGAACAAGGGAACACCAAAGCCTTTGGGTCGTTTAAACAGGGGGTCAAACATCTTTAAGGCATCTAAGGGGGGGTTGAGTCGCCCCCCAAAGTTCTGGAAAAAATTGCGCGTGAACTTTGCCCGTCTCCAGAAATCTGCTGGGGTAGGCGAAATAGGGTTGACAGAGTCGGAAAACTCGATTTTCAGTGGTATTTCATTTTGTTTCTAGTTGCCAAGGCAAGTAGACGTTTACTTTCCAAAGGGACGCCATTTTCAGCACGAGCTCGCAGTGGCGACCTCGGGGTTGAAGGCTTTCCCTTGCCCCTTTGGCACTCACTCCCCAGCAAATGAACATGAAACCGATCGCAAAAGGAGATTCCTCTACAAATTCGGTTTTTGGGCCTTTGTTGATCTGGGGTGGTTGCACCAGCGGAAATCACTCAGCTGTTAAGTGCCCGCATCATCTCCGCCAATTTACCCTTCTCCCAAAGACAAACCCCCCAAGTTGAACAACCGATGCGTTACCTGCGCTTTTTACCGGTCCCATTTTGGGTTCGCGAAAATTGACAAGATTGGACCTTGGACGCTCGGACAGGGCGGTTCTGGAGCGGCCTGAAGACGCTGAATTGCATCGTGGTGGAGCCAGCTGTAAGGGTCAGCAACCTCCAGGAGGGGGTGGGGGGAGGGGGGTGGGGGTGGTTTTGTTCTTTCTTTTTCTTCTTCTTTTTTTTTCTCCCATGTCCTCCAGAACAACCTCAAAATAAGTGGTGGTCCCATTGGTTTCCCTTAAAGGGACGGATTCATGCCTTTTCTTGGCAGAGGCCGGCGAGCATCGGCGTGAAATGACGTGTATGACTAAGGGTAATATGTTTTTTTTTTCCAACCGGTTTTGGGAAGGGCTGAGAGGAGCGATCCCCGTGCTGGTTTTGGACATGGGGACTTGTTGATTCTTGAAATAGCAGTTGGCGCCCGCAAAACGGAAGTTGGGAAACACGAGGCTCGTAAGTCACACAAACATAGCGTTCCCCCCCGAAGACAAAAAGATATCCTTTTGGCCGGTGTTTCTGCAGCTTTCGTGTGACCTTATGGTCCAAGCCCGTTTGTGTCAAGAAACGCCAATCGACTGCCCGAGTCCAATGAAGCGGAAAGAAACGAGCCCGTTTCACGGCAGAACGCAATGGGGAGCAGTCGCACAAGTCAGGGAGGTGGCTGCTCATGAGAAGCCTTCAGCCCGAAGCCGACTTTTCCTTTTGGTTTGCCTGAGGTCCAGGATCGCCAGTTGCGATCGCTTTTGTCCATTGAAAAAAAGCAGCAACTTGGCTATCTAGGGTCCATGTCGAGTCAAGGTCCCAAAAGGTGATCACCTTTTATTTCCAGCTCCTTTGGGCAGGTGAGCCCCTTCTGGGCCGAAGTTTTCCCTCCGAAGGCGGAAGGCGGAAGGCGTCCGCGCGGCTCCGAAGCCGAAGCGGCTGGCCTTGGGACAACTCGTAAAACCTCAACGGGGGTCGTGACAAGCATTTTGATACGGCCGTGGGTTGCAGAACCTATGCCGATCCCGTGTTGGGGTGGAACATCCATTTGCCACCTATGAGGTTCACCAGGGCTACAGGGTTTTGACCCACAGCCTAGGCTGAATATGGCAGCGGGTCAAACACGGGTAGCCAAGACTTGGTGGTTTAATCTTGACCCATACCCAAAGGTGCTTGACTTCGGATGTTTGATTTGCCCTGCAGCCCTGACCAAGTGGTTTGCCTCGCAAAAAGCCGCAAAGGCAAGGATTGGAGCGGAGTCAGTCGATGTTGGCTGCTGAAATCCTAGTGCTTCGCCCAGTCACCGAGCATTCCGAGCATTCCCAGGCGGACAGGCCCCCCCCTCTTCCGCTTTTGGGAAATCCGAACGAACAGCACCCAGTTTACAAACCTGGGACCGGTGGGGTTGACGGTTGACGTCAACTTACTTGAGATCTCTTTGCACGATTGAGCAGAAGGTTCTCTAAATGTGGACCAGCATCAACCAAATTTACGTTGGGAACCGAGGTAGTGCAGGTTGTAATCCAGTAATCCGGAGTACCGTGCTGGTCAGGGGTGGTGTTGCTTGTAAGGAACTCATCTCGGGTCCAGTTCTTCCGACCCGGGTCCCCCGATGCGATAGGAGCTGGAGCTGCCCGGCCACCGGCGGCTCATTCGCAAGGGCTCGAAGAAGGCGCGGACGCCGAGACCATCGGCATCTTGGATCGTTTGGGCGCCCAAGGCGCTCGGAGAAACACGAAGAAGCAGTGCTTTTTGAGGATCCAGTGATTCCGTGGACGCCATGTCCCGGTAGGCAATCAAGGGCTTGCCGGCCTTCAATCAAAAGCCTGGGATCCACCGGCGCACTTCACTCAACCATCTTTTCCCTTCGGTTTCCCCGATGTGTTGATCATCCCAGTCACATCTCATAGAGCGGACAGCTCTATTGATCAACCAGAGGCTTTGATAGTCCGGGGTCCCCGTTTGGTTTCCGTTTAAGCAAACCTTACAAAGGGTACCCTCACAAAATAAGCACGTAGACACAGAAACAGAAACAGAAACAGACACAGGCACAAATAACAGACCAGGACGCAGACGCAGACACGCAGACACACAGACACGCAGACACACTCTTATTGGTCAGTTTGGTTGAACATGGAAGGCCCTGGTCTGCGCTTGGTTTGAATCATTCACTGCTGTCCATTTTCCTTGCGACGTTTGTGTTCCTAAACGGACAGCTCGGGCGAGGACCCTTTTTTGGATTGATTCATGGGAAGTCCAAACAGACACCAAGAGACCCCCCGTTGCTCCGAACCTCCAACCACCGGCCCAGGATTCGAGTTCGTGTTTGCGTGTCTTACTATTTGGGGGATCCATCCAAAATAGTAGGTGTTTTGTGGGTTTTTCCTTTTGGTTTCCTTTTGGCTTGGTTTCCCTTTTTTTTGTCGCTCGACTAGTTGGGTTTTTTCCTTGTGGTTTCCTTTGATAGAACCCTCAAGCAGGTACCCTCGAAACAAACCACTCCCATTGCAACGATCTCGCGCATTGCGACCGGAGAAGGCGTCCCTGGCTGTGGCGGTGGGCGCAAAGACGCGGCGGCCTCAAATTTGGCGGTAGGCCGACACCCCCGGCCCTTTTTCTTATCATTTTCATTTTTGTTGGGAGGATTGAAATCAAGACTAGATGGGCCTAAATACCCCTACCTTTTTCATTTTTGTTGGGGGGAGGATTCATTGATGTCAATAGGAAGAAAGGCCTAAGTAGCTGAGTAGCTGTGGGGTTGATGAGAGAAGAATGCGTGCAAGTTTGCCTTTGTTTCCATTGGACAACTGGAAGAGTGTTCTTTGCTTCCTCGATCATGCTGGCAGCGGCCATAAATTATAGCCATAGGAGAGTAGCCACCCTTCAGACCCAAAGAGAAGCACGCGCTGATATTGGTGCATGCACTCAGCGCAAGTAATGAAATGCAGCCTTGCTTGTTCTTACCAGGAACTCAGAAAACCCACTGTTACCCTCTAATAGCCAGCGGTCTATCTGGTTAGGCTCTTGCTTAGTCGTGGTTGTTGGGCCTGCCTAAGTCAACACCTTGTGGGTATGTAACATAACCAACAACACCACCAAACGTGTTTTTCCTTTTGGTGTCCCTTTCAACCAACTGAACAAAAACAACCAGAAAGAAACAGACACACACACACACACACGGCCAGAAAGGTGTTTCGACCTTCGGCCGAAAAATCGCTAGTTTCTGCCAATGAAAGGGAGGGGCGGGTGTTCAAAACACGGCCGACCGATGTGTTCAGTCAAAAGGATACTTCAGGTACGGCCCATGCCATATCATGTCATGAACTCATACGGACAGATGCAGGGCTACGTCGTGTATTGTGTTTGTTCTGGAAGTTTTGCTGCCTACGCCAAGACCATGGCTGAAATGGCCCACACAAATGGAGAGCACATTGGCCTGCTTTTTTTGTTTTGCGTTGACGCTGTTTGAGTTCCTCTAAGCCCCCTTCAGGTGGATGAGTTCACTGGAAGAGCTTGTGTTCCTTTTGGTTGTTATGAACATTCTTCACACATCGCGGACTAATTTGCATCACCACTTTGATTTGCTGGGAACACCACTATAACACGGCCACCGATGACATCCCCATGAGGTTGATATTCCCAGGTGAAAGCTTGGGTGAAATTTGGTTGGATCTTTGACCTGGGGGCGGGGGTAGAAATGCATCCATTGAAGCCCCACGGACGCTCCTCCAATCTGAGGATCGAGATGACGACGTGAATGCACGCTGGGAGATTTGGCCAACCACCTGGGAGATTCTTTCTACACGTGCTAGTATATCTGGGTCTCCCATTTCTTCCGCAAGCAATCTGAGAAACCCTGATTGTCACATAGTGCACTCCCTGTTTGTGTGGGTGGAGAAGGGAAATTAGACAAGCTATCCATCTGGGTCTCCCGTTCTACCGCAAGCAAGCTGAGAACCCCTGATTGCCCTCACAGCGATTTGTCCATCTGCACCTCGGCCGCGGTATCCCGAATCCTTTGCTTTCCAAGAGCCAATCTGAACCAAAGGGAACATGGCCGCTGTTTCTGCTTGTGGCTTGATGAGTTTACCCGTTTCCCTAGTTTTGTTTGTTGGAGTCAAGACCAAACGGGTTGACTTAAGGGTTGACAACTTCCAGTGTTTCGGAAACCGCCCGAAACCTTTTCTGGGGACACTGCCTGGGCTTGTTTCATGGGGAACCTGTCCATGGTTCTTTCCTTTTGCTTCTACTCGAATTCCCCGGCGAGAAGCCGACACCGGATTTTTTGTCGGACTTTCTTTTTCTCGCGCCCTGTTGAACTGGAAACACCAGGCCGCAAAATTGGAGGGTGTTCTAGGGGGTGATTCGCCATTCTTTTCAACAATCGTTCTTTTCAAAATCAGCCATTCTAGAAATCCCATTTTGTTTCTCCTCGTTTTTTTCAAAAATCAGCCGTTTTCCCTGGGTTTCCGGAGGATTTCTAGAAAGAAGGATCCCTGCAAAGAATGGGGAAGCTCCCCATAGAACGGTGTGTGTTTCTCCCGGGTGCGACATCGGATTCAAAAGCCCCAGAAGCGCTTGCGGATTCGCTGGTCTTTGACTCGCGAAGCGAAGCTGGCGAGACGATTCGGCGGAGGAAATGTCGGCTTGAACCCTCAAGCTGCCCAGTGGATATCGTGAAACTTGTCTTAACATAGTCCATGAACGTGGAACCTGACTCGGTCTAAGGTGATGTTCCTCATGAGGCCCTTTGGTTCCACGGAAGGGTACCCGCTAGGCTGAATGTATGAAACCGGAAGGACTTAGTATGGTGAATCTTTGATTGGGCACGAGCGCGCAGGATGCAATTTGGTGCCCCATTTTTTTTGGGGGGGAAACCAAGATATTCCAACGGGAAACTCGCTCGGTACCCTTTTGGGGATTGTTTTTCCCGAAAGATGGAATGAAGCCCGAGCACCTGAGAAATGAGTGACAAGGCTTCCTGATTACCTTTGGATACCTACACCACGGTCGTTCCTTTTGGGGACCTTGATGCACAAATCGGGAAATGCTCCTTGGATCGTGGCGGTGTTCATTTTCTGGTAGAACACTTTGTCCGGCATTTCTTAAGGCGATCACGCCTGCGGGAACACTTTCTTGAGTGGTGGGTAAGCCTAGGTTTGTAGGTGGTGCTCAACTGATAGGCACCGAACCTGGGGAAGCCTCAGACCATAAATTGCTGTTTCGGGTCGGGCTCTGGCGTTCCTGTTTGGGGTTGGTTGCTTTTGGGGTTTCTGCCCCTCTTCTTTCCCAGTGCCAACCGCCAGGTCGTGCTGAGCATGTGCAGCCCCGGCCAGGCAGGTTGGGCCCGGGTGCCGAACGGCCTTGGTTTTCATCTGCCCGAAATCGGGACTCCTGGTTTGGGACCGAACTTGGGGCATTTTTGCCTTTGACAGTGAACAAACCGAAATCCTGGGTCGGAAACCAAGTCTCAAATTTAGCCAAAAAAGCAGGCCTCCGTTTGGGATCACTCATCCGAATTGTTTGTCACTTAGTTGGCACCCAATACCGCGATACCGGAACTCGGAACGCATGGATTTGGGTTTGCGGTTTTTAGGCTCGGTACCCTTTTTGTTGGTTGGTTCAAGCCACCATGTTGGACCCCTTCGACACATACCCATGTGCGCAAGTGGCAAATGCCGAGTTCCTTGAGGTGACCCAAACCTGTCTTTGCGAAAGAGCCACCAGCAGCCCTTTTTTGCCATTGCAACCAGGTGGATCTTTGCGACGAGACGGATTCGGACCAGGCAGGTGCGGGCTGGCCACCAGAACAAGACGCTGGCCCGGACTGCTTTGGGGAGGGATCCCCCACTAACATAGACAAGAAAGGGAAAAACAGTTGGTACCCACTGATTCTCACCTCTCAAATCTGGAGGACCTGGAAGCAGGTTGTCCCGACGTCTGAGTTCGTGCCTTCAGGCGCCGGAGCCGCCCTGGGCGCCGGAGCTTCCGGCGCCGGAGGCGCCGAAGGCGCCCTCGGAGGCGCCGGAGGCGCCGCCCGAGGCGGGGGGGGGCACTCAACCCCCACGGCTGGGCGTGTCGCTTGGAGGATTTTGGAAAGTTGCTTGTGGATCCCTCAGGTTTGGGGACGTTTGGGACTTTGCGGATTTTGGGGGAGGCCCAGGAAGTTTGGGTGTGGTGAGCAAAGCCGTCACACGGTATCTCGGGGCCTAATCAGAACTACCCCATCCTACTAATGGAGGGGAGCTCACAAAAATGAAGGATTCCCATATGGGAACAGAACACCCCCCGTATTCAAGGGCTTTATTCATCCGGGGTTCACACATTTTTCCACTTGGGAATTTTCCTTGGGGCGGACCGGGTTTGCGACGATGGGGCTTCCTTTCTTGTTTCGGAGATGCGCCGCAGGAAGAATTGCAAGTTGGTGCACCTGGACAATTTGTTGGATCGGCAGGTGAAGCTGAAGACGTAGGGGATCTGTTTTTTTGGGTCCGGGGCTGGAGGGTTTTGCTAAAGTCTCACCTGCCCCCCAAGCTGCCGACTGGACCTTGGGTTTGCCCACGGGCTCCCATGTTTATTCTCAACCCCGAAAGGTCTTCGCCTATCTGGCCCCAGTGTTGCAAGTGAGGGGCATCTGAGGTTGTGGTGCACCCGTTTGGTTTATTTAAAATAATATAATATAATATTGTATTAATTCTAATATCATGATTAAATCCTGAATATATGTTATTTCATTTGTATCTTTGGTAGATGATCCGGTTAGTAAGGGACAATCCCCTTGCCATAAATAGCTGCGGAAATTTCCGCCTTCTATGCTTCTTGAAGCATGGTTCTTGGTCGAGCAGTCTAATACCGGGTTTTGAGTGTGACTCAAGATGGGGATGACGGGAAGCCAGCCTTCAGTGAGGTTTTCCATGGTGGCGGTGAGCCATCCTGGCCACTTCAAAGGGGCACCTGGAAAGTGATCTGGAATTCCTTGAGAGTGGAATACCCTCATTAGGCGGGGGCACCTCTGGTGCCTTTTTGGAGGGTACCCAAAGGAGGGGGGGAGTGGGGATAGTTTTACCACCGGGAAAGAATCAGCCCCTGACGCGGGCACATAGGCCGGCCTTGAAGGCGAACCATTTCCGAAGGAGCTCTGCAACCAACATGTCGCGTCTCTTGGCACCAACAAATGCCGGACAACTTCTTGTTGGTTTCCTTGAAGGAACAAAAGCAGAACAACCACATGGACCCCCCCGTATTCTTCCGCTCAGTTTCGCTTCGGCCCAACAGCTGACCACGGCCCTGGCTTTCCCAGGGCGCAGCCGCGGCCGCCGCCCCGGCTGCGCGGGCCAAGCACAGGCCGAGGCGGGGACTGGATGCGGAGGCTGACGGAAGCGGATCAGCCGCCAACGGGAGAGAAGGTTTGGATTGGCTCGTTTGGATTTGGGGAGAAAGCCCCACCCGAAACCACCAAGGATTGAGGTGGCGGAAGGCTGTTTCAGCGCTGGATTTGAAGCAGATTGCAGCCAAGCGAATCTGATAGATCGAGACAATGGTCCGAGCAGGTCACACTCAGCGGCTTGGCTTTCAAGGCCCCTCCACTTGCAAGTGGACAGCTTGCTTGGCTGAGATGGGCGAGCTGGACATGATGGCATACTTGCAGCAGCATGTGCTCCACAAGACCACTGGAAGGGCGGAGGTTGCCACTTCCCCCAGACGCCGCCATGTCTTCTAAAGCCCGAACTGTGCAGACGCCAAGCGAAAGATTCGTTTTTCTTGCCGACCAAAGAATGGCGGCGGGTCTGGGGATTCGGGGCCACTGCGGGTACCCTACAGAACTATGGAACCTAGCCTTTCATTTTGTGATGTCATGTGTGGATGCTCAAACCGGTTTTCTGGTTCACGAAAAGTATGGAGAACCAAACGAAAAAAAACACGGACCATACTCCCAGGTGCGATTTTCGTGTGGCAAAAGCTGAGGATTTTGGGGCCAAAAGCATTTTGGATTCCAGCCTAGAACTTGGCCAGAATTTACATCTGCTCTATGAAGGCTATGTTTGAATATTTTCTCCTCTTTTCACCAATATGGCCATGGGTCAAAAGCCAAATCGTACCCTCAGTGAACATCCCAATCCAACCACTAAAATAGACTAAAATGTGTGGTGAATTCACCTACCCCAAAATGGTACCATTGGTTTTGACCCACAGCCATATGTTTGTTGGTTCGATCCCGCCCCTCGTGTCTAGGGCTCCTCTTTTCCGTATTCTTTATTCGAGCTCTAGCTCGAACGCATCTTGCAAAATCCCACACCACTCGAAGGACCTGGAGTGATTTGAATATGGGTGTCTCGGCTTTTCGGATGTGGACCCCCAAATGAATTTGAGTGTTCCTCTTGGTGTTCCTTCAGCACCACAAACATGGGGGAACCCGCAACAAGACGCACACACACACATATATGCATAAGTACACTTGTTTGTATGCTTGTGATACAAGAATGTACGCTTCACCACCGCCTCAACTACCACGCCCTGCGAGAGGTACACACGGTGGAACTTGGTTTGTGATGTTTGGGCATCTGTGACTATCCAAAATGAATTGGGACTTGGCAGACTCATTTGCTACGAGGTCATATTGCTTCACGTCGTCTGGGCAAACTGGGAGGAGCGGCCTTAAAACTCACAGATGAAGGTCCCTCAAGTATTCCTTATTTCCGGTTTGAATGTGCCCACACGCCAGCGTTTGACAAACGTCTCAGCCAAACTTGACTTAGCTTGTCAACCTTTTCCCGTTTGGTTTTCCATCACTTCATTTCTGCAACCAGCAGAGG